GAATCACAGTTGGCATGATAGCAAAATTTAGTTCTTTACTGCCCAGCATCTTGCTCCCTGGCTTTTATCAAGAGGGCTGATAGAGCACTGGGGGGTGGGGGGGGGAGCTGGATGGCCAAATAGGCAGAAGTCCTCTGCTTCAGCCTCCTGTCCCGGCCCCCCAGCACACCCTTTCCCCCCACAAAGGCACACTTGTGACCTTGAGGGAGGCAGATCCCATTCTGCATCACCCACTGGGGGCGGGGGGCGTGGGGGCAGCCTTCAGCGCCCAAGGCTGAGGCTGCAGAGCTGGGGCTCCTAAAACCCTGGGCCCCCTCCCCCTGACAACACAATTGCTCTCCACGTTTGAAAAAATGCTTTCCAGGCAGTTTATCAAGATTGAACATGTAAGATATACAAGCATATGTAAATAGACAGCAGCTACACACGTGTGCACACACACAATCCCATGACCTGATTAAAACCACATCATATGCTGCCTGGAAGAAGGAGGTCTTAACCTGGCCTGAAAGGACAAGCGTGATGGTACTTAACAGATCTTGCTGGAGAGTCCATTCCAGACTTGCGGGGCCAATGCCAAGAAGGCCCACATCCTCCAAGCCTCTCTCAGAGGAGCCACCTGGAGCAAGCCTTAGATTATGAGCATAACCTAACAGTGGGTTCATGCCTGGAGAGCCTCATGTCAGTTTTATTTGTCAAAATCAGCATCTTGAATTGTCCTCGGAAACATACAGGCAGCCACCACAAGTGGGCCAGAATCAGTGCTCGGTGCTTGGACTTGCATCCGACCCTGGAGCACTTTGCCCAGTTGAACACAACAGGAGTGAGAGATAATAAAATCTGTATTATTATCCTCGAGAATTGTTATCCTCGAGAATAAAGTCTGATCACAGCAAAGGGGCGATCAGCCTGGAGCACGTGGCAGAGTCCCCTTTTATACCCTGGCTGACTAGATAGCAATGACAGCTGTTCATTGGGTTGAAAGCCCCACTGTGAGCGCCGATTGGCACATTTGAATTCCGGTGGTCTCCGCGCATACCTGGGAGGCTGGGCTGCCGGGAGGCTGGGCTGAGGGCTTCTGGTGGGAGATTGCTCGATCCCTGGCTGTTGGTGATGCCCTGTTCACACGAAGGATGCTTGGGACGAGCCAACACCTTCAGGGCTCCCTGGATGATATGGGTCACCCAGCCAATGTCGGGCAGCCTGGACCACAACCAAGCCCACCAACCTCCACCTCCAGCATCTGGGGAAGCCACAGGGGCGTATCCAGCAACTGGTGACCAATCTGTGCTACCTGTTTATCCTTGTCACCTATCTGGTGGCAGCATGCCAGCACCTGGTGGAGGAAGTCACTCACACCACCCATGCCCTGCAACAGGGAGTCTAAGGCTAGCCTATCCCGGAGCACCATTTCACCTATCTGGTCCAGCACCTGGCTCACCCTTCTCCTGTTCCGTTAAAGATTAGCTCTGTTTGGCACTGGAGATGGAGGACAGACCAGGAGTTCTGTAGGCTGCCATACACAGAGAGGGAGGAGGTGTGGGGCCCAATTTCCTGAATCTTTCAGATGAGCTCCCCCTTGGTATGTTGCCATCTTCTATGGAGAACAGGCACTGGGATGTTTTCAGAGCTGTTATGTATGGAGAAGGGTGGGTATAAGTTGGCTAAACAGCAGAAGCCATGCCACTAGGCTTTGCAGCCACACAGCCCACCTTTGCCTCCGCCCTGTTGCTGAAATAGCCCCCCCCCGAGGAGGTGGTATTGTCAAAGGGGTTGGGGTTCAAAGGAGGGGCAAGAAGCCACTAGGCTCCACTGAGTGTTACTTCTGCCCAGGATGCCTTCTGCAACGTCCAGATCAGGGCCAAAGGCTTTCTCTGGGCAAGAGCAACTGTCATTAGCAGCCCAGGGGTTAGTGGGGGTCCAGTATGTTCTGAACCCAGGGAGACAAGTCACATTGCTGTGCAGCCACCCTGGGATTTCCTTGCGTCTCTGGGTCCCTCCCTGCTGGCCTCCTTGTCTGTTTTATCTGCCAAATTGGAAGGTTCAAGTTCATTTGGACCTTTCCACAATCTGATCAGTGCCAAATTCCCTGGTCTGGCTCCAGGTGAAGCAGGAATCCCCCAGTGCCCATTCGACATTCCAGTGGCTCTTTTTCTGGGACCTGACTCCCAGCTGGGACCAGGTTAGGTTTCTCCCTTGCTCTGGAAGGATCTCTGGGGATGCCATTAGTGGGGCAGTTGGGGGCGCCATTTTGAAAAGGGAAGGTCATCACTCCAGCATCTGAGGGATGCAGGCAGATCCAGCAATTGGTCAGACTCATCTGATCTTGACCCTCCTGACCTGCTTTGTTAGGAAGGCCAAGGTGCTGTGTCCTTGCTCCACAACTCCTCCTCTAGCGCCTCCCGGTTGATTTTTACTCCTCTCACTGAGACAGACAGCAGGAGTGTGTTCAGCCCAAGTCACACTGCTCCAGCCCACCCCCAGGCAGCGATCGCCCCCTCCCTTCTGGTGTGACACAGTCCCAAGGTGTAAGGTGGAAGTTACAGCCTGTCATCAGTCTCTGGGTCTGGACCCTTCCAGAGCAGGAACTGCAAAGCCTGCAAAGGCTCACAAGCCCAGCGTATATGCCTTTGGGGATCCCCAGCAGAGTCCTCCGCAGGCTCAGGTTCTAGTGCCTTCTTAGCTCGAGTGTGATGGATTCACAACATGATCCTGTCAACCTTCATTGTGCTGTGGGTGGTGAGCAGCACTGGGTGAGCGCCAGACCACGTCTCCTGGCCTTCTCCTGCTTAATGCCCACCAGCCACTTAATGCCCACCAGCCAGCTGTGTCCACCAAACTGTGATGTTTGATGCGAATTCCAATGTTGCTTTGTTTTCAATGGCCACGTCTAGCATTTTGCACCTAGCACCTCCAATGATCAGAAGAGAAATTTACCTTTTCAAATTAATTCGTTAATTTAATTCCTAATTCCTCCCGACTACTATTCACTTAACATAAGCAGCTACCACCTTCCTCTTCCTATTCTTCAACAGCCAAAGTGAGAGGGGCAAAAAATAAAATAAAATTGGGTATTTTTGAGGAAAAAGAGACAGCCTCCAATGGAAGAGGGAAAGAAAGAAATGAGCAGTTAGGCCAGATTCAATTATGTCTTTCTGCAAAGAAGTGTGAAAAATAAAAGTTTGCAAGAAAAGGAATGAGACGACACCTCACCCCACTCCAAGAACTGTGGAATATCCATGTGCCACAAAGACAATGAAGACCAAACATTGTTGTGGGAACAGGGGAAGATGGTTTAAGATTGTTAAGTTGAAAGTATTGCCATTGTACAGGAGAACAGCCTGGCAAGAATTAGGCACAAGTCTCCTGCCTGTCAGTCTGTCTTTCCCTCACCCACAAACTCCAGATTCTCTCTCACTTTAACATATAGAGCTTAATTTTTAAAAAGTTAGAAGTGTGATGATTCAGGTCAGTCTCTTGATATATATTCCAAACATTTCAAATCTGAACATTTGAAAAAGTAATTTTAGTACCTGCACTCTTATAGCTAGGAGCTCTCTCCCACTCTTTGTGCATTGCCGAAGGTCCGCAGTACGTTACACTTAGCTGTACTCTGCTAAATAAAAGCAGATGGCGTGTACAAGCCAGTTGAACTGCAGAAGATGAGAGAGCAGCTAGGGTGGCGGGGGGGGGGGCGCGGTCTTCCACCTGCTGAAGGATGCAGGGTGTGATTCTGTGTAGATTTAGACAGGAAAGGGGTGTAGAACTTTTTACATAACAAGTGTAGGATTGCAGCCTTCTTCACACCCCCTTCCCTTCCCTTCCTCCTTGCATATCACATTCATCTGGAATTTAAGCCAGCAGGCAGGGGCTGTCGCATTTTACTTATCACGCCAAAGCACTTCTGGGAGCCTCTTGGCTGAGTAACTGGATAAAAATACAGTCGATAAAGGACTCTTTGACTAGTCCGAATAGATCCAGGATGGTGCCGCTGCTTGGTAACAGCCCCTGCCGAAGCTCCAGTCCCTCTGCCCTGGGGCCCAGGCGTTGTCCCTCCAGCGCACAGAAGGTTCACATCTCAGATGTTAAGCCTGGCTAATCATTCCCCCAACCCAGCCCAACCAGCTTCGCCAGCTATTCTCTGTCAAAGTATATCTGTGCCATTCATAGCTGCTTAAGGTTGAAGCAGGTGGAAAAAAGGTTAGTAGTGAGCAAAGGAAGACCCAGGTTCAAATCTTCATCCAACCTAGGAGAGAAAGAAAACTACACGTGTAATGGAGAAATATATAAATGTAATTCATAACTAGACTAGACTACCAAGTGCACTTATTCCAGGCATGAAGATACTGGGGTCATCCTAACATTATTATCCTAAAATAATTCGGACCAAGCGCCTGATCCGAATTATTTCCAGCTCAACCCTATGCACGGAAGTCCCGCAACACCCAGCATGGCTGACTGCAGTTGAAAAGCCTTTTTCTGTCCAAATGTGCATAGGACTGCACCCATAACTGTATTTTAGGTAGTTTTATCACGCCTCTTTTCCAACTAAATCTGTCTAAATCGGCTTATTACACACACACATTTATGTGTGTGTGTGTGTGTGTGTGTGTGTGTGTGTGTGTATGTATGTATGTATATAAAAAAAATAAAGAAATGGGAAGGTGAGCGAGAGAAAGATTATCCATGGCTTAAAAATCCCCTTTTACTACTATGAATTAATCGCTCCAATCACTGAAAGAGAGAGAGTGGTGACGAGGAATGCTGAAAAGGGACCAAGCAGCAAGGAAAACAAGCCTGACGAGAAAGGATCACCAAGCATTTTTATAAATGGACTTTTCATAAAGAGCCATTGGCCTGCTCGGTACTCGGCTTGCTCTGCCTGGCAGTGCGCTGCTGCTGCAGCAGCTACTACGGCGACGGAGTTCGCCCTCTCCCTTTCGGCGTGGGATTGGTGGGGCCTGCCCAGTGCAGAGAGGCGCGCGCACGCGCAGAAGGAGCCCAGGGGAGGGGGCGGCCGCGGCGGTCTTTTCTTCTCCCTCAAAGATGGCGGACGAGGAGTTGGAGGCGCTGCGCAAGCAGAGGCTGGCCGAGCTGCAGGTCAAGCAAGGGGTGAGGACGGCGCAGCGCATTTCCACGCGTCCCGCAGCCCGTTCAGCCCGGCTTCTGGGCGCCCCGTTTGGCCCGCATGGCCGCCGGCAGCCCCGCTCCCTCTCCCCGCTGGGCGTCTGGGGCGGCCCTGGCCTGCGCCGCACACCGCCCGGGGCAGCCTTCTGCAACCTGGCGCCGCACCGGCGGGCCTGGGAGTTGTGGCACTAAGCGTCAGCCAACTTTCTCTCTTTTACATATAATTTGAAAGTTCTTCTATAGTTAGACTATTGCAGCTGGAAGGTGTTGATAGCTGGGGACAAGTGGGCATAACACAAACGCGCAGCTTGCTTTTTCCTAGGCTGTGCAGCCTGGTGTGCAAACTTGGACCCTGGGTTGTTTAAGGGTTAAGCAACCCAGTGACCAACCCATGGTTAGTTGTTGCGTTAAAACGTTGTGTTGTTTTAAGGCAATGGATAATGGTTACTTGTGACCTGGCTCTTGTTTAGCAGATGATTAAGCAAAGAATGGTTTATGTTCTCCCTGGGTTGCTCTTTTCCTTCACCCTGTATTTCCTTTGTAGCATCACAAACTGACATGTAAGGAAGTTTTTAAAAAGATGTCTTACCTGCTACTTCTGTAGTAGAGAAAATTACCTATGAATAACTAAGTTGGATTTGATTTAAATCACTAGTTAGTAAGACTCCATTTAAAACATAATATTCTACATAATTTGCAAATGTGCCTGTCTTACCTGTAGGAAGAGGAACTTCATTAAAATATTCCCAAACCGGGTCTCTTACTGTCTGCTGCCATTTTAGGTATTCTTTTCCAGGGAATACACATTTATTTATTTATAATATTGTTATCCCATCCTCAACAACATTTCAGGACAGCTTGCAAGATAGTGAAACATTACAATAAGCAGAACAAATACAACAAACCTCAAAATAAAATAGCGAAATGTGACTAAGCATGACCATTAAAAACTAGTTAAAATATTTAAATATTAAAATGCCATGCAAATAAAAAGGTTTTTACCTGGTGCTGAAAAGAATATAACATTGGTGCCAGGCAAACATGATAAGCCTCAGGGTATACACAAGAGGCAAAGGCTGGTGGAGTATTCTGCTCAAATACTCCATTTGAAATACTCGCTTTCATTTTTATTGCCTGTCATCCCCCCAACATGCACATTTTTTCTGAAGAGCTATTGCACTCCCAACAATCATCTAGTCATTGAATTTTTTTGAGACTTAGCGCTTAAGAGGTAAAGGGTTGATTCTGTGTACATAGCTTTGCAAAAGAACAGTGGAATTAAGGTCTTTTGCTCAACCCTGTATGTAAAATAAACATTTTTGTTGTGAGGTAGAGACACATGATCTCTGCAGACACAAATTCACAGTTTTGTGAACTGTAAAACAAGCATCAGTGATTATATCTTCTAGATAGAAAAATTGCCCAGTAATCTTGCAGAAAGCTCTGGAAGAGCATAGCATTGTGAAAGGATTAATGGAATTCATTTACCAAGAAAAATGTAAACATTGCATGAATATACAGTCTCATACTACATAATTAAAAATGAATCCCTAGACTTTGGACTATAATGTATCTTAAATAGAAAACTATATTTAGATAGACTTCCTCCAAAAGCATTTTATTTCAAAAAATCAATTTAAATAACAAATCCATTTTATTTCAACATATTTTTTAATCCATCCTGTGAATAACTCATTCTTGTCTTGATGTAACAACAACCCAAATGTTAAGCAATCCACAGTTCACAGTCCAACTGGTGTGTCCAAAAAACCTGTGCAGGATCAAATCTGATAGTCTTTAAGGTGCCATTGGAGTCTTTGTTCTTTTTGCTCTAATGTATTACTGTTTAGCTGCAATGCTTAGACTTAATAAAATAGAATCCCTAAATGGATTTTGGCTGCCGTTTTGGGATTTTTCTTGTTCTGTGCCTGCAACTTTTTGATCTTTTCTTCTTGACTGGTGGACTCCATAAAAAGGTTGCATATTCATAACCCCCAACTGGCCAGTTAAAACAAAGCTTTACACATAATAACTCTTAGATCAGTTAATCTAAATGCTTCTTCTTTACCTACAATCTATAATAGCTGTGCTTTTTTGAGCAATTCTGTATGGGGTAGTTCCGTCCTTGAAGGACTTGGTAAAGTTAAGAGATTATCATATATAATTGAGTTTTTCAGTTGAGTGACAACTGACAACCCTAGTATACTGCTGTACATAGTACTAAAATGGTTCTTATTTCTAACTTTTCAGGATCCTTCCAATGAAATTGCACAACAAGAATCGAAACAGAGGTACGGGGAGGCATTATTGTATTTCCCACTGAATTTGTATGACTTTAGAAGAAACCAGTTGGCCATGTGTGATCAAATGCACTGATGATTTTCTCTTACCTTAAAATAGCCATGGGGAGTCTCTGGTTTTGGTAGGCATGCTGGTGTGCTTCCTGAATCTAAATCTCCCCATAGCTGCTCATACATCTCTTTTTTTATCTGCTTTTGCCCTAAGAGTCTTAGCATTTGAACTTTTTCTATGGAGAGCTTTAAGCACTTCAATCTAAAGCATACCTGCTTTCATCTCAGTATATTTTATTGAACTTGGTTGTGGATGCAGTTTATTATAGGAATTATTTTATGTTGGTGTTTACTGTTTTTTAGAAAGTTTACTCCTTGTTTTCAACTCTGTTTCTACCATTTTAATACAGCATACTCCGCTTTTATTATGTGTTTTATTGTTGTATGCTGTGTTGGGAGGGTTTCTGCCCTCAAAGGTGGCCAAAAATACTTTTAAAAAGTTTGAAACATGTTTTAAAACAATAAATAGCGGTGTTATTGTGTTGTTGCTTATCCTCTGTAGGGAGTCCCAACCCTGCCCAGATAAAGTAGTTATTAAAGCTTGTTCTCTTCCTCTGCTGTGGTGGAATTGTAAATGAGGAAGGGCATGCTAGACTTGTCTCTCTCTTTCTTGCACTTTCCCTGTCAGAGAGAGAGAGATACAGCTAGAAGTCACCTGGACCTGATCCTTACTCTTTGCACATGATCCAGGTGAATGGCTTTTTGCCATTCTTCTTTTACTACCCTTTTTCCCCTTTGCAAGAGTATGCATGTATGTTGTAATCTAATAAACATAATTTTTTAGCCTTTCTTTATCAAGATTAGGTCATTCACTGCTTAAAAGGAATGAGAGTTGTGAGTGCTTAATACTTGGGTTCCTTTGGTTGTATTCTGCTTCCAGCAAATAATAAACTAATTTGGTCTTAAATTATGAGCTCCCTGCATGAAGATGGCGTTTCACATTAAGGGTGTTTTAATATCTGCCACCTTGAGCAAAACATTTGTTCAGATGAGTATCTATAAATAGGAAACATTTAATTTTCTTATTCTTGAGAGGATAACACAAAAGTTGCAGCATTGTGGTTGGAAAATTTAAGAAATTGGCATGCTGAAATAATTCACTAGGCAAGAAATTTAATGAAGAAAACCATTTTAAATGTATGGGTTAATGTCACATTCTTTATCTGTGTCTAGTCTTGAGCTAATTCCAGAAAAATGCATATCGTAACTTGTGTTCTATTGAAAAAGTCTGAAGCTTTTTGTCATACAAAATAGTGCTCTGCTGCAACATGCTATGTATTTTGGATCTTTTTGTATCTGTAATTTTATTGGGTAAAATAATACTATTTTTATTATAGGGAGACAGAAATGAGAAATAACATTTTGGCTCAAGTTCTAGATCAAGCAGCTCGTGCCAGATGTAAGCATCTTTGTGATCTTCAACTTAACCCCTCTCTGAATCAGCATCTTGTTTCAAGTGTACAATTAATTCCATTGGAAGAAAAGAGGACTGCATTTTAAGCTGCAATGTTGTATACACATAAATGGGACTAATCCCCGTCAAACATAGTAGATGTTTTGTATTTCATGTTGCTGCTCATTATAGAAATCAGGCCAAATCATGGGTTATACTAACCATTTTTAGGATATAAACTATAGTTTGAGTTTCCAGAGCTGCACTAGGCAACTAATTTTTTTAAAGCTGTTTACTTTTTTTCATTTTCCATTCTATTAAGTAACGTTAGTTCATAAATAAAGCCCTGCCTCCAGAGGGGAGCAACAATGATGGCAACAGTAGTTTGCTAAACCATGGTTTCTGATTCTCGTTTGCTAGCTGACTGCAAATCATGATTTGTAAATTCAGCTTCCTTAACTGTGCTTTGGTATGATGCCTGAATAAAGCCTCCCCATAAAATTATTGTGGTAATTCACAAGATTGTGAATGTTAACATTGTATTAGAGAATGAAGGAACTGTAGTGTGATTATGTTGAAAAAGAAGAAATCTTAGTGCTCTGCCGTTATTACAGGCTGTTGCAAATTTCCCTATAATATAACAATTTGAATACATTTTCTTAATATGAATGAGTAAAATGGAATAAGGGTCAATGAGGGGAAAATTTAACCATCATAATAACCAGTTGAGTAAAGCAGTATACCACCTGGCTTAAAACACCAAGCTATAAATACTTTTTGTTCATTAGATGAGGCATATCCCACTAATACATCTTAAGATGGCAGTAACAATATATGGAATTGCTCTCATTTAAAAGAAACTACCCACTGGCATGATGTGACTTATAATTTCTCAGTTATGTGGTATCAAATGCAAATTATCTGTTTTCTTTTTGCAGTAAGTAATTTAGCACTTGTAAAGCCAGAAAAGGCAAAAGCGGTTGAGAATTATCTTATACAGATGGCAAGATTTGGACAGCTAGGTGGAAAGGTAAGTAGGTGTCTTGTAATGGCTCCCTGAAGAAACAGATTTTGTCACTGATGATTTCATGGTGTGCAGATGTTTAGCTAAATGCTGACAGACAGAAATCTTTTGTGGAGCGGAGCCTCCAGAAGCAGCAAGTCATTGTCTGGAAATAGAATGCTGTACTGGCTGGATCATGATCTGGCCTAGCAAGGCGGTTCTCACACATCCTACAAAGAAAGATTGGTTTGAAAGAATATACTGTAGTTGGAATCATCCTTTAGCCATCTCCACAGTAGTTTCCGGATAATTCTTCAATTTTAAAACAGAAAGCAGATTGTTTATAAACTCTTACAACCCTTATATGATAAAGAGGAGATAGAGAATATCTAAATTCACCCCCCTTCTGGGAAAGAAGGTCAGCACCACACAGATCTCTACTTGGAAAGGTTCATCCCACTGCAGTTTCTAAGCAGAAAAGAAACAGCAAATGGCAGCATCCCTCCTTTTCCATATCCTGCTCAATGAGAGAAGACCTGCCTGCATCCCAAGCCTTATATGAATTACTAATTGCTGTGTGCTTTCTGATTCTGTGTTTCACTGATGATCTGCTTTAAATGGGAAGTAGGCCGTATGTGCAGTGTGAACTACTACTTGAACCTTACTCGAAACAGTTCTTAATAATTAAGGATTTTTTTACTGTCGCCTGTTTTGAAAGAAAAATGATAAAAGATGCAGTAGAAGCCATTTCATTGAACAGTTGTCTGCATGTTTTTCTCCTGGCTTTCTAGGTATCAGATCAAGGGTTGATAGAAATACTTGAAAAAGTAAGTCAGCAAACTGAAAAGAAAACAACAGTAAAGGTAAGGTATCTTAAAATTCATTATAGCCTGTTTATAGGGGCACAGTCTTATCCAGGTTTAGACAAAAAGTAGTTCTGCAACGTCCAGTATTTCCCTAGAGAGCCATGTTGGTTGGGGAATGCACACACAGCATGGCGCCCAAAATAGTACAAATTGCTGAAAGGTAGCAACCACTTGCATCATTTTGTACTAAGAGAAAATCCCATAGATCATTACTTAAGACTACTGATCCAAACTATCAATCTCCTGCAGGATAATATAAAGTTGGAACCAGTTGGTATATTGTACAGGCAGTCTCCAAGTCATGCATGTCCAAGTTATGAATAACCTGTACTTAAGAATGAACTCCCATAAAGCCTATTAATTTAAAAATTCAGATTAAAGATCTACTGTGGAAAATTGCCATCACCGTAGAGAGGAAGCAAAAGGGGAGTGGGGGGGCTCCAGAGCATGCCTTCTTGCTCCGCCCATCCAGAGAGCGAAATCTGTCTGGCATTACCTTGGTGCAAAGAGGAGGCACCAGTGAGTTAGGGGGATGGCTAGGTGTAGTCACAGTGGGGGTCCTGTGCCCCTAACCCCCGCAAATGCTCAGGATTGACTGTATGTGATCCAGCTTACATACAGATTCAACTTAAAGGTATTCTCAGGGATGCAGCCCATTTGTAACGAGGGGGCTGCCTATATTTTCAAACTTAGATACATCAGTCTTCCTGATGGAAAGCATTTTTTGTCGCACTTAAGCTGATGTAAGTCATTGACACAAAGAATGTAGGGAAAACAGGAATCATGTACAGTGTTTACATGTGACATTAACAGAAAGTGGCACCATATTTAGACATCATTTCAGTTTTTTCCACTGTGATTTGTATGCTTCTGAGTTCAACTGAGATAAACTCTGAAAACTGTATTGCTGCTGTTCTGGTAAAGAAAATAGCGGTTCCAGTATTAGTATAGATGATGATTCCCAGTCATCGTACCTGAAGTGATGAGAGTTTTAAAGGATGCCCTTGAATCTAGAACCTGCAGTGGCAAATTTGACCATATAGATTGTAATAGACACAGAATTTGTAAGATCTAGAAACCCACCTGTACAAATCAAGTCTAGCATCTCTAATTCTCTTTGAACAGGAGCAGATTTCTTGTCTTCAGAAAGTAGGTTATTATTTCTGATATACATGCGACCAACCTCGACCCATGTTCAGACAAGCCAAAGCAGTACCACAATGAAGGCAATGAGCTGAAAGCTGAAAGTCCTGATGGCAAATCTCACCAGAGAGCTTGTCTTGAGAGAGCCACTATGGCTCAGTCGGCCTGCCTCTCCTTCCTGTCTATAGGTGTGACAGTGGTCTGCCTTAAAGAGCTATTAGTTTTGTTTAGCTCAGGCGAAGGCAGACTTCAGGTTTGCAAGATCAGCTTTTTGACTAGTAGCATGAAAAAGCCAGATGCAAAACAGCAGCTGCATAGAATTGTGGCACAGAGTGCTCTTGAGCACATAGTATGGGTAAGCTGTTTCTGCTGAACCCCTCAAGCTTAGTTCGAGCAGCCACGTTTTGAAGGGAAGCTTTTAAAAAGTCTGCTATTGTTGAGAATTCATGGTTCTGGCTGACCTATTGCAATTCTCAAGATCTGTCAGTAGAACCTGATCGCCTTCCTGGCTGCTCTTGGACTTCTATTGCTTTAGGAAACCTGCCAAGCAATGGTCCAAGACTCATGTCTTAATTTTAAAATCAGCAGAAGGTGTGCATCTGCAAATATTTCGGGAGTGTCCATCTTCACACACGGCTCTGCTTGACACTATTATAACAACACAAATAGAGCCTATATTACTTGTGGCTGCAGATGAAATTCTTAATAATTTTAGTCGCAAAGGATTATAAAGCGACTTTTACCTGCAATGCATTTTCCCCCCCCGTAGTTCAACAGAAGAAGAGTATTGGATTCTGATGAGGATGATTAATGAGCGAAATAGAAAGATGGTGACCAACTGCGGATCATCTGAAGTATGTCAAGGAAAGTATGCTGTACCCAACAAGCATAGACAAAGTTTACACATTTTTATATAGATGGAAACCAAATTATCTGCTGTCCTGTATAATAAAACAAAGTGGAATGATTTTCTTAGATCATTTTTATACTAAAATGCCTGAGATGCAGGTGGTTCACTCATCATTTCAGGCTCCAGCTTTCCCTTGACACTCCATAGACAAGCACACTCTGCTGTTGGCACCTCTAAATGACTTGCTTGTCCTACATCTAAAACCACAGGTGCATCTTCAATCAGTGGGGAGTGAGAGACACTAGATGGCAAAAAGCAGCAGGTTTGTCAAAGGTAGAGCTATGTCTGCAGCCAAAATAGGTCTTGGAGAAGCTTTTAGTGTGTGTGTATATAAGCTGTGGAAGGGTCACTGCCGCATTCATATAATGTATCTGGTTTCCTAACTATGGTTAAGGGATTGGGGGCAGCTATGGAGGTGCCTCTGCAAGTGCAAATTCTCTCCACCTTTTGTCCTTCCTGAGGAGCCTAACAATGGTTAAGAATTTGCTTGTTATCCAAGGTTTTGAAACTGACTGTGAAGCCTTTGGTTGACAGCTAAACCTAGTTAGTGTGAGCCATGGTTTAAAAGGATCCAGAGCAATCTCTCTGCATTACATGTCTCATTAATTTGAACATTAGAACAGTTATGCAGCTTTGATGAGTGGGTTGGCAAAAACACGGTTTTATGATGCTGTATGATGTGTTGGATTAGAAGAAAGTATTCCAGTTACCAGTTTAAGAAAGCGCTGAGGTTTCCCCCACACCGCATCCGCCAGCTAATTGAGAGCACTTCAGCCCTTGGACACACGGAAGCCAAATGGAAGAACCTTTGAGTTGCTTTCAACAGGAGGCTCAGGTGCGTATTTCACCTGCTCTGAAATCAGTTGTGAGCTCAACTGTGGCTGGATTGTGTCCTTTGGGTATCAGTGCAACAATGCTAAATTGAGAAAAGGATGACTTTACTCAAACAGAATGTTATTCAGTACACAGAGCTGCCCAAATCCTGTAATCCATCTTATATGCATGATGCCATTGTAACTTCATATCGTGCCTTTTTGTTGGAGAATGCTGTAAGAAATTTTGTTTATACAACTATATCAATATGCTATGTAAGCCAGAATGTAAAAGAGAGAGGTTGCCACTTTTCAATTGTAGAGTTATATAGTAGAGCTTTGAAACATATTAAATCCTTCCCATAAAGAAAAGTGAATTGTAGTAAGCTATTTTTGTCAACTCCAGTGGCATGAAATGTCTGTGTTACATGCATAAAATCAGTGAATGCCACTGATGTTCACCCCTCCATGCAACACAGGCTGTATTGCTAGAACCAGAACATCAGTAGCCAGCCTAAGCTCTTTGAGAAAGTGCTTTGTTACTCATGAAATAAGTGTCCATCGACCAAGCTGCAAAACGTGGTTTGATGTAAAAGTTGCACATTAGAAGCATAGATTTATTAATTTCACTATTTCTCTTTCATTATTTGGCACAGGTCCAAGGCACATAAGAAAATTAGATGAACTCAAGTATTTAGTAGAAAAATATACTTCTCCTTCAGGAGCACACAGGGCTGTACTTCTTACACCTTACAATCAACATTCTGTACAGAGAAATCTTAACAGACCATTTGACCATCTAAAATATGTTATCCAACAATTTAAAAGCACTCAAAGTTTGGTATACAAATACAGCATAAAAACAAGATGTGAATTGAACAAGGTCACTGCTGTTCAAGTTATAATTCAACCCTTTTTTAAAAATTAAAAAGATGGAACATTTACCTAGAGCTGACATTCCATTTCTAAAAGTGCATAAGAGATACATTTGGAAATGTCTTTTAAAGTAAGGGCAAGTAAGCTGCTGCTCAACATTGCAGCTGGTGAGTTACTCCCTTTAACTAAGGTTTGGTGGGACTGCTTTCTTGTTCCACAATTATATGCAACTAAATGAAGCAGGGTCATGCTACAGTCCCTCCTATCATTTTAGAAACGTGTGGGAAGCTTAATATCTGAAGAACATATTATCAATTTGATTAAGAGAAAGTTCTAATATGGCTGTCACTCTCTGTAAGAAAAGATGTAACCTTCATTAAAAGTACTTACTGTAACCTCCCATATGCCAACTATGGCTCACAATACAAGGCTCACATTCCAACAAAATCGGTAAAAGTAAAATGAACTGTACAGTCTTGCCCTCTTGCCATCTTTATATACAGCTCTCAGTGCTGGAGTGCTATAAGCCCTCCTAACAATCAGTGTAAATTAGTGGCACAAGAACTGAAACAAGCCACTGCCTTTTCCAACTAGGATATTTAAGCTGAAATCCTGCTTCACACACTTTACTGATGAAATAGATTTGGAGAGTGCAAGACTAAGACTATGTCTAAATATGGTTGATACTTCAGTGTATGTCTTGACCGTTGTTGTTGAGTTTTATCTCAGTCTCCAAAAGTGCAAATTGCATTGGTGGAAAGAGAAGGTCCCCTTCCTTTTCCAAATCCCCTTCTGGTCTAGGTTTCAAGCCTCGTTTCTCAGCATGCACCAATTTTACAGTGCTGAGCATGATGAGAAGGAAATTGATGCCATCTGGTTCTTCATTTTGCTATCAACAATCAGACTTCCTTTCTGAAAGCCTCAATCATCAGAGCAGCCTTCTGCTTGGATCACTAGATCTGGATAAGTTGCAGGTGTCGCTGGCCTCTGTGGCTGAAAGGGCCACATTAACAGTATGACTCCGATGCATTAGTTTACTCTTAAGGGGTGCTGTTGCCACAGCAGTGTCCTCTTCCTTTCTTGTGGATCCACCTGCGCCTCTGTCTTCAAGGATCTGGGTTTGGTTTTGATCTAAAGAGTCCACAGCCTTTAGTTTGCTCTTATCGAAGTTCTTAATGGCTAACTAGGGGAGGAAAAAAAAAGTATAAGGCAATAATCATGTATTTATTTGGCAGAGGTGTGAATACAAAGGAAACACAGAATCCTAGAACTGGAAGGAGGCTCACAGACCATTGCTTAGTGCAGGGAAACCCAGAGCATTCCCCAAGAAATGACTGTCCAGCCTCTACTTGAAAACCTCCATTAAGAGAGAACCTGCTCTTGAACAGTTGTAGCGCTAGAACATTTCTCCTAACAATTAGTCATATGTGACCCTCGTGTTACTTAAGCCCATTAGATCTAATCCTGTCCTCCTGGACAGGAGAGGGGGAGAGTCTTTGCCTGTCCAGTGGGAAGGCTCTTTGGGGACTCGTCCACTCATGTCCATCCTCAGTCTTCTTCATGCTAAGTGTAAACAGCTTCTTCAACTTGCCCTCATATGCTTTGTTTTCTCTACTCCTGATTGTGTTGCCCTCATCTTGAACATGTTCCAGTTTGTCTGTTCTTTTAAAGGTACAAGGCAGAGTGAATCTTTCTTGAAAATAAAAGGGAAAAGTGACTGATTATTTAAGAAGCAATTTTGTATAGCAAGTGCATAATATTTGTGTCTCACCCTCTCAAGGATCTCAGGCTGATTTCTGGTAATAAGGTTATCCCTTTTTATTCTCTGAAGCCCTGTGAAGGAGGCTGGACTGAAAATGTACTGCCAGCTCAAGCTTTCCTGGTGTCCTCTATGGCTAAGTTGGAATTGGAATTGGTTCTCCCTGGTTCTGTATTCCATTACATCACATATCCTGCTCTGAAATCTAGGACAAGACTGAACACCTACAGAAATGCAGCCACCATCATCCAGCAAGGTTAAAGTCACATGTTTTCTCAACAGAAGAAGGGACGAGTATGCTTTCCACTTGGCTTTAGCAACTTTCCCTCATCAAATGGTGGCACTCCTGACAAGCTGTCAGCATCAGAGGGAAAGATTCCTGCCTAGTTTGCCCAGGGGAAAGCAACTCTTCCCCTTTCCTCCCTTTTCCTCTTATTATCCCCCATTTCTTCCTCTCCAACAATTGCAAATGTTAATATTATTTCCTAAATCTATACTATTTCAGTTTAAAAACAAACTCTTCAACTCAAAACTTTCTTCCTACCTGGTGCAGTAACTCATCATCAAAGTTGGGAACACTTTTATCTCTTGTTATAGTTTTCCGCAAGTCTTTTGATCTAAACCCCCAACAAAATAAGATGAAATTAAACCATATTTCAATATAATAAATACGGTCAAGCACACCAGGAGCTGTTGTCAGGCACTAGATGGCAGTATTTCAATGGCAAAATGTCCCAATTTGTGCCTTCAATTTTTAGCACTTCACCTTCTTGGGAGATAAAGGTCATGAGATGCCCTTTAAGTTTAAACCTGTAAAGGTCTAAATCCAAGCCATTTAAAATTATCCTTCAGATCATCAGTCATATCTCCAACAGTCTAACTTAACGGTGACCAACTTGCATATCCTCACAGAATACTCTGTTCTTCCCACGAGCTGAGAGGTCAGAAAGTATTTTGTGGCACAGTCTGACTTCAAAATCAACAGTCAAGACTAGACAGAGTGTGCCATCTACTCTGAAAAAGACCACCAAGAGATTTGAGAGAACTCTTGGGCCAGTTCCTCCCTCTTGGTGCTGTTTAAAAGCTGAAGACAGAAGAAAGACCAAATAGGAGATGGATTGACTCCATAAAGGAAGCCACAGCCTCCAGCTTGGAAGAATTGAACAGAGTTGTCATGGTCATGACACTTTAGAGACAACTTGATGGCACAGAACAACAACCCCAAGTGAGGAGACGGCAGAAAGGAAGATAGATGCACAAACCAGGGAACTCATCCCACCAGCTTTCAGAATGAATCATCCATCAAGTATGATACAATTATCATTATTATGTTGCTTTTCTAACTTGCCCTTTTTCTTCTCACAAGGAACCCAAGATGGCTTGCATAGACCTCCCCCACTGTTTTATCTTCACAACAACAAACCCTGTGAAGTAGGTTAGGCTGAAAGTGAGTGACTGGTCCAAAGTCACGTGGGCTTCATGGCTGAGTGGAGACTAGAACGCATATCTCCCAGGTGCCCAATCCAACAGTCTAACCATGGCTGTTGAACATTTTCTAACTTCTGATTTCATACTTTAAAATTGCTGACCGCTTTGATGGAATGGTGGTAAATAAAAGTTAAATCAGTGCATGAAGTTACGTGCTTTTCTTTACTAGTAGCACAGTCCTACACATGCTTACGCAGAAGGAAGTCCCACTCATCTTTCAGTTTCACAACACAGCAAATGCATTTAGAATTGCTGCTAAAAACACCTTTTCTCCTCCTCCTCCCTCTTAAACAAAAATCAGGACCCAGTACTGCTAGCCAACTGCTGAACAGTCTGATGATTCACTGACGCACTGCAGAGCAAGGGAGACAGATGGCAAAGTGTGCAGCCCACCCCACCCCTTGGTGGCACTGCAGCATCCCTTGTCCCTGGCCATTCTCTCAACGCGTCTCTCTGCAGGGTTAGCTATTCATATCTGCTGCTTGTACAGCACTGGCAGCAAGTACCCTGAAGGTGGTTTTGAGACTTACTTGTTAAATTGGTTGATCGACTGGACCAGCTGAAGACGTCGAGCAATGAGATTGTCTGCTATCTCCGAAGACTTAAAACTAACTGCCAATTTAAGTAAAAAAAAAATCATTATCCATTAAGTTAAGACACACAAACCCAAATTAAGAACAAAAGCCATCTTAGGTGGGATCCTGTGCAGGATTAGAATCAAAAGAGTGCTGGGAGCTGTAGGACTTTTTTCTGAGTAAACATACACCGGATTGCACCTTTAAGCTAGTATTTCAAAAGCTGCCAAACTGGTACACCTGCCTGAGCAGGTTAGAGGTTCTCAGAAAACTGGAAAACGTATTCAGTCTATGGCTGGACTGACACATCAGAATGAGGTGGGAATGAAGTAGCAGAATAGATTGTACCAACTCTGATGGTAGGTTGGGGGATGTCATGTTTGTATGTTCACTTTTTAAAAAACACTCCGTGGAAGTGGAAAAGAAACAGAAGAAGCTGGTTCCCGTGTTCTTTCGTACTCTTTTCCTCCAGCATGGAAAAAATTATTCACATTTAACCCACTGCAGTAAAAGCATTGCACATGCAGTCAGATGCTGCGAAGCCTACTGCTAGCGCAGAATTTTGCCATGCCGTTCTATTGCTTGCACGGAGCAGGCCTTCGTGGAAATAGTTCCAAACACGCAGAAAGGTTTTTCTGACGTGCCTGACACAGGCCAAACAGCCTTCCATCAGCACCCTTAACTTGGCTGGGGGCAGCACTGGCACTGAGGAGAGGGCCTTCTGGAAAGGGGAAATTCAGCAGCTGGAGTTTCCCTGCACTCAGGAAGGCCCTACACAACCAGGTCCTTTCAAAGCGCTTCCTTATAGCTACCTCCTAGAATAAACGCAACGAAGCTACGCACTCCGGGATGAGAGCCAGCATTCTTGGAATACAGTCCCTGGAGAAACGACAGTGGGGGAGAGAGGGCTCCCATCTCCATATCTAGCTTGCGGCCTCCTGACAGTCAACTGAGTGTCTGCTCGGGGAAGCACTGGTGACCCAGAAAGAACTTTGGTCTCATCCAACAGGGATTTTCTTAAGAGGGACTCTTTATCACAGCATGCGCGAATAATTGTGGTGGGGGAATACCCCTTGGGGATCCAACTGCACTACCAAGAATGCTCGATTCTGTCAGTTGCTGTCACGCAGGGCAGGAAACACACAAGCAAAAACAACTGTGTGTGCAGTAAATCTAATGGGACTAAAAGAAAAGGGAAAGCCTTGTCCATCCCAGATAATGTCACCAGATTGTGTTTTTAAAGCTTAGAAATAATTAAGCTGCAGGTAATATCCCTGCTTACACAGTAGAAAGTCCTGACTTCTCTCACACTGAGTTGACCCTCGGTATTGGCACAAATACATCAGGAAACATTTATCTGCATTAGGCAGAGGAGGAGTGAACAGTAGAGCTCCAGCTTTGAATATGAAGCCTACAGAATACAACCTTGATTGCCTCCGTTTAAAAGGTTACAAGTGCTGGAAAAGACTGCTGCATGAAACCCCAGAAAGCTGCTGCCATTCAGAGCAGAACGGCACAAAGTTCGATAGACAAATAGCCTAATGTGGCACGAGGCACCTTCCCAGGCAGAGGTGGGCATCCTGCCTTAGACCATGAGATAGGGGAATGCTCCATTCTTTGGGTTCCATTCAGTGGGACTGTATTTCATTGGGCTACTATGTGCGCATGGGTTTTTCCCCTTCACAGATAGTCGTCCCCCCACCCCGCACCACCTTCACACCTATGGACACTTAATGCATTCTTAACTGGATAAAGTTATTCTATTTAAGACAATAGCTCTAACATAAAGAGATCCAGTACAAACTCTTGCTTGAAAAGGGAATTATCTTCCTAGATCTCACCAATATCCATTCAGTCTAGCCTATTTGCAAGTATCCCAGCAATCAACAACACTTAACTGGTCTACCAGAAACTCGTCATTAGTCCACCCGGGGACCACAGCCCACCTTCTGCCCTGTAGATTTCAGCTTGATTTCAATTTGGAGAATTGATTCTCCAGCACAATTCAAAAGCATCAATTCTTCAGTGCTCAGCCTTCCTTATGGTCCAACTCTCACAGCCACACATTGCAACTGGGAAAACCACAGCCTTGTCAGCTGGGTGATGTCCCAGCTTTTTAGTATGTTGTCTAGATTTGCCATAGCTTTCCTCCCCAAGAGCAAGCGTCTTTTACTTTCTTGGCTGCAGTCCCTGCCTGTGGCGATCTTGGAGCCCAGGAAAATAATATCTGTCACCACCTCCATTTCTAGTCATTCTAGTCACTGACATACCTTCAAATGTAACACTTTTCCCTCGAATCTTTCCATCTCTGTGAGCTTTGTAGTCTGTCCATCCACCCTCTTCTGAGGTTGCTGCAGCCTGCAGCAGTTCGAAGATACCTGAATTCTTTTAACAGAAACGTAAGGGGGGAAATTGGGGGTTCATTCTCTTCTTTTAAAAACCAATCCTTAAATCCATAGAGCGCCTGAGTATGCCGTGTTCAGACTAAATTTGGAACCAGCCATTCAAATCTTGGATCCCTACAGGAGAGGACACACCTCAGGGTTAAGCACATGCTCAGCAAGCAAACAGCCCCTGGTTCAAGCCACAGCTTCTCTCAATAGGGCTGCGAAACACTTGTCTGAAACCCTGGAAAGCCAGTGTGGAAATATGGAGCTAGATGGTCCAAGGGTATGACCTGGCATAAGGCAGCATCTGCTACCCTCTTTAATTCAGTGCTTTACCTAGAACCATGAGGACCAGGGTCTGTCTTTACTTTTAGAAGGAGGGCCATAACTGAGTGGTAAATGCATAAATTGCAGGCAAAACCCAGCATGGTGTTTGGGTCAGTGTGCGACAGTGGGACTTGGGAGACTCAGGTTCTAGTCCCCAGTGGGCTGTGAAACTGAGTGGGTGGCTTTGGGCCTGTCACTGACACTCCGCCTAGCCTCAAAGAGCTGTTGTGAAGATAAAGTAGGAAAGAGGAAATTCATGTAAGCCACCTTCAGTTCCTTGCAGAAAAAGGCAGAATATTACAGGATGGATGGATTTAAAAGGTTCCAAGATCAATCTCTGGCATCTGCCAGCAGGACTAAGAAAGAGGCTGCCTAAAACCCAGAAAAGCTGCTGTTGGTCAGTGTTGACAATATTGAGTTAGATTAAGTAAATGGACTGACTTGTTACAGGCCTTATGCTCCTACAGGCTAATCTGAGATTGGCTGCCAAAGGTAATGCCAAGGCTGGGCAGTGTATTGTCAACCCCATGAAAGTCCGGTGCAGCAGCAGCGGATCTGATGGTTCGAAGGAGCACTCCGCCACTTACAGGCTCAGCGTAGTCAAGCGGCGTACAATGTCGGTTGTTCCTAACACGGGTTGACGCGCCATGTTGCAGCAGCAGCTGAACCAAACTTTCATAGCTTCCTATCACAGCTCTGTGGAGGGATGTGTTGCCCTGATTATTGGAAAGATTAACCAAGGCCCCGTGCTGGAAATGGAAGGAAAGGAAGGTAAAATATATTCACATGGCAATTCTGAAAAAAAACCAACATCTTTTTACAAGCATAAATACAATGGCATCAAACTTTCATTGGCAGATCAAGCAACTAAAATTGATCCCCCCCCCCCCCCCCGGATGTGGAAGGGTATTTTCATCAAGTGGGAATATTGCAGAAGGAAATGAAAAAATAAAATTTAAAGACTGCACTGCAGCTTTGAAATAGTACTTTCCCACAGTCTTACACTCATGCGCCCCTTTATTTTCTGCTCTGTCATAGCCACATGGAGATTGGAAGCTCTCCATCTCCTTAACCAATTGTTCACAACCATAGCAAAATTATTTTAATTCACCACTGAAAATGTCCAGTGGGAAAAACTCCACAGTTGTTATGGATATTCCCCCACCCCAAAATTTCTAAAGAGGGCAAATAAATATGAAAACTCAAAGGAAAAGGAGAACATCAAGCCTTACTCACCTGTAACAGAAAGGCTGCTATCTCTTGATAGCCATTCAAGCAAGCATACATTAATGGCGTGTTTCCATGAATGTCCTTTGTATTTTGTTTAGCACTGCACTCCAGCAGACACTTCACTACCTGTTGAAAAAGGAACAGTGAGCAATCTCAGAACAAAAGGAAGGATTAAAGGTTTTTAATTCCACAGTAGGTAATACACTAATTAATGCAGCTCATTCACTTACAAACATGGTTTAGATTGGGGTGGGCAGAACACATGGTGGGATTCTGCTACATCCATTCTGCAACTGCAAATTTGTGCAAATCCCACCCCAAAAGTTATAGAAGAAATCTGTAAGTCCACAGAATCTGCATGATGTGTGAACAACTCTAGTCCACTGAAGAATCTGGTGGTCAGATATATAAAAACTAAAATAATTTGAATCTAATGTGGATTCCTCTGGTATACTTAGCAGAAGGCAGACTGGTTTTAATTGTCTGTTCATGATAAGTAGTAGATTAACAAGAGTTTCCAACACCCAAGTGTTTAACTGTAGCAGAAGCATTCCCTCAGGCTAAATTATAGTGAAAAAATTATGGTGAAAAAAGTCCTTCAGAGTAGATCTGTGTGTGCAAGAGCTGTGAATTCCATTCAGTTATAGTACTCAAAACAAATTCCTGGCTCAAAATTCTTTTCATTCTAAGCAGATGTCTTTTGCACCAGGTTCTGCTCGGTGGTTCTCAGGATTCTATTAACAGGCAAAACAGAGCCTTTAAGCCTGAAGTCCAGCCAATCCTGGTTTAGATCAGAAGTTTGTGTGTTATTGTATCTGTATGCCGCCCCATAGCCCGAAGGCTCTCTGAGCGGCTCACAAGAACACGGAAAATGACATAATCAAGAATAGTGGATAGTTCTCAAACTATTCACAACAGAGGTCTGCAGAAAGGTTGTATAGCCTCCGAGAACAGCTGTACTTGGCCATGCATTGCATTATATTTCCTGACAAAGGGGAGAGCAAGGCTGCTTTAATTAAAGCCAGATTACTGAAGAAATCAACGAGGTCCTGTGATTTTTATAATGTAGTACCAATTTTTATACTACTATGCTGATTTTGATGGGGCTGAAGAAAGTTACTAAAATGTGAGCTATGTAAGTGCTTTGGTTTGTAGCATAACAAAAAGTTTATTCAGTAGTCCTTTGAAACTCACAACAATTTTCAGGTGGTTGGCAGACAAAGGTAAAAAACCCTTCCAGTTTAGACATTATCATCATCAGAGATATATCTTGATTCCATGCCAGGCTTCCCCAAACAGGTGTCCTTCCACTGAACCAGACAGCAACTCCCTTTAGCTGCAGCCTTCAATGCATCTGGAAGGCCCCGGTTGTGCGACAGGCTGGGAATTAAGGTCCCCCAAGATCTCTGGTACTTTAATGCCATAAGCCCCAGCCAACACAGCCAATGGTCCAAGAAAGCTGGGACTTGCAATCCAAAGCATCTGGATGAAACCAGGCTGAGGAAGGCTGCTCTGTACCATAACAAAGTGTTTATTTATTAGATTTATATCCCACTTTTTCCTTACAAAGAACTTACAGTGACTTAGACTCTCCTCCTCCTCTTCTCAATCTTATCCCACGACAACCCTGTGAGGGAGGTTGGTCTATCTCAACCATGTTTGGCCTCTTATCATCCCAGAATATTCTGCCAGCCATTAATATTTCGTAATAAAACTTTTCCAAATGGCTGTGAATTCTGGAGTCCGCTCAGGAACATTATTGTCCATTAAAGCATGAGGGCAGAGGTCCATTAAAACACACAGATCTCTTTTCCATGAACCTCAGTTTATCATGTTGTCCAAACTGGGGATTTTGCTTTATAGCAAACTCTGGTTAGATTAACAAGCCAGGTTCAGAAGCTACTCCCCTGGTTTGGACATCTACAAAGTCCACTGGTGTTCTGCAACTCTTTGTCTATGCAACACGCAGTGGCTTGGTCCAGATGCAAATTTACTTATTCGCCCAAGGGCTTTCATTCCCTCTTCCAGCTCGTAGGCTCGCTGGCCTTTCCGAAAAGAACCCACTCACCTGGAAGTGACCATTTTGGCAGGCCAGGTGAAGAGGCACTGCATGGTTAGCATCTTTCGCCCCAATACTGGCTCCATGTTTCAATAAGAGGGAGACCAAGTCAGCGTGCCCGTGTAGTACAGCCACATGCAGTGGTGTCCGGCCCTCCTGGTTGGTAACGTTCACACCAAGACCATTGCTGCGAACTCTGAAGAACTTCTATCAGGAGAATTTTAAAAAAAATCCAAAGGAAATCCAGCACGTGTGTGCAATTGACTTGTCATCCCCACCCCCAGGAGAAATCAAAAAGCAGACAAACATTGTAACAGTTGAGTGCTTCAAAACTTCAAAACACCATTGAGCCAAGACTAGAGACACCCATCTCATTTGCCATAGAGTTCTCAATGGTGGTCCAAACTGTATCACGCGTGGTGTATTTCTGAGGCGCAACGGCAAGCTGAGCAGAGGACTTGTTGACTTGCAAAGGTACAAAAAGTTGAAGATGAGGGCAATAAAATGAATAGCTAGAGCCATCCACTGAAGGAGGGAAGCGAGTCTGGGCTCTCAAAATGCACCTCCTCTCCCAGCACACAGTAAATTGAGCTCTGCACTATTGTGCAAACCTTTCAACGGCCCGATTAGCCAGAAGAGCTGTTTCATCCTGCAAGGCCAACTCCACTAAGCACAGGGCATGTTTCAGAGGAGTGTACAGTCAAATGTCAAATGCAGGCCTCCAGCAAGCAGAGAGAGGACGATCCTGCTTGGATGTTACAACAGCCGACTGTGACGACCACTCCAGAACACCTTGTGGGCCCTCCAACTGGCTTCTCTGGAAGAAACTGCTGATCCTGAATTACCCGGGCTGTGTTTGCACGACACAACAATTCAGCTCTGAGAACAAACCATGGCACACTGTCCTGCCATCTGAACCAGGTCAGAGAGAGAGAAAGACAGAGGCTAACAGGTAGGAAAACAGACTCACCTTTTGCACAGGACCACATCTGGAACACTGGCACAAGGGATGGCAAAGCTCCACTTTCTCCACATTCCCCTCCGCTTCTGGTTCCTCTAGATCATCATCCACCCACTCCAAAAGGTAACGCACCTGGAACAAACACACGGGGTGAGGAGAGTTGTCCTTTGGACCCGGAATTACTTACCCGGCTCTCACTGAGGGGCTGGACTGTGTCTGGACTGGGCCACTGCTGGCCGCAGGTGAGTGTGGGAACCCTCACATGATGGAAGGCTTCCTCACAAAAAGACATTCCTGCACTCGCCACCACCAATGCCACATTGCATCTGCACCCCACGTTTCTTCCTCGTGCAAGGGAGCCCACGGCAACTAACCAGGTGGTTCTTTCTCCTTTTGGTTCTCATAACAACAGCACTGACAGGTAGGTTGGGCTGAGAGTGAGTGACTGGCCAGCTACTGAGTGTCAGAGCTGAGCAGGGAATCAAACCCAGCTCTCCCAAGCCCCAGTCCAACAATCCAACCATTATGCACATCAACAAGAAGGCTTGACTGAACTCTGGAAATGCCGTTTTCTGCATGAAGGGATGCCCCACCTCTAAGGAGATAGTGGAACCCTCCCACCTGCACTCTGAATTTTAATTCGGGCGTGAATGTTGTCACTCCACATGCAGTGGCCCACGACCTTCTGATTCTGTCTCAGAAATGTTATACACCAGCAAATTCAACACAGTGTGCAAGGCAACCTAACGAAGTACCCTTATGACATTTTACTTCCTATAAATCAAGGAAAAATAAGGGTAAAGAAAGTTAAATATTCTTGCTGTCAAGATGTGTTTTCCCAAGAGCCATAAGGCAAGTAAGAAATGACCTTCCCACACTTAATCAAGACTTTGACGTCCAGCTCTACACAGGGCCACTCAAATCCTGTTAGCTTGGATTGCTGAAGATTAAAAACAGAGGGCTTTGTGCCAGAATAGGTCAACAGGTTTCGTTTGCTGCCACCAGTTCCTACTTTAAAAGACATCAACTTTTTGAATCTAAAAGACAAGAATGCAGATTCCTATATACAAAGGTGACCCTACTGGAGTTAAATGCATTTTGCTTATAAAACTATGCTTTCTTTCCTACAGTCCGGTGAGTTCATTGAGATGAGTACAGGATTTCTTCATTACAAACACCACTGCTAAAAAAAAAAAAAAAGGAGAGAGACCCTCGAAGCGAGCATAGCCAGCTCTAGAATCAGGGGGTGGGAGACAGACTTTGAGAAGATACTCTCAGTGAACGTTCTTCCGTCCATCTGCCCATCTCTTGCTCGCCTCTGCTATCACCTCTTCTTGGTAAGGTGTGGTAACTCATGGCCCACCACAGTTTTGATCAACAATTCCTATCAATCCTAAACAGCACAGCCACTGGTGAAGGCTCATGGGAGTTGTGGCTGAAAACATTTGGAAGGTCATGAGTTGCTTGCCCAGTCTAGGTCATCTCCCAGAGCAGGAAGCTGCTGCTCGCTCTCAGCCCTTAGCCCTTCTCACTCAAATGGTGATGGTGAACAGGCAGTGATGGTGAGGAGGAAAAGCAGCAGCGGCAAGGCCAAGAGGCTCCAGGATGTGGCAGAAGGAACCCAACAGGGTCATGGGCTCAGCAGACACCTGACAATGTCTCTGAGCACACACGTTTCAGCGCCACATACAGCTGTGAGGGTGTGAAGGACCCCAAGACCATGGCTCTAAAACTGGATGCCCCATCCCAACAACACATGGACCACCACACGGGGATGACCTCATAACAAGGTACCCCTTGTCAGATGAGGCCAAAGTTGTGCTAGTCTAGCTTCATGTTACTTCCTGTAGCCACCAGATACCTTACAGAAGCGCACAAGAAAAACATCTGGGCAGCAGGCAACGACGACAACTAGCAACCAAGAATAGCTATATCCTCCATGAATGTGTTTAATCCTTTTTTGAGCCAAGCAGTAACATCCATAGTTTAACCGTGCATTGCATGAAGAAGTCTTTTTATCTGTCCTAATTCTTCCATTGTTCAACTCCACTGCATAACCCCTACAGTACAGGGGAAATGCTTGAGGAGAAGGCACAGTAGTTCAGTGTTATTTGAGTGAAGAGAGTCACAGGTTTTATCCACAGCATACCCTGAAAAGATGCTGCCAGTCAGTGCCAAGAATACTGGGCTAGACAGACCAATGATCTGATTCCGTATGAAGCAACTGTCTATGTTCTATGCACAGTTTTATGTATCTCTATCGTGTGTCTTTTGTCACACCTTTTTCTCTGAGCTAAACATTTCCCCTTCCCTGATACAGAATTACACCAGCCCCTTGAACATTTGGCTTCCCTTCCTTTGCACCTTTTTCTGAGGACCCATCTTGACGACACACAAGCAAGGACCAGGGTCTAAGAAGGGGTCTCGCCTTAACGATGCCGTGGCTCAACAACAATCCACACTCAACCCATATTCTGACTCGATGTGTCGTCTGAACCCAGTCACGGCCTGCTCTGGTAGCAGGTAGGCTTCTGCCTCTCTATCCTCTCTTGCCCACCATCTCTCTGCCACGGGAATCAGCCTGGACAACCCATTCTCCACTGACGGGGTGAAAGGATGGGAGCATGATTCGTCCTCTCCCTCAAAGGACAGTGGGCAGAGCCTTCCAATCCCTGACTTCTGAACGGATACCTTCCCAAGGTTTAAACATGCCGTCTCAAACACACCTGTTTCCACTGACAATGGCTTAACAGAGGATTTTGGTCAAATGCCTTTTAAAATAGGTGCATGTGTTCAGTGTCCCACACTCACTGTAATCTGACCACCTCCAGCTGATCCAGGAAAACAATCACGCAGGAAGATGGCTCTGCTCAGTTGCACTCTTTTGGGATAAACTATTGTGTGCGCTGGAATGGAGATGTTTCTGTCTAACCCTAGCTGACGCACGTCAGATGCCAATCTTCTGAAGCATTTGCCCACCTAGCTAGGCTATTCTCTACCCTGACCAGAAGCAGCACTTCAAGGTCTAAGGCACCTGCCCCCACCTCCTTGCGGTTCACTTAGCCAGAGATGCGAAAGACCGCATCCGGAACCTTTTGCACCAATGTGCCTCTGCCACTGAGCTGCAACCCCACGTAACCAACCAAAGAAGCACTGCAGAAGCAGCCGGCACCAATTCCCCAGCCTCTGGACTCTTCCACCACCGATTTTTCTGGGTACAAGCAGTGATGTGACTACACAGAAAATCCAGAGGGACACACAGAAAGCACAGAATGTCGAAGTGATGGAAAATTCCACCTCCTCAACTTCTCAGCTCCTTCTCATTTTAAAGGCATGCTTTCAGTTCTTGGGGCTGTGAAGGGATATTTCAAAGTGCACAGGCCTGGTAAAATTTTGGAAAACAACACATGGGTGAGTACGGCTGTTAGTACGCAAGGGGGTGTAAGTCCTCCTCACTTACACTCACTGCTGAATGCAGAATAAATTGTGCATAATAAACAGCACACATCATAAATTACAGAATCAGAACTGCTCAAACCATGGGCTGTCATTCAGGACAGCGAGAGGCAGTAAGCAGAATAGCAGCAACAACACAGCTGCTACACCCCTACAACAAAACCACCATAATTTGGGAGCGGATGAAAGAGGAGGACTAAAAAGACAAAGCGTGGGGGCTTTTGATCATCTGCCAAGCCTGGGCAGAGTGAGGGGGAATGTAGCGCCACACCAGTCTGGGGACGGCTACACTGCCTCAGAGAGCACAAGTGGCAGAATCCCACCAGGAGTTCCCGCGCGCTTGCAGGACCTCCGGCGCTCCTTGGGGATGGGGTGACATCAGCGCTGCCAGGCCCACGGGGCTGCGAGTCCCTCCTACTGCTTCTCTGAGGCATGAGGCAGTTGCTCACCTGCTTACGGGGCCACGCATTGCCCAGCTCAGCAGCTGCCCTTTGGCTGCCCCCACTGCTGAACTCACCAAGCAGGGGAGGCAGGGAGATGGGCTGGGCCCAGAGAAGATGGGAGCGTGTAAACCGCCCAGGGGGCTTCAGCTGTGGGGCGGTATAGAAATTTGTTGTTGTTGTTAGTCGCGAAGTCGTGTCCAACCCATCACAACCCCATGGACAACATTCCTCCAGGCCTTCCTGTCCTCCACCATCCCCTGGAGTCCACCTAAGCTCACGCCAACTGCTTCAGTGACTCCATCTAAGCCACCTCATTCTCTGCCATCCCCTTCTTCTTTTGCCATCTATTGTTCCCAGCATTAGGCTCTTCTCCAGGGAGTCCTTCCTTCTCATTAGGTGGCCAAAGTATTTGAGATTCATCTTCAGTATCTGGCCTTCTAAAGAGCAGTCAGGGTTGATCTCCTCTAGGACTGACCAGTTTGATCGCCTTGCGGTCCAAGGGACTCGCAGGAGTCTCTTCCAGCACCACAATTCAAAGGCCTCAGTTCTTCGGCGCTCAGCCTTCCTTATGGTCCAACTTTCACAGCCATGCATTGCAACTGGGAAAACCATAGCCTTGACTATACGCACTTTTGTTGGCAGGGTGATGTCTCTGCATTTTAGTATGCTGTCTAGATTTGCCATAGCTTTCCTCCCCAGGAGCAAGCATCTTTTAATTTCTTGGCTGCAGTCCCCATCTGCAGTGATCTTGGAGCCCAGGCAAGTATAGAAATTAAATAAAAATAAATAGAAGCACAATCCCAGATGCTCCCATGATGTAAACACATCTCTTTACTTGACCACTTTTAATAGCTGCATGTTCTCTTCTAAATTGCATATTGGTGGAAATCTCTACCCTGCAGGGCCCTCAGTACATGTAACGATAAGCACCATCCACAAAGCTTCAACATGGTGACATGGGGCTCAGATCTTACCATTTCAGTGTCTCCATCTGCAACTGCTCGTAAAAGTTTGTCCACCTGTGAAATAAAGCCAGAAAGGAAAGGATGTTTCACTGCACTGGCTTATTGTATAAAGAACAGGATTCTGAGAAAAGCTAGTGCCTCTTTCCAATGTATACTTTGGGGACCCTTTAGCACAGTTCTAGAAAGCACTTCACTACACAATTGTTCTGAAGCAGATCTACCCAGTGAGAAAAGTGGGACTCCAAGTAAAGGACTAGGAGTAGTGAGTGGAAGTCATCCTCACGGAAAGTAGTTTTCCTGCAGAAAAATACACTGATATTTACATTTAGGGGCAATTCTTCCCTTGAAATACAGGATCGAACATGATTTGTCTCTTTATTTGTCTCTGCACGTGTGGTTGCACAAGTGTTAGCAAGCCTAACAAGTGAGGCAACTTCCAACATGCTATTTTTTTACTCAAAAGAAGTAAAAAGCTCCGACAAGTGATAGCAAATGGCAGTAAAGTAAGACTGGATTAAAGGACCAGCGCCAACAGCTGCAGAAGCTGAGAAATCTAAGCCGCTGGTAATCTTTTTTCCCTGACTTGAACTGCAGACTCAGCCTCTGAAGAGGGATAAGTTTGTCCCTTTAAGGAAACATAAAAGAAGGGATGCCTAATCCCTTGTTGGGTGTGCGTTCTTACTTATAAAACAGCAGTGCTTGGCTAGGTGGGATCCACGTGAAGACAAGCTGTTGTGATCCGAAGCAGATCAAACAGCAACAGCAGGGATGGAGCATCAACATTTGTGGTCCTATTGCCCAGGTCTGCCTACTTGGACTGGCAGCTGCTGTTCTCTGAGGTCCTGGGGAAGATGGGCCTTTCCCATCGCATTCTATCCCTTAACATGGGGCAGGGTCAAGAGAGGCCATGGATTAGTGCCCAGACTAGCCTAACAGTCTAACCCAACTTCCTTAAACCTGGTGTCATCCTGATGTTTTGAACTATAATGCAGGTGAACCCTGAGTGGTGCTGAGGGACGTTATTGTTCAAAACATCTGGAGGGTGCTGTGCTGGGGAAAGGTACCATCTTCACTACTTGGAGATGCTAAAACTGAACCCAGGGCCTTCTGCAAGGGACGCACATGCTCTTCCGCTTCCCCACAGTGCCTCAGAAGCTGGAGTTTGTGCATAGCCATCAGGACTGGTGGCTCTTATTTCTCTCTCTCTCTCTCTCTCTCTCTCTCTCTCTCTCTCTCTCTCTCTCTCTTTGTGGCACTGTTTGGCACAGCCACTAAGAAATGAGGTGAGTGGGTTTAAAAAAAAATTCTGGTAGATGAAAATATGCCATCTTGTACCTAGTCCTTATGCATTGCCAGAGGTAACACCCACCCACTAATTCTGAATGTTTTTTGAATTTTCGCTCTCTAGAGGTGAAGTACATGGCATCTAAACTACAAACTGCTGAATGGATTATTTTGTGAGTCATTTGAAGAATTAAAAGCCAGTTGGGAGGTAGATTTGGGGACAACTCCCTTTGGGACAAGTGTTTTATTTCTGGCTACATGAAGGCCAAGATAATTAACTTTCAAAGTATTGTCTTGGTGATGCTTAATCATGGCACCAAGGCTCTTCCAAACAGCTTCTAAGAACTGTCGGAGAAGGTGCCAGAGAACTGGTCAACTTCTCCGCATTTGATGCTCATGTTCTCTCATGCAGGCATTTTGGGCCAAAATCCTCAAACAAAAGGACCAAAATTCCAGTACTAGCAATTCTGGGTATATATCCAAAAGAATTTACAATCTACCCTGCAGAAAGCTTTTATTTTAGAGCACTAACTGCAAGGCAGTGGAAAAGTTTGGTAGACTTTTTCTCAAGTTTTGGGATCATATATTCATGGACAGCCTTACCCACCATTTGAAAGGAGTTAATTGTCAGGCAAAAGCTGAAACCTTTTTATAGAACAAACTACTCAATTGTTATTTTATTCAATTAAACATCCCGGATGCAAGCCTCTCCATCTCATAAAGTTTTGCTACTAAGAGAAAATAATTTTGACTTGCAAGTATTGGAGTTCTGGACTCAGCACATTCTAACCCGTTTGGATTGCATTTGATGGTTTTCTTTATGTTTAGCCCACATGCACTGTACTAAAAGAAAAAAAATGACCTAAAATAAAGTGTTTACAAATTGGTGGATCTCAGCAGGTTTGCATGGAAAGTAATTACAATATTATAATCTTGATATGAACAATGCTTTTTTTACTGTTGTCACATATGGTACAATAATCGATCATCTGTGAGCACAACGTAAGGTCTTTATGCCATAAAGCCAGGTGCCTGGTCCCTGGCAGACATGCCCTTCTCCACGAATTTGGCCCACTGCCTTTGAGACATCAGAGCAAGCGGCAGCTGCCAATACCACATCCTGCAACACAGAAAGCAAGCTCCTAAAGGGCAGAAGAGAACTGGCGAGGAGGAACCGCCCTTCCCAAAGTGCTGCCAGGCTTGTGTCTTTCGCTTTGGCAAATGACAGTGGATTTCTGCTGCAAATCTTTCCCTGCTTTTAACAATTTCCCTCCCATTTCTGGTAATGGGAGCCAAACCAGCTACCCCAGTTCCAGGAGAAGGCCTTGTGCTCCCAGCCCCATTCTATGTACATGCTGGGAGAGCGAGAGAGCTCTGTTTTCTGTGGATCCACAGCGTCTCCTGGAATACCCCCTTTTCGCCCAGTGGACATCACAGGAACACCAGCGATGGACCTTTCCACAGCCTCACGGAGGAGGCTTTGGAAAGTCAGATCTCCCTTTAAGGGAGAAAGGGAAGGAAGAGCTGGCAACCCTCACACATCTGCAGCCTGAACGGACCCGTGGAATGGGTCCACTGGCAATTCTGGATCTCCTGCCAGCCCCTCCCAAATGGGGAAGCCATGTTCTACTATTAGAAGAGACAGAGAGGCAGGAAAGGCACCGACACGCTGGATTTCTCCTGCTCTGCTAATTACCCTGCGCTTCATCAGCTTACCTCTTTATAATTAGCTGTGATTTCTTCTTGTTTTGCTGCTGTCACTGATGACAAAGTCGAGATGGAGGATATTTGGCTGATGTTGTCTTCACAGCCCTGAAGAGACCTGGCGGGAGACTGATGGGACCAGGAAAAGAATGCATGAGAGAGCGCAGTTCTGAGCACCGCCCTTAACACACTACTGGTTGATCTGCTTGTAGTTTTTATGTTACGTTATGTTTATGTTTTATTGCAGGTTGTGGGTTACCTGAGGCGCACTCTGTTCCCTTTCAAATGCGAAGTAGTTCAGTTCCATTAAGGATAAAATCTGCAGAAAAATCAAATATTCGTGAACAGGCAGTTGCAGTTTAACGATGGGGAGACAACATGTTCCCCCAAAAGATACAGCTCATCTATATGCAAATACAGATGAGAAGGCATCCACTTTACAGCAATCCTCTTTTACGTAGTGCACTTCAGAAACAGGACTGTAAACTCTCCTCATTAAAAGCAAAATGACATTATTTTTTAGAGGTGCTGACACCTCTTTTTCAAATGAAGTGCTAGTTAAAAATTCAAATGCGAATTAAGTTTTTTGAAACCTCTGAACAGCTGATAAATAAAGGGGACCATAAAACTGAATGCACATTGCAAAGATGCCTCAGAATTAAAACCGTGCCTTCCATCAAAAGGAAAGAGATTGTGGTTTTAAGGGGTCCTGGCTGTATTCCTTCTCTGCAATGAAGCAACAGTTAAAATAGCAGAACAAATTCCTTTTTTAAAAATTCCAAAGAACAGTGAGCTTAAAAGTACCGTGGAATTCAATGCACATTGCACAGGAGTCTCCCTCATGCGGTTCTGAATGTCCGGGCTGGCTCCGTTCTGCAGCAGCACTTCGATAATCCCCTGGTAGCCCCAGCGGGCGGCTATGTGAAGAGGAGTGTCTCCTTTTTCATTACCAATGTCTAATTTGCAGGAATGCACATCATAATAGACTAAAGCCTTGACACACTAGAAGGGCAAAAGAAAAGCAAAATCCTCTGAAAATTTCACACCATCACTAGAGCAATGGAAATAGAGACATGGAAGTTGTCTTTGAACTGCGTCAGACGAGCTAGGTGATGCCCCCATGTCTTGGCCAACAACTCCCATTGTCCCCAGTCACTGGCCATACTGGCTGGAGCTTATGGGCGTTGCAGCCCAAAACATCTGGAGGGCGGCCTTTGCCCACCCGCATTTCAGCCATGGCTCACCAGCATGTCAGAGTGAGACCTTTTCCAGCCCATCCAGGAAGTGGCGACAGGTTGAACTTGGGACATTTTACACAGAAGGCACAAGCATTATCATTGAAACATCAACAGCCTTTCTCTGCTGGGTGTTCCCCTGATGTGTCAGACATTCCCGCTCAGCTGAGCCGCGCAGGCCTGCTGACAATCAAGGCCTCAGCTGGTGCTGCCACTAAGCCGTCCGAATCCCTTTCTCCATGCGAAGCAGATGACCAAGGAGCTCCACTGGTCAGCAGAGCATGGCCACCCGGCCTGTGGAGGACCCGGCACGGAGGGCAACTCAGCTCCTGCCCACCCAGAGCAGGCTCCCCCGCCTGAGCTCAAGGATAAGGGATTTGCTTCCAAAATTAAACGGAACCACGAGAAAGGAAAAAGAACACATGAAAAGCCACGAAGGTCCATCTAGTCCAGCATTCTGTTCTTGCACTGGCCGACCCAGAAAGAGGATGCGGGCATAACGGCGCCCCAGGGGCTCAGTGCCTGACACCGGGGGCAGCATGGTGTCAACCAGACGAGTAGACAGAAATCATGCTGTGCTCCATGAATGTGTCTGCTCTCTTTCTGAAACCTTCCAAATTCAGCATCTTAGGGCAAGAGTCTCCCTCGTGGGGTAGCTCTGGTATATTCTACTTATGCCGGGTACTTGTCAGATTAGTTACTGAGAGCTACTTACATCCTCGTGGCCGTACGTGCAAGCCAAGTGCAGTGCGGTGTTGCCATTGTTGTCTTGTACTTCGGTGCTTGCCTTATAGTGCAGCAAGAGCAGCTGGAAAGGGAAAAGCAGCACATTTACAAGAAAGTGCGGGGAAAACAGGAGTCTTGCCAGTGTGACTTTGAGTTCCATGCAAAGTGGAATCTCTTATGCACATCCCCCTTGCTTGAGAGCAGCCAAGAAATAATGCTTCTTCTTGGCTTTTTGCTACCACTTTGACCCTGTAAAAGCTGCTTGTCATGAACTATTTAAAACCCATTCAGCGTTATGGCCAGATATTATATCACCCACTAGACAACACAGTACAAAGAAACACAATGTTTGGCATTCTAGGGGAGCGTTGCAGTGCGGAAAAAAGCATCCTCAAGCTAAATTGATGCTCCGCATCAGGCTGATGAAAGCTTTCTTTATTCCTGAATATCACTGTGGCTGGTGGAGCAGTGCTGCAGCCTGGCTTTTTGTGTTTGACATCTGTCACTGTCAGATCGCCTCCTCCAGAAAAACAGGGGAGGACTGTTGCTCCATCAGCCAGAATGCTCTGCACACACCTTGTGATACAGCCATTGTTCTAAAAGGCAAGAGCAGAGTGAAACACAAGTAAACTGATCCCAAACATCAAGATCTGGGGCTTAAATAAATCAGAGGATGGCTAATCCCACAAGGCACCCCCCTGTTCTTCCACACTGGTTAAAATCCCATGGAAAAGTCCATGTTAAAGATGTTAAAATAAGGAGAAAGAGGGATAATCTCTTTTCCCATGGTAGCTCCGAGACCACAGAACTTGTCCCTCAAAGGGCTGAGCACCGGTGTATCCTGAATGATCGTGGGTGGGAATGCCAGGCACGCTTCTTTCAGCAAATACACATGACCTTGCTGTTCCCACACTGCCTGTGAGTTTGCATACAGGCCATGTGCCAAAGACTGGAGCGTTTGTAAAAACCAGGTGGGACCCACAGAAGTGCCTCAAGGCTCTCCCCTTGAGCTCCTCAAAAAGCCATGGTTTGGAGATCTTCCCAAACAACCTCCCCCGACAACCTGGGCCTCGCCAGGGTGCTGGACTCCAGCCCCCATAATCCCTGGCCTGGCTAAGTTGCAGCCCAACGCATCTGGAGGGTGCTGGGTTGGGGAAGGCTGTTCTGGAATGCTGAGGGATGTGGAACGGAGGCGCCCCACAACTGGCGGAGCACAGGGGCTCCCCCGCCCAACCCACACAATAAAGAAGGGCCTTCCATTCTCACAAAAGCTCTTTGGACCCCAGCCAGCACATGTTCGATCAAATCACAGTTTTATTTATACATTCTTTTATACCACCCAATAGCAAAAAAACCCCCATAAACATACAATATAAAATACAGTATAAAAATGTAAATAGTTAAGACAACAGCATACAAAAAGATGAGAAGCAGAGCAAGAACAGCAGCATACAGGATAGCTGTGGCCATTTAATGTAAACCAGTTACAATGGTTCAGTTTCATTTTTTTCCCTTTCTGGATCTTTTCCTACAGCACTTTTTTCTTCAAATTCCTGCCCCCCACAAAGAAACTGTGGTGTTGTGATCCAAATGCAAATTGTGTCATTCACGTAATAAAGGACAAATAAGACACCATCTCAATTTTTCCTTTTTCTGAATGGTGCTTCCCCTACTCTATCGCAACCACATGAAGACACACATTGGAATCATCTACGCTTAGAAGATCCTAAATCTGGACACCTGATTTGGAATCAAGGTCTTTGCGCTCCCAACAAAGGCAGATCTCCTTTTTGTTCCTTGGGAACTGAAGCATCGTTTTGTAGGATTCTGCAATATTGGAATGGGGAAAGGTGAAGCAGTGGGAGTGGTTGCTTGAGGCCACCTAATTAGTGGTGGCAGAAATGAGGTCTGAACTGGGGGTTTCCTGACCAGCAGCTCCATCTCTGCACTGCTAAACTGCATTAGCTCTTGTGCGCTCGAAGGCTCAACAGGAACAACTCTGTAGCCTCAAATCACTGCATTGACAACAGCGTAACTCTTGGAAGGGCACAGGGGAGGAAACAAGAGGGGCCTACATCAGCAACTTGGGCAGCCAGGGAGTCCTCTTACGCCTCACCAAAAAGGAGGAAATGCATCACCAAAATAATGTAGGAGAGAGGACAAGAGAGGTGCATAAAAATGCATACGCCTCCTTATTTATTGGTATCTCTGAGTTCCTTATCAATGTACAAAACAATGCCATCTAAGACTGTAATAAAATACTGTATAGCACTGTGCGCTGAAGACAAAATTACCTTTCTGGGAAAGCTTGCTGAAACAAGTGCATTTTTAGAAGGTGTGGGAAACCGAGAAGGCTCAATGCTTCAGGGAGCAGATGCTATGCCACTAAAGGCCTCACTCCAAGTCATCATGGAGCAGAACTCCAGTATCTTAATCATCACCCGTATGACAATGCAAGGGGAGGGGCCTCTTTTAGCCTAAGGGCCAGATTCAATTTCAAAGAAGTTTTTGGACCTTGCATGCCATTGGATCACATCTGGCAGGACTGGAAGCCTAGCTGAATCAGTAACAATTCTTTACACAGAGGAGGTACCAGTCTAAAAAGTACAGAAGTGTTCTCTTGATCATTCCTATTTGGATGAAGTCTCATGCAAAACCTTGCAGTAACACTTTGATGCTTACGGTGACATTCTGGTATCCCTTCTGGCATGCAAGGTGAAGTGGAGTAGATCCATGGTAATCCATGGCGTTGACCACAGCTCCTTTAGAAACTAACAAGTCAATTAACGAGGCTTGGCCTGTGGGGAAAGGAATGTTCATCATAAATCAAAGTGTCAGCATCTCGCAGCTAGAAAAGGAAGTGTTCTTTTCTGAGTCAAAAGGTGAACTTCACAATTCCTTCCTTGCCCCGCTTGAGAGCTTTCACAGTATTTACGCATGGAGCTGAATGCCCTTCAATTGACAGCCGATTATGCCAGGTCACGACTTGGTAAGGGGCTTTCCAGCAGAAATAAAAGAACAAGACTTACCTCTGAAGGGGACCAAGTAAGAAATGAATGCAAATTAAATGAGGGTGACCCTATATTGGGTGAAGGAAGCTGCCCCCAAATAGGGACACTGCCTGCAAATAGGCCATTGACCTACATACTATGGGCAGATGCTGCAGTACAAGATTTGATGCTGCAGAAAAGATTTAGGTAGATTTGGGGAAGTGGCTTGCGAGGGATAGAATAACAGAGTCAAGAAGTGGGAAGAGACCAAATGTTATCAGGTCCAGTCCCCTGGCAAACCAAAAGGCAATGACAGCCAAATTTATGGAAAGCCACAGAGCTCAGTGGCAAAGGAGTTGCTTTGCAGGCAAACCCCGCAACATCTCCAGTTCAGATGGCAAAACTCGTGCCTAGAGGGCTGCTGCCAGTCAGTGCCGACATTACTGGGCTAGAAGGACCAGTGGTTTGACAAGATAAGGAAGGTTCCTGTGATTAATCAAACGCATGGTGCATGTGAAGCAAATTATTTCCACATTGTATGCCTTGAGTTGAATCAACATTCAAATCCACTCCGATTCCTATAAGGACATATGCCAATACATATGCCAATATCTCCTAAATGTGTTCCAGGAAACCCTGTGGATCCTTGGAAGCTTAGCAGAGGTTCAAAAATGCATTGGAAGCTACCTTAGATCAGATCAGATAAATGGAGAAGTCAATGTTTTGGTGAAATTCTCAACAAAATAAATTGAGAAAGATTCATCAAGAATGGTTTCAGCCTCAGACTTTGAAGGGACAGATTTTGAAAGGGTGCATCCCAGCCATAATCATGAGAAACATGCATGGTTTAGGTGCGGACCACTACTATTTGGTGATCATGCTCAAAACGTATCCCAAGATCCTCTGCAACTGGCCAATGTTTAGGGGAAAATGTGTGTGTTGGCAGCAGGAAGCTGAAAAATGTCTGGAATATTTCAAGAATAAAGGACCACAGTGCTTACCACATATTGCAGCTATATGGAGTGGAGTGAATCCCTGGTCATCTCTAGAAAATGGTGTAACGATGGAAGGATCATTCAACTTCCTTAAAATAAAGAAGTAGTTTTTAGCTACAGCAAGAGAAGTGTGACACATATATTGCATAGTTGCCCTTTACACACGCATGCACACCATCATCATCATCACCATCAAGATCAAGGATTGCTACATATGGGCACCCTTAGCAAGCTGGCTATGAAGTCTATGAAGTCACTATCCAACTCTCACCTCAACATTGAACTCACAACTGTTTTCTCAGCTTCAAGTTCTTTTCATCTGCAATATGGTAATACTATTATTGATCAACTCTATAAAGCTATTGTAAGGTTACTGAAATAATATACATGGTGTTATCTCTGAATCAACCCACTGCAAACAGAGTCAACTTTATCCTGTCTTCGTTCCCAATTAGATTTTAAAAGATTCTGGAGAGCTTTGAAAAGACGGATCCTCACCCAGAAACCAGCTTCTCACATTTATCGCAAAAGCAGAGCGGGTGGCACATTTTTTGCATAGTGTCATTATCGCTGTCCCCTTGGCTCAACAAGCGCTCTACTTCTTCCTGGTTGCCTGACGCAACATGCTGCAAAGGAGTGCAAAAGACAGAGATTTTTCTGAAAATGAAAACCCAGCAGATTATGAAGAATGGCAAGAAGGATTTGGCCCCATTCATTCGGTCACGCACTCATTCACTTATCACCCAACACACGAATGTGTGCTTCCACCGTGAGTCACGGCGGATGTTCTGTAACTTTTCATAATCCTGTCTGTGTCTGAAAATGCAGGATGCCTCCGAAGGTTGCGACTGGTTGAGGCTCTCAAGCATTCTTTGCCACAGGCCCTAACCCAATCGACCGAAGGGGCGATCCTATGCCAGTTGGGACAGAAAAAAGTTCCACGACAAGCAGCATTTCCCAGCCAGCCCAAACCCACACCTGGGAATGACAGGATCTTTCCTTAGGATTACACCTTCAAATACAATGAATCAGCTATTTGCGAATATGAATGGATGTTTCAGAAAAGCTAATGTGTTACCTTCTGCCTATCCTGCCCATGTGCACATAGGAATAAATGAGTAACATAGAAACAGGGTGAGTCAGAAGGGGTCTCCCGGTCATCTAGTCTGACCCCCAGCTCCTGCCAACTACCATGTGCGGGCATGTCATGAGCCCCAGTTCAACTCTAGCCATGCTTTAGAAACGGTCTTTGCATGAAACTTCTTTCAGCAGCACATGGCCTGGGGTGCAAATGCTTCAGGGAGCAGTGCTTTGTGGCCCGGTGTGCTCCTCACTGCAGGTGTAGCTGCTGGGCAGAAATCTGTCTGCTATTTCAATTCAGCAAGTGATGAGTTGACAAAGCTCCATAACCTGACTTCCAGCACAACCATATACATGCTTACTCAGAAGAGGAGTCTCATTGAGTCAACATAACTTTTGCCCAGGTAAATACAGAATTTCAGCCTTAGACTGTTTCAGTATAATTTTAAAAACATGTTTATCAACTTTCAGTATTATATTCTTTTTTGTAAAGTAGAAATATTTACACACACACACAAATCATCCTGATGGTTTCTCTCAAAAATTCTATTTGTTAGCTAATACAATTTCCTATAATTCAAGAATGGGTCATTGAAATTATGTATCTTCAATGCTGTTCTTATCTTACTGCATTTCAAAAAGAAATATTAAGCTTCCTCCTAGACCGAAATGTAGAACACTCTCCAAAACAAAAAACAGACTGTGGTTTTAGCCGTATGCGCATATCAGACAACTTTCAGAAATATTTCTTTATTTAGAAAACACAGGAAGCACAAACCTTTTATTTTCAATCTAAAAATACCATTGAAACCATCCACGTTAATGGAATCCTAATAAAGTGAATCAGCTGCTTTTCTCCACCAGCAGGGAAAAATAAAAACACAGCTCCAACCAACTCTCAGTGCATGAAAGATTAAACACGCACCTACGCAAATGAGCTTTAATAGCATACCTACGTGGACCAAACTCCAGGACAGCCTGTTCCAACTTGATGCCCTCCAGCTATTTTGGTCTCAACTCTCATCATCCCTTAGCAAACATGGCCAATGGTAAGGGCTGATGGGAACTGTAGGGCACAACACCTCCAGGTCAGCAGGCTGAGGAAGACTGACCCATCTCACGTACGAGTTTTCTGGTGCTGCCTTGGAAGCACTCAGCCCACAGGGAAGCTAGCAATCCACTTCTGATTCCTCAATTCACACTGTCCTGGGAGAGTTTCTTCAATTGCAATCTTGTGGCTTCCTTTTTTCAAACAACTGCTATTTCCTCTTTCTAGTAAACTCCAAAGTGTCCTTCTTAAAAGAGGTGTTTATGAAACGGATCCTCAAACAGGCCAACGTTTTCTCCCAGGTATCAACCATAAAAAAGAGGCTCCAATAGAGTATGTCAAAAATTTAGCAGAACCATCTACCCCTTCCAAATCAAATGACAATAGGTGAAACATCCAAGGAAAGTTTCATTGAGAAGGCTACAGATACTTCTTTTATCAACTCTAAAATAGCAGTTAATTTGCAGAAATATTAAGAGCAATTTTATCAGGGCACAAAGATTCTCAGCTTCCTTAGAAAGGAAGAACAATGTTCAGCAAATTTGCCAAAATAGCATAATATTCATGCAATCCAAACCTGAAACAAGCAGTCTATTGGGGTGACGGACATCTGAGACAGTAAATTCATTCTTTGTCTTAAGTGCAGCTTCTCACTAAATCCTTCAGATTCCTATAAGAGGGGGTGGAAAACTACCATCAATCAGAAATACTTAACCAAGCATGCGTTTTACTAACAGCTGTTTTATTTATTGAAAAAGACTAATCTTTCCTTTCCCTTTGGCAATGCTGCCCGTGGAGGTTTCTAAAAATCAACATCAATGACCAGAAAATAAAATCAAAAAAACAAAAAAGAAAAGGATTAATATCAGATGATACCACCAATAAAACAGTAACACAAGAAGAAATGAAGAAAAGAGCAGGGATGATGGTTTCACTACAAGCTTGGGGAAATAAAATGAGTTTAATCTGGTTCCAATGAGTTTAATTTGGTTGCCAATAGATGGCAAAAGAAGAAGGGGACGGCAGAGGATGAGATGCCTGGATGGAGTCACTGAAGCAGTCGGCGTGAGCTTGAGTGGACTCCAGGGGATGGTGGAGGACAGGAAGGCCTGGAGGAATGTTGTCCGTGGGGTCGCGATGGGTTGGACACGACTTCGCGACTAACAACAACAAATCTGGTTCCAAAAAGCCAACATGTTGAGTTTCTTAGGAGTGCATTCCACAACTTGGATGCCACGACAAAGGCAGCTCTGGACACCACTTGCTATGGCTACACAATTGTATGATATAGTCATATTGTCACATGTGTTCAAATTCCCCTGAAATGAACAGCAGGGGCTGCTGACCGCATTCCACCAGACAACTAGATAGTCATACTGCAGAAAACAACTTACTTTAAGGCGCAGTAATACCACCTTACCTTGGGCTTCAGACCTGACTCTTTAAAATGAACACTACCACCTTGAGAGGCTCTGCTTTACATGATGGTCCTTTCAGCCCCTATTCAGTGCACTTCCTAGGCCTGCAGTCACCAGTTCAGAAGAGTGAAAAAGTGGTGCCTCGGCCACAGAATTTGCCGATGCGTCATTTTGGACAGCAGGGATTTTAGTGGGGTGAGGGTGACAGCACAGAGGTCTCTTGCTTTACATGCAGTAGGTCCTAGATTCAGTTCCCAGCTTCTCCAGGTAGAACTAGGATAGGAAAGCATTTTCCTGAAATCTTGCAGAGATGCTGACAATTGGTGTCCTGGTCTGCACATAGTAACTATTGTTGGTAAACCATTTGTTGATCTTAGATGCTAACCCTGCACTATGGGTTAACTATGGGTTAAACTAACCACAAACAACCCAGAATTTACACCCAAGAACACGCCATGGGTTCTCTTCCTGAGTTCTTTGTGGAAAGAACCCCTAGTTGGCACATAAGAACTACCCATGATTCAACTACCCATACTCTGGCTTGTCCTCAGGTGCAAACCGGTCCAGTACTGACAATACTAAGCTGCAACTATGATCCACAGATCACTCAATCTACTCTTGTTCCAACGCGCCAGAGCAGACTGCTGTCATCTGGGGCAGTTAGTTCTGAAGGCCTTCGCAGCTCTGGAATTTTATGAGCAATCCCCATGCCTTCAGTTCTACAAACACTGTCATTCTGGGAGCACAGCTTATCTTGACTTAAAAGCCCCACACTGGTACATCCTCTTGAGTACATGGTTCTGGTCAGCCCATCTCAACGAGTTTCTGGTAGGAAGAGAGATATGAAGGTCTGAAGAAGAAAAAGCCAAAGAAACCCTTTTCCCCCCCAAATGTTTCCAACACCCCTTCCCGTATTTTTCCCAATTTTCTGGGCTTTTTTTTCCAGGCCTTCACATCTCTGCGTAGCATGGATGGAAGCACTTTGAATGAGAAAGATGGAACACTTTAAGAAAGAGGAAATTGCACTCAGGACAGGTATCATGGAAGCTCTGAAGTCTTGCGCACAGTTCCCACTGGAAAATTATTAATGTGGAGTGTCCATCGCCTTGCAGCCAACCCACACATTACCACTAACACAAACTTAAGCAGATTTGAATATGCCCCACGGAGGAATCACAGTCCTTTTCTGGAGAATGTGCCAGGTCAAATTTCATCGGTGATTTGTTGGAACCTGACCAACTATGCGGCCAAAACATTAAAGCTCTGCAAATTTCTCTCACTGGCAAGGTTGTTCAGAGGGTAGGGTAGTTTCCAACACATGATTTCTGGTGCCACATTTGCAGTGGCACAGCTCGTTGGCCTGGATTGTGCCATCTTGATGTGTGCACACCCACAAAATTCCAAATAAAGCGGCTGCAAGAGAGGGATTGTGACTCTGGTAAAGCACCTGCTCCGCATGCAGAATGTTTCAAGTTCTATCCATACCATCTCCAGGTTGGGCTGAAAAATATCCTGCCTGAAACCCAGGAGAGCCACTTCCAGTCAGTGCTGGCCTAGGCCAACCAATGGCCTTAGTAGAAGTGTTTCTGGTGTTCTGGGGGTGTGGGAAACAGGCTGAGCACATAGCATGGGCTTCACCCAACTTTAAAGGCAAAGGCTAATTCTGCCACTCCGGCATTCCTTGCTGCAAACAGGAGGTGCTCATGAGTTTGGGCAAGGGGGTGGTCTAGAGATCGGTGCAGTTTTTCCGTGTTCATGGTGGACCTGTGCCTCTAACCCCCAGTAATGTGGAGGGCCAACCGTATGTGATCCAACTTAAATTCAGCTTAAAGACGAATTTCCTTTTTCTCAGGAACAGAACTCATTTGTAAGCCAGGGCCTGCCTGCACATATGCATTCGCAAATTCACATATTCTTGCAAAGCACTGTCTGGCCACGTGTGAGGGGCCTCCTTACCACCAACCCCCGTCCTCCCCGTCCAGACCAAGCAGCTGTGCTGGCACACACAGGCTTTTCTGCTGCACCATTTATTGACGCGGCAATCAGGTGCATCCAAGTACACTCAGAACACCTCTCTAACCACACACGCGTCGGGCAGGTAGAATCCGACTGGGCTGTGTGTATGTGAAGGAAACGGTCATTCCAGCTACCCGCGAGGGTTTGTACCCCAACTGCCATCAGGCTCAGGCTCAAGGGGTGGGTGGCAGAGGAAAGTGGCCCAGAAGCAGGACAGTGGCATTTAGCTCAAAGGCAGCGTCAGCCTAGTCCAAGTTCGGATAGTAAGCAGCACTGCACGTGGTGCACAGCTATACAGCTATTATACCGTTTAACATCAAGCCCTTTTCTCCAAGGCCCTAGAAAGGCATCAAAGGGCGGAGACCTCTGACCTATTACATCTATTCCGTAGGGACCAGGCACTGTGTGGTACCTCGGCAAAGCACTACAAGAAAGGAAATTAAAACCATTTGTTCAGGCCCAAAGGATCCATGAAGACTTATAGATCACCTCAGTAACGCGCAAGACACTAAATAGGACAGAAGCAGACCTGCATTGGCTCTTATCTGGATTCAGCTCTATTCGTGAAGGCAACCGAGCTGGGTTCCCTTTACTTTAAAACAGTGACTAAGCACAGGATGAGAAAGCCATGGCCTTGTTTACCACTCAGTCCTGAGGTAGGAAGAAAGGGGCTCCTGAGATGTCGGACTGCTACTGCCAGCAGGCCTTGCTAACATAGGCAAGCGAGGCACGATGGGCACTGTAGTCCAAGAACATGTGGAGTGCCACATTCTCCTGTTCATGCTTGTCCACTGCTTTTCCCCTTCCTAAACTCAAACTGTAGGCAAGAGGAGCCCCACAGAGGCCTTTGGGATCCTTGCCCGCTTGGTTTATATGCACTTGGGGCTGAATGGGTTTCAACATGGGTCAAACACCAACATGGCTAATTTAGGCCACAGAAAAATCAGGGATTCAGAGAGATTCCCATATTGTATTTTCCACAAACACATACATTCAGAAGAGGTATCTTACAAGCGAAGGATTGATTCAGTCTGAGTCTTCTATGGAGAGATGCCACAACCATATTAGAAGATTCTCCTTGTAGGTCAGGAGACAGTGGCCATCTCTACACCCATAAGCACAGACTTTTAATAATTCCAAGGTGTTTTTGGACAAATAAAAGCAAAGTTGCCAGCAAGGCAGTCTGATCAAAGTCTCAGTTTTTGAAGACAAAAGCACTTTTTGTTAAACCAGCTTTACTTTATAAAGAATCACACACACTTAGTCATCAATTTCATTGATGCATTTTATTTTACAAAAGGTATCAAGTTAGTGTTGTCCAAGTATTTCTGCCCTAAACCTTTCTCACAAGAACCTGAACAAATGATATTAAAGATTCTGATCTTCAAACTTTCTTTCAGGTAGAAGACTGAAATTTCGATGTGGGCTTCCCACCCACCCCCACCCCTTTCCCTTCCCTTCTGGACACCAACTTTTTTTTTTTAACTTAATCCAGCATTGAGAACTAGAGTAAGCAATACTTGTGGTTCACATCTGCATTTTTTTAAAGGGGGAAGCCAAGTGCCACATATTTGCTTCTAGAGATTTACCACTGAAAAGCAATGTGAAAACATGTTATAAAAGCAATTTAAAAATGCAACGGTCCTTGTGAAGTGTGCCTTGTAGAAGAGCTCCCACCCCCTCCATCAAGCCTTCCAGATCGAGCCATTAAGCATCTGAATTCCATTTCTCTGCAGCTGGAGGTCACTGTGGTGCCACGTTCAGATCCTTCAGCCGCCAGGTCAGATCGGGAGCACCTAAGTTTCGGAAGGGTAGAAACTCCAGAGTGCTTGCTTGTCATTAAATTTGAGGAAGCTAAGCTAATTAGATGAATTCAGCAGGGTCTGAGCATGCTTTAAATATACACACACCCTGCGCCTAGTGTCCCACTCCCTGGAGAGATCAACACCTGTTCAGCTTCAGAAAGGCTACCACATCGAGCAACCCAGCCCACACAAGCCCCCAGCAAGTCTCAGGGGAGAGCAAACTAGACCAGTCAGTCCTGTTGGCTCTCTAGTACCTCCAGTGTCAGAGTCACCATGACTACGTACAGAGGCTGCTGGGGAGCATGGACAGGAGGTGCTGCTGACCTCATGTCCTTCTGCTGGTCTCTCATGGGCAGCTGGTTGGCCACGGGGCGTCCACAGGATGGTGGCCTAGATGGCCCTTGATCTGATCTTGTCTTGTCTCAAGACTCTTGTCTTGAGCATTTTAGTCCTACATCCAGTGGTTTCCATATTAATGGCCCTGCCTTACTTAAAAGACGTGGCTTCTCTGGAAGGAACCTGCACCATCCCTTCATCTGCAGGCTAGATGCCCCCTCTAAGGGGTCAAGCTGCATGTACAAGATCTCTCCATCTGAAGTGGAGCATACATAAACTACAGTTCAGGGACTTTTGACTCCCCGCGTTCCTCCCCTAGCTCTCTCTCCCCACAAGATGAACTCACTATAATTTAAAAACGGGGTCCACACTACGTCAGGGGCAGGAAGAGGCAGGTCTTCAAACACCCACTACTACACAGAGCTCTGTTACTTTCAGCCCGTCATGCAGATGCTTTACTATACCACATCAGTTTTTTTACCATCTTAACAGGAGAAGCTGGTCAGGATGCATAAATGGGATAAAGATGGAGGTAAAATAAAAGCATGTGTATATAAGTAATTCATGTGGTCAAAATGAACTTACGAGTGCTGCATTTGTTTCCATGGAGTTCATTTCCATTACTTTCCTTCTGGTTGAATTTTATATCAATTTTCAAGTAGTTTAACAACACTTGAACTTTAAAAATCCAGTATCTTTCCTGTGGTTTCAACCACAGAATGCTGTAGCTAGTGCTGAGCCAGGGCAAAACACTCGGACTATTTGATCAGCATTTGCTACCTCTGCTTGCTACCTCTGAGCTTAGCTGCAATCCTTAAAGTCACTGGTGGAAATGGACTTTCTTACCAACAATATATTACCTGATCCATACATATCAAACCATGCTTGTAACATGTATGAACAAAGAACTATGGATTAACTATGAGCAGTTAAGCAGGAACAACCCACAAAGAGAACCCATGGTTTGATGTTTGGTTGTGTACTGCAGATTGTTTAAACCATGTTTTATGTAAACCATGATTTGTTACATACAGATTTGGAACCATAGGTTGGTCACAGATAGTTTCCCCAAGGTACAGAACTACAGGGCAAGAGGGGTTTAAAAAAAGCCAGGCTCTTCATATGTCAGAGAGGAAGAGATAACCCAGCAAGGAACTGAGAAAACAAACCATGGCTTGTTCAATAATCTGCCAAACAAACCATGATCTAAAACAGACCAATGGTTGGTGTTACATGAGAACCAGGCCACTGTTGTGAGCTATGCCAATTAGAATGCCAAGTATTTTGGGGGATGGCTTGGTCCTCAATGGGTAATTAAGACTCATTAACAAAAGAACCTACTCAGACACAAACATGGTCATACGCACAGGTGCCTTCATCTTTGGAACCTCACTGGGGACATGGCATGAGGCTTGCATGTCAACATTTTCCACTACACCACTGGCTGGAATGCCATCTATGGATGGACAGGTCCGCAGTCGATGAACCATGCAGTTCTAGAGCCCTAACACTCCCTAACCCCACCAAAATGGCTGTTTCAAGACCAATACTGCCTGCCATCCAGCTGAGAACATGACCCTCCACAAGTATCTTCTATTTCTTTGAATTATTCAATTAACTCCAGAAGGCTGAAACGCAGGAGCGATTTTTCCTTTAAAAGGGAACCACCTGTCCATATCCGACTGTTACAGCCTTAGGGTATCATCAGTTCTAAATACGGCAATAAACCTGTATGAGACACTTGCAAAGCATGCAAGAACATAGATGTGCACTTATGTAAGGGCATTTCCTATAGGCTGTGCTCTTCTGCAATCACATATGCTGCTTTTTCAAGATACAGTAAGACAGAAATGTAAGAAATTAAGTTTAAAGACTGTGTCCTTTTCGCGGAGCAGCAGCCTAAACTTTTATTAGACACCTTGACGCACCCAGGCCAGCAGCACCGAAGGAGATGCGCGTCTCTGTGCTAGCTCTCCAGAAAGTGCTCCTTGTACCGCTTTGCCAAATTGCAGCATGACTTGCAACTGGCAAGCTATCACAGAGGCTTTCTGCTGGGTGTGAGCACTCTTATTTAAAGCAACTCACCGTTGGCCTGTCGGAGAGGTTTCCTTGCCGGATGTACTCTACTGCAGCCTCAACCGAAGTCAAGCAGTACCCTAATTCATCTTTCGCTGAGCTGAAAAACCTGAAGTTTTTGATATAACTCAGGTTTGCCATCCTAGACAGAGAATAGGGCAGTGTAAGTCTTTCAAACAGAACGTGAGAAGCAGAGATGGTTGGAAGAGAAGTAGAAATAATTCAAAAAGGTCTCTTAGTAGTATGTCTAAACTGTCCCATTTTAAACACCAAAACTTTATCAAACACAAGCTTAAATTCTTCCAGTTGTTGGTCTGTACATCTGGCTACTACAAAATAATTTCAACCCAACAGAGTTCTGGGCTTGTTACATGCAGGGGAAGAGGAAGGGGTGGTTCATTCCATTTCAGAATACCCATCGTTGATCCCAAGGCTTCTGGATGCTCTGAAACAAACAGCCACCAAGACAAAGTGCTAGAAATAGCATTAGTTCTCTGCAGCTCGATCCTACATATTTCCAAGAGCTGGGAAAGCTTAGCCCTCCAAGACCAAGCAACTTCTGCCTCAGACCCACCAACAGCCAAAATGACCAATCATCAAAAATTGAACAGTCATTAAACTGTCAGAAATGTTTAATTCCAAATGCTGGGAGAAGGGGAAGTTGAAGTCAGAAATAGCTTGTCATAATTGGCAATTTAGCTTTATTTTCTGGCCAGTATGTCACCTAGGAGCATTCTTGCCATCGCTCCTGGCAGGAATGATGCGCTCCTATTCAAGCTCGACCGAAAAGGGGCCTAACCTCCCAGCATCTCCCAGTCCTAAGAGCAAGAAGCCCCTATAGCGGCCCACCGAGCTGCACGTCACCCGCGTCAAATAGCCTCTTGTTTACAAAAAGGCACAACATGCACAGACTCAAGACAGATGGATTAAAGATCAGCACTTTGTTACAACTGACGTCCAAAAGCATAAGCACATTTGTTAAATGCATGTAATCCCTCGGAATGGCACTTTGCTAATGCAACAGTTCTGCTGCATTTACATTTTTAGTTTCCTTTGCGTTGTACCAGAGGAAGCAAAGGGCAAGCTCCATTTCATAACAGATGTTCACCCTACACATTTTCCAGATTTGCAGGCACTAAACATTACTCAAGGGAAAGGGATTTGTATATTATACCATTATGGGCACGGTTAGTCTGGAGTTGAAATGTGACAGTTCTAGTGGGAAAGCCTCAGAACTCAAGGATCCACTTAATGGCCTGTTCAGGATAAAAGCACGGCGAGGCTTTTCATGCCAAGGACCACCGAGTATGCAAGATGGTTCTTGCCATCTCAGTTAACCCCGCAGTGACCCACTGGCCTGACACAGGCTCATCCTGCCCCGTGCCAGGTGGAAATGCCTTCCTAGGCCACGCTGCTGAAAGCGGGACCAAATCCAAGTTTGTCAGCACGTTCAGACCAAACCCAACCTCACTCACGCAAGTTGCATGTTTGCCGCAGAGATACATAAGCTACATACCAGTTTGGGATCTCTGTTTTCACCAGGAGAAAGAGCAAGACCGAAAGGAGGTCGTCTGCACACATGGTCTCCAAGTTAACTGAAGGAGGAAGAGGGGATGTGTCACATCTTCAAGCTCAGAAACAGTGTCTTGAGCATAACCCTATGCGAGTTCATCATTGCCACCACAGGACATTTATATGCCCCTTTTTCCTCTTGCACAAAACCCAGGAAGTTTCCCTCCACTCCATTTTATCCTTACAAAAACAAGCAACCCTGTGAGGTATGTCAGGAAGAGATTCTGTGACCCAGTGAACTTCATGGCTGATTGGGGAATAGAACCCAGCTCTGCCAGCTCTCCAGTCCAAAACTCTGATCACCACACTACACCCACTTGTTATTTCTATTTAGGCAGAAATATATCCTGAATCTCTCCCTAACGTGCTCCATCCGGTTCAGCAGCTAATGTAAGCGGGTTTAATATACTGAATGCATGTATCTTACTGTGAGGAAGAAACGATGCAACCAGAAGCCTTTAAAGAGGAGCCTTGGGTGCATCGTCTAGGCACATGTACAGTTTTCCAGAGTAGTACTAGCTGAGGATGATGGGCACTGTACCCTACAAATATGCTAAACTACCACGCTGGTGAAGACTGGATGAGCATAAAACAAAGGAAAACTGAACCCTAATTAGTACCAAGTGAACTATGCCCTACATTCCATTCTTCACAAGCCGGGGGAATCTCAGGAAAAACACTGCATGCTCCTAAGCAAAAGAACTTCAAAGCACTGCCTTTCAAAAATAAAATCTAGTGTCTTCCAATGGAAAACAAAGCAAAAGCAGCTGAACGTTCCAGTGTGCGCCGATTTAAAAGCACGTGGAGGGCGCTTTCAGGAGTCCAGAGAAGCAATACAATGAAATGACGGCGACATCGCCAAGGTTACAGACCTCTCTGACTTGGCGACTGCATGATGATTTGCACCACTCTGCGCAGGCAGAGGAGCTTCTGTTGCGGAGAGGTGCACTTATTCAGCTGGGCCAGTTCTCGTTTTGCACGCGGTATGTTGAAGCTGCAAGCAGTTTGCCAACAGAAAAGTGAAATCTGAGACGCGCTGCCCAAAGGCATGCACCACTTTCCACCCAGAAAAACTGCATGACCCTGTTCCCCCACCCTCAATATAACCTGAGGTCACCAACTGACCAAAGGTAACTAGCACAGCCTGTTCTAGCAGCTTCCACAGCTGTTTTTCTGGAGGTTTCAGCAAGTGATGCTTTTCACAGCATGAAATACGTGCTGTTGCAATCTCCAAGACAATCCGCTGTTGATGGCACGGCCAAAGGGTCGACTTGAAAATCAGCAACCCCACCATAAGCATGTTTCTGAATCAACAGCATAGGTAAGCTCATACATCAAGAGCTCTTCCATATGTTGCTCCAAATGAAGCTCTGCCCTCAAGAGGTGGCAAGTCCCCAAACTCCAAGAGGTTCTGCACTACAGTCTCCAGAAGCCCCAGCCAGTGGTCAGATACTGGAAGACGTTGCCCAAAACATCTGCATGGCACCAAGATGAGGGAAGACTCTAGTGTTATTGTCAACCCTTCCAAGGTATGCACTGATTGTAGAGCACTCCTTTTTCCTCTCCCACCACATCTCCAGTGAATTGGCCACAATCCACAAACATGCATATTTGCTCTTGGAAAGCAGGTACGCCAGCTTATGGCATACCGCAAAATCCAAGATTTCTTTTTGCAACAGCTGCTTTTCCTTTACCCTCTCATCTCACTCACACACTCAGAAAAGGACATGCTGGAAGAAGATTGGTACTTCTTGATGCTACACACCTGAATTCGGCTTTGATGCCAAGGTCCTTCTGCTGCAGCTCCTGCAAACTTCGTGTAATTTTGTTGAAAGCTGCATCCTGGTCAGTGAGCACAAAGATAGTCGTTTTTAGATAGTGGCAAGAAGTTGCTCTTCTAGTTGCATCTGGAGGTATTTTATACTCTGCACAAACATCCAAGAACACAGAATATTCTTCCCCAAAGGCCATGCTACCCAGGAATTGTGGGAGCCACTGGTGAACACATCCGGAGAGCAACAGGCTGGGAAAGACTGAGGTAGAACACAGGAATCTAACTTAATAGTATGTTAGACCATGTTTTCACTTAGGCCAGTATCGTTTAGCATCAATGCAGAAAACTCCCATCAATTGCTACCTGAGCCTTCTAACTGGAGACACCAGCCAAGGATTGAACCTGGGACATTCCACTTGCAAAACAGGTGCTCAACTACTAAGCTATGGGTCCTCCTAGGAAAGAAAAGTTGTCTAATTTGTGTTTGCACTAGCTAGGGAGAATAAAACCTCCTTGAAGGGTTTTGGTGGATTTCCTCCAAACTATGAGCAAGCAGTAAACAGAGAGACTCCTCTGGGAACAGAGGAAGCTGCCTTATACTGAGGCAGGCCATTGGCCCATTTAACCTGGTACTGAAGACACTGGCTGGCAGCAACGGCTCTGCAGGGCTGCAGGCAGGAGTTTTTCCTCTCTGGGAATGCCAGGGATGAGAAAGGAGCCCTTCTGCCACTGAGCTCCGGCCCTTCTCCTTTGACAGTCAAGTATGCCCTTTCCCATGCACCATGAGACACATGTTTCTTATTTTCTATTTGTGGGAGAGTTTAAAAACATCTCAAGCCAGGAGCCATGCATCGTGCCGGCGACCGTAAGAGACTCCTACCTCAGTTGCCTCGATAGTCCCCACATACTTAAAGATCACATCGTAGAGAGCATGGTGGATATACATCTGCAGAGAAACAGACACAGCATTGGTGACAGCGATCCACGTGTCGCTTGACTGTCCCCGCTAACATCCCGGTACTCACATCTACAGCCTGCTTCATCAGATTCATCTGAGGTTCCTGTTTCGCAAGCATTCTCTATCAGAGAAAATGGGCAGCATTAATAGGAGGGGGAAGACGCTGAAGACGAGGTGGCAACTGAATGTATGTAAGCATAACTACAAAGTACTCACAAGGTGGGAGTCCCTTAATAATTGCTGGATGCATTTGGTGTAGAGCGCATTCACGGAATCCTAAAAGACATCACAGAACACTTCACTTGTTTCTGCATTCATTCGGCAAGCACACACAGATACCAGAAGATATCTTGAAGAGCTGTGTGCCATAGCAGTGCAGTCCCTGAGAAGGTGTCGGTTTGGGCAAACTAGGTCAGGAATGACCAGTAGATTTCCAGGTGATTCACTGCAGATCTATAAGGGCTTCCAGCTCGTAATTAACAATAGTAGCAAATAACTCTCCCCACCACCACCCCCATCTTAAATTAGAATGACAAAATGAAGACAGACTGGAGCTATTTTTGTGTGGAAGGAGTATGAGCTCTGTTCAGTTCTGATACTCAGAGCAAATTCCTGGGCCAGGAAACATTTAATTCTAGGTTGTCTTCTGTACCAGGCTCCCAGTTGGTGGCTCTCTAGGGTCTAGTAAAAAACAAACAGATTCCTCCACTCTGAAGTCTACCCATGCCTGCTGTACATTTTCATTCTAGATTTGTCCCGAAACCACTCTTGTTATGAGCTAATCTAGCAATGATAATGGGCGATCAGAGCTGCAAGTCACTTAAGAACACTTACACTTCTATTAATTGAACTTTAGTATTTTTCTGTTTATTCATTAAATATCCTGCCTCCTTCCCGCAAGGACCCATGGGGCCTTACGTAATCCTCCTCTTCTCCATAACAGCTCCGTAAGGTAGGTGAATCTGGCTGCCAGTGGATGTCCCAAAGTCACCCTGTGAGTTTCATGGCTGAATGGGAATAAGTACCCAGATCTCCGGAGCCCAGGCCAGCCCTCAGCGCTAGGCCAAACTGGCTCTCAGTGTGATATATAATATACTATATTTATATAAGTTTGGATATATTATTGAATCAAGCAGCACTTTTTAAAAATCTTAGATAATCTTAATTTAATAATAGGAATATTAAGAGAGGCATCCTTCCTATATGCAAGAAGGGAGAATGTCTGTTTAGGCTGCACTCGTCATCTGCAGTAGATCACTTACATATTTAAGCAATATATAAAAGTCAAATGGGTTGGAAATTCGGATACTAACTATGTAGTGTCGCAGGATTTTCCTGTCGTGATCCTTTAAAGTCCTGTGGAAAGATGCAATAGCTTTATCAAACTTTTCAGTGTGCTTTCCCAAGAACTCTCTCGCATCTTCAATGTTTTTCAGGGAGTAAGAATTCGATGGTGTTGAGGGTTGTTCTGAAATGGAGGACAGTCGTCAGTATAAAGAAAGATTTCCAATTATTTCTCAAATTTGCAGAAATTCAAAGCCAGGCACAAGAAGATACAAGAAAAAGCCAGGATCACCTGCTGCTAGCATTTAAAGCTTCCCCTGAATTCTGAAAAGCTAGCCATTTTATTCTGTTCTAGCAAATGGTACTTGCTATGAAATTGTTCTGAGCAAGCATTTAGGATGGTTTAGCTTTTCATTCCCACTAGTTTGAGAACTTTCTATCATTGCTTTCTAGGCTGAATAAGCTGCTGCTTATGATATATATGAAAGTCTTGAAAGGGGGAGTGGGTTTAAACAATTGGCCAAATCTGTACTTTTTTGCTGAGAAAAAAAAACATGCCTACTCACCTTTGCTCTCATTTTTTTCTAGAGGATGAGCTATACAAAGGATGCTAAAGCTCTCTTCTTTTTCATTGTAGAAAGTTTCCTCAAAGAGAACAGGTACTGAAAAACGATGATTAAAGCCAGCCCCAAGTATGACCATGTTTCCTTGTACGAAGACTTCCTAATGGAAGGGAAGAGAAAGAAAGAAGAACTCTTCCAAAAAATAAAATCAGAGTACACTACAAACAGTTTAAGCCCTGGCTATCCATGTAGCTTTTAAGAAAGATTTGTCAAAAGCAAACTAAATGGAATCCAAAGATTTATACTATTTGCCCTTTGATACGGCACTATAGAATGGATCTTAGAAAATTTGATCAAAGGCAAGAACGTACATCAGTTTTTAGATAAGGACCCCTTATTTCAAACCTCTGAAACAGGACTATTGAATTTGTCCACACCTCGAAGTTCATGAGACCAGAGACAGGCTGCACTGAAGCCTTCACCATTGTTAGGACGAGACTGTACTAGATTTCCGTCCTTATAACGTACCTTTCCATTCAAAGTTTGGAAGTTTTCTTCCACTGGCCTGAGAACATAACAGTCAAACTGGCAAGCGGAGATGAAACTACTCGAAAGACTTCCTTTGCATGGCACTAGAACCTAGAGAAGTGGAACAGAGTATCAGGTGTTACGCATAACCAATGGGCAAGCCGCACACACCAGTTGCGAGGCGCTTGGCCAGACAGAACTCTTGTGCCCGTCCTGCTTGAAGGACCCTGTGGCAACTGGTTCAGCATCACGTCAAGAGAGTGCTGGGCTGGATGGCCCATGGGTCTGATCCAGCATGCCTTTCCTTACATTCTTACGCGATCCTACAAGCACTGCCACTGTGCAAGGTCACATCCAGTCCTGAAATCAGACTATTATGCAAGATAAATCAGGACTCGGTTATCCTACGGCAGAAGCCCTTGGGTAGCCACCAGCGGGAAGCAGGCAACTAGCCAAGGAACAGGGAGAGAGAGGGAACAAATGCTCTGTGTTGTGGCTTCCATTAACATCATTTAAAAAATACTACTACTACTTTCTCTCAAGTCCTTAACACTTTGATTTCGTGTTCCACTCCACAAGTTCAGCGTACTGAACAACAGATCCCAATTAATGATTATTCCCTGACTGGAGTGCTTCTACTGGACTGATTTGGGAATCTTTTGAATCCTGGCATCTGGAAGAAGGTACAGGAGGAGGGAGGGAGGGAGGGAGGGAGAGAGAGATCACTTCTCAGATAGCCCTGTGAAATAGGGTCATAATTCAGTTATTAGTGAGTACTATCACTGCCAACCGCACAACATCTGAACATCCAGCGCTTTCACCATGGATGCGCAGCATGGAGGGACCAGATGGCATAGAACACTAAGCTATTCTCAGGAAAGAGGTCTTTGGCAGTCTTCCCTCGGCTATAAAATTAGCCCCAAGAGCCTGACCTCTAGGCTCATTTCTCAACACTCTACAGACTGGACTGTCCCCACCAGGTACCCTCCAGGTGTTTTGAATTTCAGTTCCTATCAACCCCAGCCCATACAGCCAAGGGTCAAGAATACCGGGAGCGATCGTCAACGTTATCTGGAGGACAGCTTGGCATACTGGAGCATCATTTACTGAAGGAACCACGTTTTACTTACAACTCCATGAAATTCTGCAACTTTCCTGCAGAGATCAGGCCTCAGTTTCTGCATTGCTAAATAGAAGGGGTTCTTCAGGAGGTCTTCATCATACATAGCCATAGGGGCCTCTCAAGTATCCACTGCAGAGGGTTTCTGAAAGCAGAGATACCCCACCCCCGGATAATCAGGTTGCCCGTTTCATAACATTTTTAGTCTGCAAGAAAAGCACCATCTGACTTCTTGTCATGGTCACAAGATGTACTGATGCATGCAGAACATGTTATTCGGAACAGAGTCTTTCACTGAAGAGGTGTGTCCTAGAATTTTGTGCATTCGCCCTTCACTTTTAGCTGAAAGATGTTTCAGGCTGCACAGCTATCTCACAATAATGTGCTTTGTAATGTTCCCAGAGTGAAAATAAAAGCCAAGCATCCACAAATCTGCTCACTCTCAGTCTATCCAAGAGGATTCCAAGCAGAGATTCCCTCTGGAGAGAGAGAGACTCAGAATATTAGCTTTGTTCACTCATCACTACTTACAATCATGTTAGCCTTTATCACCAGCATAACCTAGCATACATGATCATCTTCATCTTATCCTCACACAACAACCCTTTGAGGTAGACTAGTCTTATCCTCACATTAACAACCGTGGGAGCTGCACAGCAAAGCTAGGATTAAATGCCAGAGTCCCAGTCCAAATTCCAACCACCACACGGGCTCTGAATCAACAGTTAAGATGCACACATACAAAACGTTTCTCAAACATGTTCAGATTCGAAACAGCGCTTGTGCGTGGCATCAAGTGAACTGCTCCGAAAGTGGGACAATTCCACAATTCCCACAGCACATACTGTGCACAAAGAGTAAACGCCACTGAATTCAATGGGGTTTACTTCCAAGTAAACATGCCTAGCATTGCACTAGAAGGCTCCATACACTGCTTACCAGGTAAGAGATTCTTCTTTCCTTCCTCAACACAATGAAGCAGACTTTGGAAGAGGCACAGCAGTAGTATAAGCACACAAAACTAGCCTGGGATACTATTAGTTCCCTCCACAGGAACACTGAAAAGCTGATCAAATCAGAAGTTGTCCCCTATGACAATGTTTCAGATTGGCATGTAGGATGAATCAGCCCAGCACCCAACACATGACCACCTGGTGAAACGAGGCCCGAAAAGGTTGGGCCAGTGTAACAATGGGAGCTGTTTTGCGTCTCTGACAAAGCGGCCCTTCTGTGTTTGCTGTTGTGTGTCATCAAGTCATTCCCAGCTTATGGCAACCTTATGAATGCACTCCAAAATAACCTGTTCTTCACAGCCCTTGCAAACTAGCTGTTGCGGCTTCCTTTACAGAATCAATCCAGCTCATATTCGGCCATGCTCCACCTTGGCTTCCCCTAGCACTGCCTCCTCCAGCCAGTCCCGTCTTCTCACGATGTACCCAAAGTACCACAGCCTCAGTTTTATCTCGTTTGTCTCCAGGGCAAGTTCTGGCTTCATCCTAAGCCCACTTGTTCGTTGTTCTGTCAGTCCATGGGAGTTGCAAAGCTCTCCACCAGCCCCAGGTTTAGAAGGCAGCAATTTCCTTCCTCCTGGTGAAAGAGGCCCTAAGCGAATGAGCCACCGTAAGAGAAGTTTTGCTTCTCCAGGGATGTTGTCCTTGGGAGGTCCCTCGCCAAGAACCTACCCTAAAACATGGTTTGCCCAACTTGGCGCCCTCCGGATGTGGACTGTAATTTCCAGCCAGCCTGACCAATACCATGTGCTTTATAGTCTGATTTTCTTTAGCATGCAGAATCTTAGCTTATTTTAACAGGGCATATCCACAATCTCCTCTCTCCCCATTTCGTACCGTCTTTTTCTTCAAGGCTGGGAGAAGCATGTGACAAGTATCTGACATCTTAAGTCTGATTATACTAAGGTCAGTTAGGCTTTTTTCAGGCTTGTGCTCAGACTTACACACTTTAGAAAAGTAAAGAGGCCATGGTGACCCACACAAGCTGCTTCATTTCCATAATCACCTGCAGGTTGCTAAGTCATGCAAACATGGAAGGCAGATGGCAACCAATGGCCTGTTCTGGGGTGGTCTGGAAGCTGTCCCTGCTGCTCACCTGGTTGGGTTTGGACAGCACAGCAAGCCATACCTGGTGAGGGTTAATATGGAAATTAAGGCTTCCAACCCACAATTTATCATCCAGCAAGCCATGATTCCAGGGTGGTACGGCAGCTGCCCGCCTTCACTGGGTTTGGATGGCACAGCAAGCTGTGTCCAGACCCAGTAATTATGGAAATAAGGCCACACACCACCAGCAAGTGCAGTGTGGGAAAAAGAAGCCACTGCAAAGTCAATATGCTGCCCAGTCTCTACCTCAAGTCTTTCTCTCCCAAACTGGTTTACTTCAGTGTTTCTCTTCCTGTCCAGCTTCTAACCTTGCTGTTTCTCTCCCAGTCTCACTGCTTCTCTTCCCAACCCTTTCCATGACCAGGAAGAGACCGCTTCTGGAACCTGCTCCATCTTGAATGGCCCACAGACCATTCCCCCTTGATCTCTCTTACTCTCGGCTTCCCTCTTCTAGCCTTGCTTTATCTACTCCCTAGCCCCTTTCCTGCCTATTTCTCCCACTTCCACATCCCTAGCCTTCTTTTGTTCCCTTCCAAGCCCCAGCCTTGCTGTGTTCCCCCCTCAGCACTTTGCTGTTTCTCGTCGCCTCTAGTCCAGCTCTTCCCCCCACCACCTCTTTGCCTTGCTTCTCTCCATTCTAGTGCCCAGCCTTGCTCATTCCATCCCCTCTGCATCTTTGCCCTGCGTTTTCTCTCCTGCTCCCTCTCAGCCACTAACCTAGCTGTCTTTCTCCCTGCTGTCAGTTTGCCTTGCTGTTTCTCCCGATTCCGAGCCTTCCTCTTTCTCTGGCTAAGTTCTTCTCCTGCTCAATCCCTACTTCCGCTTGCTTGCTTTTCACCCCTTTAGCTCACTGTGTCTTTCCCCTCCCAGCCCCTTCTCTCATATTTCACAGGTGAGGGCTCTGCCAGGAGGAGGAAGCTGGAGCAGCAGGAGTTGAACAGAATACCCTAAACCTGAGGTTTACGCAGGAAAAGTCTTTTCTCTCCTGTTGTGGCTGGGGCCATTTCTCCTTCCTTTGAAGCAAAGGAAAGGTATGCAGGTGCCTGGATGTGAACAGGATAAACAATCTTATGTAGCCTATTTAGAAGTAATTCCCACTGAGTTCCATATAAGCATGCATGAGTCTGCAACCTGATTGTCATCTTGGTGTTCTTCTGTAGTGCAAAATAGGCAGATTGGCTTTGGAGTTAAAAGCTTTCTTCTGCTATTTTTACTAGCCAGGTAACTACAGCAGCCGTTACCCAACTAGCCACATCCTCCATAAAAGTAATTTTGCGGTGGCGCTCACAGCAGTTTCTTGAATTCTCAAATGGGCCCACAGCCCCAAAAAGGTTGGGCAACCCTGGCCTAAACATGCCTAAACCCTGCATGTCACAAAGCAATGAGACCCACCTGAAGAAGCACTGAAACCCATCAGTGGGCACCTGACCCACAGTGTGAGAAACACAGAGCTAGGCAAAGATGGGGCAACAACACGTGGCATTTAACACAATTTTAGGAATGCTGCTAGTTTAATCAACAGGCATCAACAAGGTAAATAAATGGAGATGGTCCCAACTCAAATCCAAACCAGACCACAGTGATCTGAAGTCCTTTCAGTTTGACAGCTGGCAGCTCCAACTGGCCAGGAGAAGATGTTCAAGTGACGGCATGCCCGCAAGTTCCAGCACCAGAGTTATGCAGCACATGCACAGAGCTAGTCCTGAACTGCTTCAAGGCAACCAAAGAAACAAGGCAAACAAAACTGACAGCAGCTCCCAGCACTATCTGATAGCATCCTTCCTCTCCCCTCCACCTCACTGTTAATTTCCCTTTTCTGATTTCTACCCTGCTTTTTATATTTTTAAAGAACTCAGAGTGGCTTACATCATTCTCCTCTGCTTGCTCTCCACCGGATCTGCACAACAACGACCCTGTGAGGTAGGTTGGGCTATGAGTCTGTGACTGGCCCAACACCACTCATTCAGCTCCATGGCTGAGCAGGGACTAGAACCCAGACCGTCTGAGTGCCAGTCGCACGCTCTTAGCACACTGGCTCTCATCTTTATGTTTCAGGTGCAAGTCCTACACCCACGTCGTCTTCTGTAGAGTGTTATTGAAGCCCAGGGGTCTGGAGGCAATGGTTCGGAGCTCCACGGCTAGATATGCCCCGGGGGGGGGGCATTTGTTGTACAACAGGGAACTTGGCCAACTTGTCTGACCAGGCAGAGCTACAATACTGCCCCTCAGCCCAGTCCCGGACACATTCTTCCGCCGTCTCCTCTCCCTGCTCCACTACTTCCCATCCAGTATATTTTCTTGCATTTTCTCTCTCACATGTGCCTTCCTTATGTCTTCCATGCAGCTCAGCAATATGCACAGGGTTATTTCCTTCCTATACCTTTGCACCCCCTCCCTGTAGCAAACTAGACTGAAAGGTGGTGGCTGACGCACAACTATCTTTTGTGTGCTCGGCCTAGAAGCAAACAACACCCGCCCCCCCCCCCCGAGCCACACATCTCAGCCCCCATTACGTAGGTTGCACAGTTGCAAAATTCAGCAGTGGGGGAAGCAGGAATGGCAGGTAAAGATCACTTCTACATACCAGAAATTAGCAGCCTACACTGCCTGTCCTGGCATACGCGCTTTCTTTCTACAAGCAAGCTTTGCAATGTGGGAGAGCATGTTCTAGTTGGTGTTCCACGAGGTTGATTATGCAGGAGGGATTTTTAATGTTTATATTTATTGTAATTTATTGTTGTAAGCCGCCCCGAGGCTTCGGCGACTGGGGCGGCATAAAAATGTTTTAATAAATAAATTAATACCACAAGGCTTTCATGAACGTGTGTATCAGCTGGAACTACGTGGTCACTCCATACAGTGTTATCCTCAAATAAAAGCCTCATTTGTCACATCTGATCACAATTGAGTTTCCTGGTGTGATTAGCACCACCCCTTTGTAAATAGGTTTAATGGCGTATGTAGAGAGGATGCTTAGAGACTCCCCAGCTACCTAGTTCAAATTTGGAGTGGGAAGGGGATGAAGAGGAAGTAGCAAAGATGGTTCTGAACTGCCAAGGGCACCATACCCCCTTTTTCAGACAGAATGTGACATTATAGAACTGGAAGAGCTAGAGATTGAAGGAGAATTCTCAGACCCCTCCAAGAGGCATCATATCAGGCCAAGAAAGCAGAGCAATTAAGGGTTGTCCCGGCTCCCCTCTAGCTCCATGAGCCACCCTGACAGTGGAGTCCAACCCTTTCCCAAAGAGGGAAGGAGGCAAAGATTCCAGTTTGGATTAAACTCTTCACATGGGCAGACACTACTCCCACATATTAATGGGACTGCTACTTTGATTTATGCTGTTTGCTGACCTGTAGAGTTCAATAAAGGGCTGTGTTTTAAGGTTTTATTCAAGTCTGCTGGGGAGTGACAGTCCCTCTCCAGACAGTTTAATACAACAACCAAACATGTTTTATTTCAAGGTCACTTAAGCACAGATAAGCCAATTTCTGCCACAGTTACATTATCAGGCTAAAGCATGCTCTATTTTTGCCCTTGGTAACCACAGCATGTGTTCAAGGTTTAAGGGCTCAATCCTACGCTGCTTAGATGAAAAGAGTCCTAAAATAGCATGCCCCAATCCCACACTGATTGGGATATGCTGGAAGTTGTCAATTTTTTTTCTGCCCTGTGTAAGATTGCACCCTACCACAATTAACTATTTCAGAGGAATGGGTCCATTCTTTTACCACTCTTAATTCAAACTATAAAGCACATAAATTTTATAAATTGTGGGCCTCAGACTGTAAGACAGACATAAATATAAATGTCCTAGAGCAGGGGTCGGCAACCTTTAACACTCAAAGAGCCATTTGGACCCGTTTCCCACACAAAAGAAAACACAGGGAGCCATAAACCCCTTTTGATATCTAAAATGAAGATAACACTGCATATATCGTTTTTTACCTTAATGCTACGTATATCTTCATTATGATTTAGCTACAGCTCTTGTTCAGTCACTAAAAACTGTTATTTTTAATCTTACATTATAAACTAGTAGGACTCCTTTCATATGCTTTGAATAGGAGAACAGCTTCCTGCAGAGTCAAAGTCAGTGCTAAAGGGCTGCATGCATTAAACAGCAAACCCCATAAGTTCGTCAGCAGTAAAAGGAAATGAATCTACCCAAGTTTCATTAAACATTCTGTTTTCTTCAGAAACTTTTCTTTTCTTCAATTTATCCCAGCGCTGTGCCGGCCACGCCGCTTGCCAGCATGGGCCGCGGATCTGCGGCAGCTGTGACGCAAACGACGGAGCCACAGCAGAGGCATTCGAGAGCCACATACGACTCCGGAGCCACGGGTTGCCGACCCCTGGCCTAGAGGAATAAAGCGCTCTTTGCCTCATGCTGCAGAGCCCATGAAGAAGCCACCAAGAGAACCTCTCTCAAAAGTTGCTCCTTAACTGGGCTGCCATGACCCAGAGGCCTCCTCCATTGTTCTCCCTTGCCTCACTTTATTCAGCAGAGTGACCCAGGGGCTGAAGAAAATTGTCAGATAAATACACACAAGAGACAAGGTCAACTGTCAATAATTAACTATTGTTTATGTGATTATGAATAACTTCTCCATTGTGTTTGATTGAGACAGCCAAACAATGATGAACTGCAAATGGCCACGTAGTTGCAAGAGGTTTCTGCATCTGTTTTGATTTTGCTGTGTTTTAGAATGGTGTTTCTGTAAAATTATATTTTGCTGTTGCAAGCCACCTTGGGAGGGTTCCTGCAAAAAGGCAAACGAATGATCTTTTTAAATAATGATCTTCCATGTTCAGATGCAGCACATATCCAGAACAAATGCAGGATGTTTTATTCTCTGCAACAGCAAGAATAATTCTTCCCTATTCCCAAGCTAGACAGGGAATCTCATATCCATTTCAAGTCACCGTAGCATCAGAAAAGCGCCTACCACGCCATTCACTCCATCTTAAGAAGTTTTTTCAGGACCTTTAGCTGATCTGTATATTCTTTGAAAATTATGGTTAAACTACAGCCAAAGCTACAAAGACAACTAACCTGAAGCAGATGCTCAAAGCAGGTGTGGAACCATCCAATCTGAGGACCAACCACAGGATTTAGAGGTGGTACCTGGTGGCCCTTTGCTATGAGTGCGCACAGCAGCAGGTTGCAGTGTGGAGCCTGGGGTCCCAGCCAGCCCTTTTGTATTCCATCCCCCATGCCACGCCAGAGCACCCTTCTGTTCTGCAGCCACTAAGATGTGGGGTGTTTTAACGAACTGCTCCCTTACTTTCCTCTGAATAGCATTTGTGTGTGTGTGCAGAAGCCTGCTCATCCCTCTCTTCTGGGTGTGGCATGCAGAACCCGGGACCCTACTGTCAGCTCCCACAAGCACTAGCCCACATGGCCACTGGCCAGGGATGCTGGGAGCCACGGACCAGCAGCACCTAGGATCCTACAGGTTTCCCATCCCTGATATCTTGACTATGAGGGAGTTCTCTTGGCTGCTTATAAGCCATTGCACAAGACATAATACAGATTAAGGAGAGAACCACAGCACTTTGCAAGCAGCCGCCTAACAGGAGAAACATTCTAGGCTAAACACCGAACAGTTACCAAGGTAGAAAAACATCTTTCCAGTACAAATACACAGGTGTATTCTAGACTAATGTCAGAAGCCAGATGTTTCTAGACAACCCATAGCAGGCCAGCTTTCCAGCAACATTCAGAGGTATGTTTTCTAAACATTTTTTCCCAATATGATGCCCTCTACATTTGAGGCTGTGACTCCCATCATACCTGGCTAGCATGGTCCATGGGAATGGTAGTCCAAAACTTCTTGGGGAAAAACTGCTCCAACGGCTTGCTGATATCACCCACAATTGAATTTAAATTACCCTTCATAATAGGACATCCAGTGTGGTGAGGTGATTAGAATGTCAGGTCAAGACTGTGAACATCCAGGTTCCAATCCTTGCTAAGTTATGAAGCTCAACTAAACCAGCTCTCCTTTCCCAAGCTAACTAGCCTCACAGGTTGTTGCAACAATAAATATTTGGGCTGGAGGGGAGGAAGCATCCTGCATACTGCCTTGAGCTTCCCGAAAGGCTAGGAAATAAGAACAAGTATAGAATACAAAACTGCAAAGCACTGACATTCCAAAGCCTTTGCCACAAAAAGGTAAAGACCCGTACAGAAATGAATTGGTTTAAAACGCCAGCTGGTTTGCTACCTTGACCTAACTTCAGAAGCAGAGCTCATGCAATCTCTCCTCCTCAAGGAAATCAGTTGACAAAGTGTGCATACAACACAACAGGCACATGATTAGGTATCACTGACAGTGTGAGCAGCACCCTGTGCATTGAGTATATGCTTTTAACTTAACAGCTATGTTTTGCAATGGTGTTTTCATAGCTGCAAACTCCCATCCCCAGATTTATATGAGTGCAATACTTTTATTAAGCCAAACAAAAAGTTGTTACAGATATGCAAGTTTTGAACTCTTTAGATCCTTCCATGAGGCAGATTGTTCCAAAAAATGGCATGGAATGTTATGTGTTGCTGAGTTGTCTCTGACTTATGGCAACCCTGTAAATGAAAGCCCCCCCCCCCCAAATATCCTATCCATGACAGCCTAGCTCAGCTCTCATATATCCAAGGCTGTGGCTTCCTTTATGAAGTCCTATAAGTGTGTGTGGAACAGACATAAATAAAACATGCTGAAAGTGAACTCACAGCACGTCATATATAGAGTACCAAGAAGAAATAGGATAGGAAGGATCTACAGGCATTCAAATTGGTCCTGCAGGTCATGTGATTGTTACCCGTTGGACCTCCAGCTGCCTCAGGAGAGATGTGAACCAGTAAGCAAAAGATGTTGGACCCCCCCCCCCATTTTTAATTATAAAATCAATTTACTGTTCAAGTATGTTCCGTTCAGGGAGAAACATGCTGGTCCCCTTTACCAATGGATCGCAAAGTAACATTAGGCAGCCTTTAAATGAACCAAACTGGAGTTAGTTTTTCAGATTATTTTTTTGGAGGACGAGATCTTTTGACCTCTGGTTATAGGAAACCATAAACACCACCATGCATGTTTTAAAGACATACATTTTTCCAGTATATGCAATATCGTAGCTTTCAACCCCCAATCTCAAGTTTATTCTGTCAAAAATAAGCGACAATTTCCTTCCCTTTTTTCAAAAGAGAAGCAATCGAAAAGGAAACCCCCTACCATTTCGAACACAAAAAGGCTTCAGACTGGAAGGAGGAACTGCAGTGCGTTGCAATTCTATGCACACTTACTTGGATGGAAGCCCGGCTGAAGCCAGCGGTGTTTACTTTTAAGGAGACACACGGATGCTCATTCCTGAGGACGCACCCTATGATAACCTCCCACGAGCCACAGGTCTTACCCTAGTGAGGGTGAATATTACCTGACCAGGATGCATATTTAGCATACTTCGACTGCATTTTCTCCATTAAGGACACAACCCAAGTAAAGTTCGAGACAGACAGGAGTCCTACAAGAGACTGGCTGGGGAACGTTACGAGTTCCTGGACTTCTCTATTTAGCTGAACATACAAAGGACTGTATCCTAAGTGAGCTTTTACCAACATGTGCAGTCATCTTCCAGCTACTGGCTAAGACAAGTGGCCCGCTTAACTTTTCTGCACCAGCCCACAAGTTAACTCCCTTCGCAAAACAACACACGGCTCAAAGAGCAGGGAGCGTCGGAGACCCTTAACGCTTTAAGGCATAGGACGGTGGGGAGGAACAGACCCACCCGGGCTCGAAAGCAGCAGTCCGCGGGAGAAAAAGCAGCCCAGGCTATGCCACTGCTAAGCGCGACTTCCCTGCTGCCTTCCCTCCACAGCTACTAAGAGAGGAGTAACGCCACCCCAAGAGCGCTCAGCACCCCGAGAAAGGCCTGGGGAATGCCCAAGTGCCCGGCGCCTTCGCTCTCCCGCACGGCGTCACCCCTTTCCCGGGACCGGCCGCGGCGGCTGCAGAGCCTTTCCCCGCCTCTCACTCACTCACGAAGTTAGCCGGGCTCTCGTTCCTCGGCGAGGTCCCCTTGGTACCCCCCGCTCCTCGTCATCCTCCACCCCGGCCCCCCTCCGCAGCCTCCGCCTGCGCTTTCCACCAAGCCCGACCTCCTAATTCCTACCCAGAGCCAGCGAGGCGGGTCCTACCCAGCGGGCGAGCCAATGAGCCGGAGCGCTCCTGCAACCGCTCAAGCCACGTCGGCGCAAGCGGCCGCCGAAGAAGGAGGAGCCCGCCGAGGAGGAGGTGCCGCCGCGCCAGGCGGGGAGAGCGAGCGGATCCGCGGCGGCGAGCTGCTGTGTGAGGCTACTTCCTGCCGGAGCTCCATGTGACCGCGCCTCGGGCTCCCGCTGCGCGCTATTTATCGCTGGCCGCCCGGGCGCTGCTCGGGAGAGGGAGGCGCGCGCGCCCGGCTGCAGCCGCGGCGGCGTCGCGCGTTTAAAGGGGGCGAGCGGGGCTGCCTCCCGCGCCCGAGGACGAGTCGAGCGGATCGAGAGGCGATCGGCGTGGGACTTCGTGCGCCTCGCCCGCCCTTCCTTTCCGAAGACTGCACACCGGTTCCCGGGGATGTTTGCGAGCCGCCAGCGAGGGGCGATGGTGTGTCTCGCTCGCCAGGGCGCGCTCCAAAGCTCCGGGCTTCTCGTCGCCGCCAGAGCGCCGCAGGCTTAAGGCTCTGGCCATGTGCCCGAAGCGGCTGGGGAACCGCCGGGGCTGAGCTTCAGGGGCTCGAGCGTGGACGGAGGGCGCGCGCGGTCGCCAGCAGCGGCCGCGGCCCGGCTCTCTTCTCCAGCGGCGCGCCATGGTGAAGGAGGAGTGCAAAGTGCTGCTGGACGCGCTCAGCAAAGTGACCGCTTGTTACCGGCACATGGTGCTGACTATCGGGGGCACCTCGGACTCGCAGAATCTGCGCGAGGAGCTGAAGATGACCCGGCAGAAAGCGCAGGAGCTGGCGGTGGCCAATCGTAACAAACTCACCACAGCCTTGAGGGACAAGACGGTGAGCAAGGAGGACCGGGCGGAGTTCGAGAGGCTGTGGGTCATCTTCTCCACCTGCCTGGAAATCCTGGAGATCGATATGCGCAGGGCCCTGGAGCTGGGCCAGGAGTTCCCCCTCAACGTGCCCAAGAAGCCGCTCATCCAGACAGGCATGTGCGGCGGTACCTCCGGGGTGGCCGCCAGGGCCATGAGTGTCCAGAACATGAAATACGAGGCGGATAGCAACATAGATGTGGTGGATTTGAAAGACTTGGAGAATGAGATCAACCAGGTGGGGGAGATGATGTACGAGATGGAGATGAAAGTCAGTGTGCCGCAGTGGACGGTGGAGGCCAAGCAGGACCCCGGGGCAGAGCTGAAATCCACCATCAGCGTGGGCGCCTCCTCTATAGGCATGATCTCCGTGGAGGAGAACAAGTCCTTCTGTGATATTAGCAAAGTGCTGGCAGGCATCATTTTCACTGCTGTGCTTCTGATCGCCATCATCCTGGCGGTGTGTGTAGCAAAACTCTCCTAAGGTTGGGAATCAGACCCCTAAGATTTTTTTTTCTTTTTCTGAATTGGGAGGGGGCAAAGCATTTGCTTCCCGAGGAAAATAAAATGCTAGAATGGCCCTGTGTCCCGGCCAGACCTTAAACTCGGAGGCTGTGCTATATTCCACCTTTAAGTAACTATCCATCCAAGATGCACCTCTGCTTGCATTTCGGAAAGTCATAGAGGCTTCTTGCTGGACCTTTATGGGTAATAATATATAGGTATGACAACTACCAACCACAGTATGGATTTGACTATTAGAGATTGGCTGCTCTCAGGAACCGGAAACAAGTCTTGTGTGTGAATGGGCTCAGAGTGGTCCATGTTTACAAGTTGGTTACAAATTGCACATAAGATTTGGAGGTGAGAATAAACTAGACAACAAACTGGAGAAATTCAGGAATTAAATCAAAGGATATGTTTTCTCCCTTCAAAATACGGCTTTTTTTAACCGCGGAAGCAAAGTTGAGAATTTGTGTTTTTGGAATCAAATAGTATATCAAACTGAGCTATTGGGGGTGGGGAGAGCTAACTGCACTTCTTGGCCCTGCATACAGTATGCAAAGCAATTCATGCTGGTCAAGTTTAAATGCTTTATAACGTACCACACTTATCTACACACACACTTATCTACTGCTTTGAAAACATTTGAATCCTGCTGCACTGAACTCTGTGGGATTTAATTCCAAGTTAATATGCACAAGATCATACTGCACAACTTGACAGTATTTTGCATGGAAGTTGAACAATGGGATTCATGACTCAGTCAAGCTAGAGTGCAACATGAGCATTTAAGGTTTTATTTACAAAATAAGTCATGCTAAATTACATAGGGCTTGCTCCCTGGTAAGTGTGTTGAAGTCTTAAAATTTAAGGCTCCTGTGCTTAATTAGGTTTACTGACTGCAGCCTTGGACTAAAACTTGATATGGTTTGGTAGAAGCAACTTCTGGTTATTTCAGTAGAACTTGTTTTCATCAAACATGTGCCAGGATTGGGATGTCAATGTGACTTAATTCTTTTTAGTTTTATGTGGCAGCATGTTAAAAATAATATTGAACATATGAAGCCACCCCATAGCAAACTAGAACACTGGTCCAGCTAATTCAGTGTAGTCTATGTGGATTTACACAGACCCTCAAGGGTTTCAAATAGCTCTACCTGGAGATGCCAAGGACTGAAGCCTTTAGTTCTGTGGTACACATGAAAGACCTGATCTCACACCGACAGTCTAAGGTTTACACATGTGCACCTATTACTGTTAATGGGATAGGTGCCTGCAGGAATCAAGGAGATTAGAATCAATCGTGTAATCTTGTCATGCCCAAGAAATGGCACTAATGTGAACGTGGATGGCATCATTTGGGCCTGTACCTCATACAAGGTTTTTAAAAGTAAATGGTATTTAATGGAATATAAATCTAGGATCTGAGCTCTAGAATCTGAGCTAAATAGAACAATTTAGCTTTACATAGGAACAGAAATTTATCAGTATCCATTACAAGTATCACTAAGAAGTGTTCTTTGTGGAATTTATAATATTTAGAACATATAAATCCACTGTCTCAAGGATTCACACGGCACATCAAAATTGCCTTTCTTCCTCTGTAGGAAAAAAGGCCCCGCTAAAAATAGCTTGTAATCTAAAGTATTGTAGTTTATTCACCCTGACCTTGTTCAGATAACATGACAACCCGTTGTGGGTTAATTAACACTGCATGCCTGCTGCACTGAGGGTTGTTGTGTCACTTGAACCTGATCAGCCAGAATTGAGGACTAAACAGCCCTTGCCTAATCCACAACCTATTGTAGAGTCATGCAGTGGTTGTTTAACCCTCATGCAGCCCGGACCAGTCTAGCGTCACGTAACAGAAAGTGTTCTAGTTATGGGGTTCGTATTCATAATGGTGGTTGGCACATTTCACAACTCCTTTAGCTATAATTAACCCAAACAGCCCAACAGCTTGTCAAGAACAATTTATTCAACATGCAATTTTCTATTTCACTCATTCAAAACTCCAAACTTTCTTGGCATTTGGATATTGACCTGTTTTGTAACAGTTTTTTCAAACATTATGTATTTTGATAGGTTAATATTTATTGTGAGCTGCTTTAAACACAGTTAAGGGTGTCGTATAAATAAAGGCAGCTGACTAAGAAAGAAAAAGAGGGGCATTGAACGTGCTTAACCTCTTTTGGTAGCAATTTTTCTAAATTTTAAACCACAAAATTAAGCAATTGAAGTGCAAGCCTAGACATGTTTACTCAAAAGTAAGTGCCCCATTTCCTTTGAGCCTTAATTCTGAGGAAACATGCTGATCCCTGCACTGCATATATGCATAAAACCATTTTTGTACAATAGTTGAAGACTGAGTTAATTTGAGAGATGAGATTTACAGGTGAGGCTTGTCTCTGTGCAAACTGTTTATGTGCACAAGTCCTTGAAAGCAGTCATTAACCCCCTGAGTGTAACCAAAGACCTTTCCTGCCACTGTTCAGTCGGTCCATCAACTTCCAGGATGCCGGCAGCCGACTGTACTGTCTGGGGCAATGCAGAGAATGGTAGGAAATTTTTCTGTCTAAATATGCATGCGGGATTCCAATTTAAGCCACTGTTCACAAGTCTGCAAAATGTAATTAATAAGTGTAACCTTAATATTATAACATTTGAAAGTAGGTCCTATTAATTTCCAAGTAACTTCCATATTTTAAATCAGAATGCTAGTCTAATACACTCACAACTGGATACGTACCGTCCATGCCTGTGAATGTCTACTTAGGTCCCACTGAGACCAGCGGATGCTTACAATACTAAGAACACCTGGGAGAAAATCAAAGAAAATAAGACTTCTGATTGTACATGCCATAGGAACAGGCTGCAGGGCTGTAGTGCAGCACGACCCATGGAACACAGTGGACTTAATTTCTGAGTCAACATGTGTAAGAATGGATATACAAGTGGAAATAAGGGATCTGCTTTCATATGCATGTATTCAGATAAAATTGGAATGTGAAGTAGCCTGCAAATCAGTCCCAAAGGTTTTGAATGCATTGTCTTTGAGGGCTACATCGTTTCCATATTAGTTTCCTTAGAATTGTTTGTTTAGGCTTATTTACTTGTGAACTTAACCCTGTAAGTTAAAAAAAATGAAAACTAATAGAACACGTTTCAGGTTAAATATATTCTCAGGTGGCCTTGTGTCCTACATTTTCAATGAAAAATATTTCCGTGCGAATCTGTTCAGAATAAGAGCCTGGCCTATTTTTAGATTGGACTGTTAATCTTCCTAAATCCAACTGAGTTGCCTAAATGGGCTCAGGCCCTTCGTGTTGCAGGCGTGAGGGAAATAGGCTAACAGGACATGTCTCTCAGTTTTGTGGAGGTTGCAACCAGGTAAAAATGCAAAGTCTGCTAACTCAGAAATAAATAGTCCTGTGTTTAGGATTATATACCTAATTATCCTAAAGATATCAGAGGTATTTAATTGTTCACATCTGCTGTTTAATTCAAAAATAGTCCTGAGGAATGGGCTTGGATTTTATTTGGGACCACTGGGATAATGCCAGAGCTATATACTTCTCTTGGTGCTAAAGTACCGAACTCCATAAATGTAGAAAAACCCAAATTGCTGCTATTGATCCATCCACTGTTCACTTGACTTATAGAATCATAGAATAGTAGAGTTGGAAGGAGCCAGAAGGTCATGGGGTCCAACCCCCTGCTCAGGGCAGGACAGCAAGTTAAAGTGTCCCTCTCAGATGGCTCTATTCAGAGGCTCCCATCTTTGGAATTGTAAGGGCTAGATGTTTCACTTTAGTGTAAATAATAGATCTTTTGTGGAAAAACGTTGCACTGAATTAAAACTCTCTCCAGTGGTCTGCAGATAACATTGGTTAAATGCTGAAGCAGTGGAGGGGGAGAATACCAATGTAGGAGAGTAAGTCTCCATATGTGGATTGCTGCTAATAGTATTTTGGGACACAATCCTGTGCATGTTTAAAGGGGGGGGGGTCACAACCCTGCTACTTCCTGCCATACTTGGTGGGAAATGCTGGGAGTCACACGACTTTGTTTCTGTCTAAGCATGCATGGGATTGAAGCCTAAATCAGGAACTAATTTTGTATTCTTCACACATTTTGAACTAAAATTCAAGGGCACAACATGAGTGTTTTTTCTGAAATAACTTATGTTTCCTTTATGGAGAGCTAGTGGCTTTATAGCTCCAGCATGGATGCACTGGTATTTCTTGTTTGTTTTTGTAGAACTGTCAGGTTTATGAGGTGTAAATCTATCCATTTAGCAGGCATACAGGAGTTATTTTGCAAATAAAGCTAGGTGTTACATTCATGACTGCATAAGATATTGCTTGCATAGGGAATTACTTATTCTCCTGTGATGATTTTGTAGTAACGTTTACTTGGAAATACATTCTGTTTACATTAGATGGGCCTATTTTCAAGTATGTTGAATTGGGAGTATTTTATGTGTAAATCAGGAGTAGTCTTTGTACTATTTGCTCTCTCTCAGATTTAGACTTACATCTCATTAACATGCGTTTCTCAAGATCATCTCTACTATCATCTGAGCTTATGTTAATGTGCATGCAGTGTAGAGACAGAACCAGGTCTGACACAGGATTGTCGCCATTTAATTAGCGAATGACCCCAGTGTTAATCTCAAATTTATGCCCAAGACAGTTGTATGTGCAATGTGACTCAGGCCCAGCTGCCTACTGCAGTCTACTAAGCTGAGCAGATGCAGAGGAGATCAGTAATCCACTATCTTTACATAGTCGTGCAGAAGTCATTTTGACAAGTTCAGCCTGCTATGCAATAGCCAATAACACAAAACAATACTTGCTGAAATTCCTCTTCTTTTATGCATCTATGAAAAAGATAGAAGACTTGTTCTCCTTTGCTTCTGCTCTCACTGTGGTTGTAAGAGCAGAAGGTAGCCATTCTAACCAGCTTCTTCTGGGGAATAAATTGCTGGATTGCAATGGTAGCGCAATCCAAAACAGAAACAGTTTTCATGAAAGCCATAAACATTTGTCACTGACCATAATGGAAGCGCAGGACATCTGCAGGCCCTTCTATAAGGTATTTAAAGCCTAAGGGACCAACTTTGATTGTTGAACTATGTCTTTTAAAGTGCATATATTTATCTAGGAGTACTGCAGCCACTAGAAATAGGATCTATTGAATACTTTACCAGTTATTTTGTTCTGAAGTTTGGCTTCTGTTTAAACACACACACACACACACACACACACACTTTTACACTTACATGTAAGGCCTGATGATTCTCTTATGTTTACAGCCTTAGTAATTTTTATTATTTTAAGAATGTGTATTTTCACTGAAAAAGGAATGGAAAGTTGTTGGGTTTATTTTTTATATAAAATACATTTTTTAAGTCACTGTATATTATGACTCTGATTATGATCCAAGAATTATAAATATCAGGAGTCTGGAACAAAATAATAAAACACTTTTGATTTATAATATTCAAATGTTTGTTGGGTCCATATTACAGAATTGTTTTAGTAAGTATGTGGAAGTGTTAAATTATTTTAATGAGCTGGCATCATTCCATCTGCACAAGAGTGTTGCTTTTATGCTCAGAATAAAGCCTGTTACTATTATTTATTTAAAATAAAGTCTGTTCTGTTAACTTGCCTGCCTGTTTCCAGCAGTTATTTTTTAAATAAAATGCCAGATGCATGAGCATAAGCTCATCAGACAAACTGAATTATACTGCATACTGTATCGCTTAGATGATCCAAATAAGGACTGACTGTTAAAGCAAAACTCTATAGGTTTAGATTTGTCTTAAAATCATCTATGCCATATATATTGGCATATAATGCAACTCAGGTGTAAGACGAGGTCAATATTTTGGGCTCTTACATACATTGGCTGTTACATACATGTATGCAGGGCTGAAATACAAAATGCTGAATGAGGGTTCCATTAAGTAGTACCATGTTAAAATATAATCTCATACACGTAACATCCTGTTGCATTCAATGGAGCTTATTCCAAGTATGGGGGTATAGAATTTCAGCCTTAATTTTTATATATTGCTTTAGGGCATAATCCTATGAATGTTTAGACAGGGGAAAGATCCTACAGTTTGCGGCATTGCCAAACCAGAACATTTGCTTGGTTGTAACTTCAAATTACTTTGAATTCAGTTTGCAGAACAGTGGTATCCCAGCTAGTTTTCATATATGCATGATGGCTAAACCATATTAAATGGAGAGTTCTATTTTTTTAAACAGTACAAACTTTTAACGTGTTGAGAACTGGGTTCTAGTCCCAGCTTGGCCATGGAACGCACTGGGTGACTTTGGGCAAGTCTGAGGCTCTCAGCCCAACCTACCTCACAGGGTTGTTGTAGGAAGAAAATGGAGCTATGTAAGCCACCTTTGATGGCAAAAGAAGAAGGGGACGGCAGAGGATGAGGTGGCTGGATGGAGTCACTCAAGCAGTCACTGAAGGTGTGAACTAAGGTGGACTCCGAAGGATGGTGGAGGACAGGAAGGTCTGGAGGAACATTCCTCCAGGATGGGTCAGACGTGACTTTGCTAAACAACAACATCAATAAAGCCACCCTGGGGTCCTCACAAAAGGAAAAAAGTCAAATACAAATGCAAGGTAATACTATTAAATTACTCTAGCATCTTGAATCTTAGAACACAAGTGCCAAAACATACACTAGATTAATCAGGTTTTGTTCACATAAAAATTAACAATTTAGCTAATACCCTGGAAGAGAGAAACAAGATTCAAGGTGATCTTGATAGGTTGGAGCACTAGACTGAAGATAAGGGGGTGGCATAAAAATGCTATAAAAATAAAAAATAAGAGAATGAAATTCAGTTGGGACAAATGCCAGGTTCTGATTCTATGATTCTAAATCAAACGCAGGAGAAAGTACCAGATAATGAAAAATAAAGAGTTTTGTATTGCACTGAAATTCAACATAACAACACCGGAAAAGCCAATTGCGTGAGAGGATTGTTGCTATATAAAAACAAAATCCACGAGGTCTTAAAGCTCCCAGCCTTCTGGCTAAAAATTAAGAGTGCAGAATAATAATTTGTATATAAATAAATGTTTGTGAAGCTCCTCATCAACATATTTACTCTTTGCAGATTTTCATTATATAAAAAGTCATTCAGGAAGTCCACTGGATTATGTTCCTCTAAATGCTTTCTCCCAATACGATTATGTTAGTCTTTTAATGCAGGCTGAGGTCTCGGTGGAATACTTGAACTACACGTGAGCAGTCAGCTGCACTGGTAAGCATACAGTACAACTAGGATTACTGGAGAATGCTGCTTGCAGATCTTGAGTGTTTTTGTGCATATGGCAAGTATCTATTATCATACCTGCTGTTGTTACTGTCATTACATTGCACTTGCATTCCGCCGTTTTTCTTCCTGCAAGGAACCCAAGGCAGCTACCATAGTTCTCCTCTGCTCAGTTTTTACCCTCACAACAACCCTGTGTGGTAAGTTAAGCTGGGAGTTCATGACAATAGTATGATGGGAAATGTAAGCATTATGGTACAAAAAGTGACAACTTTCCTGTAACGATTTTAGCAGAAGGTTAAGACAGACCCATCCGTGTTTTTCTTGGCTTTGCAAAATCCATGTCCACTGCACTTCAGCTCTGGAAAGAACGCAACTGTGCCTGAATACTTCAGCATTTAAAACTAGCTGTTAAATCAGAACCTGTTATGCAACCAAATATATGCATTTATTTAGAACTGTCAGGGGAAACACGGAAGGGTAGCCAGTTGTGCACCAAAACAGGAAAATGCATAATCAGTACAAAAAAAGGGGGGGGGGAGGAGAAACCAATTTGCATAATATTTGCACATACTAGTATATACATAGAGATGATTTCGAAATAAGCATGATTTAAACAGAAATCCAGTTTGTCGTAGCAGCGGTATGCCCAGTGACCTATATGCCTGTTTAGTATCCTTTCCAAGCACTGTTAAAGGGCAGCCTCAAAGCCCCTGCTCTCCTGTAGGGTCTTTGACTGGGCAGCTTCAAACAGACAACCGTCCCTGAAAGAATGTAAAATAAAGGAGTGTCTTTGCTAAAGTAGAGTATCTGGCCACTGTAAAATAACATTTAATGTACAAGTGCAGATGATTTTAAAGTTCTTGACAGAAATGTGGAACAATGGCTAGAATCTAGAAAAATTGCGGCTTCAGATTACGGAGCAGACCGCTGACTCTGCACATTCTATACAAAGAATATATATATATATAATAGCCGTAAATGTTCATTTAAATTGCACCATGTTAAAGAAGAGGACAACCATGGCTTATGCACTCCTCCATACCACCTAACTCTGCTATAGCACTGTTCTGGAAGACAACACAAATACAATAAACATGCCTACAGTGTTTAAATTATGGAAGATATAACTCATACTCGGTGATGATTCCTCACTTTGTATGGGGAATGGTTCCTCTCCTTTAAATTCACTGAAGAAAGCCTTACTTCAGACATTAAAGCATGTACAAGTCTGTAAACCTTTGATATATAATGAACTGGTTATCAGAAAAATTATATCATGTTAAGAATTGCATTTGTTGGTCTTCTCCCCTCTTCCCTCCCCATTTTGTTTTCCTTTGAGACTAAATTTTTCATTTTTAATCTATGGTCCTGAAACATTTTGATTCATGAATCAAAAAATAACAATGCTAAATCAAGAAAAGATGTTAAAGAATCCCCAATTTAGGACAATAATTTTTAAACGGTGCCATTTTAAATTTGTTTACTTGAATGTAGTTTCTACTGAATTCAATGGGACCATAAGGAGTAAGTCCCATAATTTCTTGCCTGTGTGAAGCAGTGTAGCCAAGAGATTACAGAATGTATTAAGATGAATTTCATTATCAACAGTTTGTATTGCTTTACACCTGAAATAATGAAATACTGAATCTAAGAAGAACAAATAGATTGAACAGATGTCCAGTTCTGCATGTGTATGATTACAGCTATGCTGGTTCTTTGCCTGTTTTTCTTTTTTAATGTGATCACCCAGCTGGTTGCCTTTCACTATTCCATTCGGCTGAGCTAGCATTAAAATGCACTCACAGTCAAGCTGTTTGCTAGCCTCAACAGCAGTTTGCAGCATCTTCCAAATTGATTCCCTAACACTGAAAACCTGTTTTAAAATTCAAACTCCATACAAACTAGCATGGTGCAACTGTGCAATGCTAAGAAGAGAGAGTGTTAATTCAATGACTCTTCTCCCCTATTTGTCTGTAATAATTCTCCTGTTTTATACAAATTGTATGGAGGAGAGGGAGACAGCGGAGTGTGGGAATACACTCTGCTTCTCTGGTTACCCATCAAAAGACTTGTTAAATGGTAACAAGGAGAAGCTAATGAATGCATCTCCTAGGAAGGCCACTTATTTCTGTGTAATAAACTAGAGTTTAGGGAAGCAATGAATAGTCTGTTGGATTTTGCTTCAGAAAAGCCAATGTAGTGCTATCTCTACATTTTTTTTTTTTAACTAACAGTTTTCTTCTGCTGCAGTATTAAACAAGGCAATAAGACCCAGAATACTTTATACATTTATCACACCTAGGCTTATTTTTAAATGCTTGTGAGGGACCTGACTGAAGGCAGGAACCCAGGAGGCAGAGAAGAGCAGCAGTCTTGCTTTCCCCCCATTTCTCAATCGCCCCCTCCATGCCCCACTTCCACTGCTGCCATGACTTTAAAAACAAATGAAAAGACAAGCTCAGAACAACCACACGGCAAATATGGTTTATAGTCTGGGTCTTAGATACACAGTGCAGCAATTCTGTGCAGGGTCAGGCATGTTGCAGCCCTCTTGAATTTAGGATTACACAGATTAGTGTCAGCTGTTACTAAGTTCCTGCTATGGGCTTGCTTTAACATCTTACATCTTCTGTGAAAATTAGAGACATGAATGATAATTTCTAAAACAGTTTTAACGGGGGAGGAAAGCACATGGGTAAACAAGCTGGGGTCCAGTCCTCTAGGCACAGCATCTTCTCTACACTGGTCCCATAAATCTGCTTTTGGACAGTCTGGACTTTGCAGAGCCCCAAGATTACCTGGAACTGAGTCTATAAATCCCAGTGAATCCTTTCTGCTTTACTACACCATACCTGTCTGTACTAGGCACCCAAATGCCGCTAGAGAAACAGAGGAAGCAGCCTCAGTGGGGTACAAAACCAAGCCAGTCCCTCAATAATTTCCATCTTTCTGAGCTGGTGCCCTTGTTGGACACAAAGAGTCCAGATCTGGCACACTGAGCCCAATCAAGCACGACAATGGTGAGAGACGGGAAAAGTAGTTTTATTGTCAAGACTAAGTTTGATCACAGCAAAATGGCAATCAACCAAGAACACGTGACGGAGCTCCCTTTTATACCTTGGCTGACCAGGTAGCGAAGACAGTTGCCCATTCATTTGATTGGAATATTTGAATTCAAGTGTCTCCACATATAGCTAGGAGGCTGGGTTACCTTAGGGCTGGGGTGAGGGCTTTTTAGGCTGGGGGGCTCTGGAGAGGGATTCCTTCCCTGGCCACTTGGAAGGCTCCAGTTACACAGCTAGGACTTGAACTAATCAGCCAGCCCCTGCTTAATGCTGGCCAGCCAGGTATGTCCTACACCCTGGTGGCAATGATGCTGGCTGGACTGCTTGCTGATGGCCTGGCAGTTTCACCTGGCAGTCTCCCTGCACACGTTTAAAGACAAAAAAGAAAGAAAAAGGCCACAAGCCACACTGCTAGGAAAGGCCCCACACAGAAGAAGGTTAAGAGGTAGCCAGTCCAGATCACATGCTCCAGTCGGTATCAGTATGTCTGTGCTACTCTGTTCACATGGAGAATTTTAGTGCTTGGAAGCAGGTGGAAAGCTGAACAATCAGCGGTATGTCAGAGGACAGAATTGTGTGGTCCGCCCTATGCCATCTAAACTAGCTTATTGCTACAGCAGACTCCCAACTATCCGGCCTAATGTGGCAGAAGGGCAGGCCGGATAACAAAAAAGCCGGAAAGGCCTGAGTTCTATAAATGCTCACTTCCTACTCCACCCACCCATACCATTAAAAACACCAAAACCCACTCTTACTCATATTTTCTGGCCTCTTAGTACAGGCCAGTACTTTATAAATGTTTGTTATGTACTGTACTGTACGTTTTAAAATTTTATTACAGAAAAGGAAGTCTGAGAGTAAAAATATTGCACACATTTTAAGATAAATGTTATAATGTCTAACTTAATTGCAGGAAACATAAAATCATGTACACTGTACAGTATGAATACATACACTTTTAAAATAAACAAAATATTAACATAAAACATAGGCTTAATTCTTACGAAAATTATTTAAACTTATTTTACTGTTAATTGATAGTTATTTTTTAACTAGGCCGGATAGTACAGAGGCCAGATAGTCGCGAGCCGGATAGTGGAGAATCTACTGTATTAGGTGCAGGGCTTGCAATCCCATCAGCGGTGTTCAAGGAAGATTCAACTGCTTGGGGACATGGAAAGGAGGGGCTGTCATTGTGACTTTTTGCTGTAGGCAGCAAAATACCTGGAGGCAGCCCCGCAGAACTATCATTCCGTCATCACTGTGACATTGTCATATGCTATCCCTATAACATTCAGCCCCCTCATTCCATACTGTAACAGCCTGCACTGCTTTAAGTTCTGAAGCTGATTAAATAAACTTGGTATATAATATTTTTGAAGTGAGTTTGTCCACTCTTCATTTTGCAGGAAAAATGCTATCATATCCATTACCTTGTCCATCAAGGCTTAATAGCATCACAGGGCATGGAACCAACCAAATGACCCTTCTGTGCATTTCAGAAAGAGAATGCAAAGATGTGCAGATAATGTTTTGCACAATCAACAAGCCTCCATTTGTGAGGCCCAGAACTGGACATAGTATTCAGGATGGAGCCCTAACTAGTGCTGAACAGAGATGATTTGGAAGTGATACCTCTATTAATGCAGCCCAGTGTAGCAATGTGATGTAGCCACATCACATTGTTGACTCATTCAGCTTGTGTTCTACAATTCCAAGACCCTTCTTGCGTGTAGTATTGTTGAGCCTTGTATCCTCAATCTTTTAACTGTGCATTTGGTACATTTTCCTGGATGCGGAATTTAGCATTTGTCCCTGTTGGATTTAATTGTTGCTTTCAGCCCAGCACTCCAACCTATCAAAATCACTACAAATTTTGTTTCTTTCTTCTAGGGTATTAGCTATCCTGCCCAACCTTGTGGCATTTGCAGACATGCGATATGTTAGGCTTTAAGTGTGTGAGTGCTCCAAGATCACCCAGTGAGCTTTAGTTTTGAACCCAGGTCCATTACCAATAATTTTATATAATACACCAAGTCATTGTGGTCTTGTGATTAGAGTGTTGTACTTGGGAAGCCTGGGTTCTAGTGCTTGCTCTGCCAGGAAGCTTACTAGGTGACTTTGGACAAGTCCCTGACTCAGCCTCACCTACCTCACAGGGTTGTTGTGAGAATGAAACAGAGAGGAAGAGGATCATGGGCGCCACCTTGGATTCCCCGCAAGAAAATAGGTGTGATGCAAATGTAATAAATAATACTGATGATACAATGATGATGATGTAGTGATGAAATGCATAGTATTTGATGCAGTGATAAATATAATAGTGGCGATACACGTTTCTTTACTTTCCTCTCTTTCCCCATAGAGTTCAAGGACGGCATATAGGTTCCTCCACCGGACTGCCGCAACAGCGCTGTGAGTGTAGCCCTGCCCCTCTTCTGAGCAAGGCGCCGTGCACTGCCGACGGCGGAAATGTGCGCGGGATGGGGACGCTCCACTTTCCAAACCGGCCCTTCCCTCGCGGAGCCGAGCGCCTGCTCCCCAGCCATCCGGGGCCGCTGGGGGGCGGGCACGGCCTGCCGGGAAGGTGACCGCCGCGCCTCCCGCCTTGGCCCGCGCCGGGCGAGGGCACGGGCATGAGCTCGCGGCTGCGGCACTGGCGGGAGGCCGCCACGGTGCTGCTCGCGGCCGGCGGCGACGGCGGCTGCTGCCCCCGGCCGGGAGGCGCCTGCGACTACGAGCTGCTGCTGCTGAAGCGGAGCCCGCTGGGCGGCTTCCTGCCCGGCGCGCACGTCTTCCCGGGCGGCGTGGTGGACGCGGCCGACTTCGCGGCCGACTGGCTGCGGCTGCTGCCGGACGCGCCGCGCTGCGGGCTCAGCCCCGTGAAGGCGGGCGGGCCGCGGGCGCCCATCTTCGCCGCTGAGCGCCCCGAGCTCGCCTCGGCTCTGCCGGCCGACGTGGCCTTGCGCATTTGCGCCATCCGGGAGACCTTCGAGGAGGCCGGCCTGCTTCTGCTGGTTCCCGGCGACGGTGAACCTGCCGCGGCGCGCGGCCCGGCGCGCTTGCTGCCCGCCGAGCGCCTGCCGCCGGCCTCCGAGCTGGCCGAGTGGCGGAGGAGGGTGCAGCGGCGGCCCGACAGCTTCCTGCAGCTGTGCCGCCAGCTGCGCTGCGTGCCCAACATCTGGGCGCTGCACGAGTGGAGCAACTGGCTGACCCCGGTGGCCCGAGCCGGGCGGGCGGGCCGGCGCTACGACACGGCCTTCTACCTGTGCTGCCTCGGGCAGGGCCCGCCGCAGGCCTCGCACGACGGTGCCGAGGTGACGGCGTCCCAGGTGAGGAGGTGGGTGTGAGGGGGAAGGGGAGAGGATCCGGCCCGGGCAGGGGCGATGCTAGGTGCCGAAAGGATCGGGGCTCAGGTCCGAGGGACCAAAACAAAACCTTTGCCGTTGCTAATGGTGTGTCTTTAAAGGACTCCGTGGGCTAAAGACAGGCGCTTGTAACAAGAAGCAAATGGATAGAGGAAAGGAGGGCGTTTGATTTCATAAAAAAATAAAAACACTCTTCAGGTAGAAAGGAGCAGTTAAGAGGAGAAGCAAAAAGTCCTCCGATCCAGGGACATCCGATGCAACAGAGATCATTAAGGGCCTGTACTTTTATTTCTGCAAGTGCCCATAGACAGCATGGTGGTGGGGCAGTTGGCTCAAAATGAAAATATTTGGGGTACCAGCCCTGTTAGTCCAGCTAACGCTGCCTCTGCAGCAGGACCACCCTGTTCCCTAAGAACTGCTGTGGACCATTGATCTTTTATGAGGAAGTGGCAAAATGACTCCCACGAATTGTCTTCACTCCAGTGTAGGTAGGTGGTAGCTTCACTTGCATCTACACGTTGGCAAGCAGAGTATTTGTTAATATCCTGCTTTTCTTTCAAGGGGCTCACAAGGCCATTTTGTTCACAGTATTCTGCCCCCACCGTTGTGAGCTAAATTAGGCAAAGGAGGGATTTGAATCTAGATCAGCCTTCCCCAACCTTGTGCCTTCCAGACAGTTAGAAGCATAGCAGCATAAAAAAGCAAGTCAGAAGGAGTCTCTTGGGCCATATCGTCTGACACCCAGCTCTAGCAGGCTCTGCTAATGTAATCCCCAACATGTGGTTGTCCAGTCTTTCCTTGAACACCTTGAAAAGGTTTTTGCCTGGCACCAAAGGAAAGAAGTGTTGGCGCCAGGCAAACCTCTCTGGGGAGCATATTCCACAGTCTGGGTGCCACTGCAGAGAAGGCCCTTCTTTGAGTAGTCACCCTCCTGATCTCTTTCAAGGACGGCTCCCAGAGGAGGGCCTCTGCCTCAGATCTCAAGGGGCAGGAGGACACATAGGGAAGAAGGTGCGCAGTCAGGTATCCAGGACCTAAGCCATTTAGGGCTTTATAGGTCATCACCAGCACCCTAAATTGGGCCTGGACTTCTATTGGTAGGCAATGTAAACGATAGAGGACCAGCATTATATATGAATACCTACTGGTCCCTGTTAATACTTCAACCAACTGAAGTATCTAGACCATCTTCAAGGGCAGCACCACGTACAGCACATTACAATAATCCAGTCGAAAAGTTACCATGACGTGGGTCATGGATGCAAGGCAGCGTTCATCCAGGTAAGGGTGCAGTTGGTAGACCAGCTGAAGCTGGAGAAAGGCACTCATCGTCACCGCTGTCACCTGAGATTCCAGGGACAGCTCTGGATCGAGGAGCACACCCAAACTGCGAACCCTGTCCTTTAGGGGGAGTGCAACCCCATCCAGAACAGGGCAGATGTCATTCACCTGTAGGACTGAACTGCCTACCAGAAGGACCTCCATCTTATCTGAATTGAGCCTCAATTTATTGGCCCTCATCCAACCCATTACCCTGGCCAGGCACCAGTTAAGGGGAGCCACTGCCTCATCTGGACCAGATGTAAAATAGAGGTAGAGCTGGGTGTCATCAGCATACTGATGACCTCTCCCCGTGGTTTCATGTAGTTGTTAAAAAGCATGGGGGATAAAATGGAACCCTGCGGAACTCCATGGCAAAGTTGCCATGGCACAGAGTCATAATCCCCCAGCACTACCCTCTGGAATCGACAAGTCAGTTAGGAGGGGAACCACAGCAGAGCAGTGCCCCCAACTTCCAACCCGGCCAGCCTATCCAGAAGGATACCATGGTCGATGGTATTGAAAGCCACTGAGAGGTCCAGGAGAGCCAACAGGGATGTACTCCCCCTCCAGCTTTTTACCGAAATGACACAAAAGGCCATTATAGAGTTGTAACGGTCAGGGCCAATTCTTTGAATTGGGCCCAGAAACAGATTGAAAGTCTGTAACTGATACCTGTTCTGAGCTAACTGCAACTTCCATCTCATCAAAACTTCTGCTTCCTCTGAAGATGTAGTCAACACCTTCTATACAAGTTTAAAATTTAATCTAGAATTATATTTTAATGCACAGATTACCCAAAATCAGATAATTCATTATATTCCTTTCATTGGGAAATCACAAACTATAGACTGATTGATTTTTCATTGTTTTTTAGTGGTTAACACCAGCAGAAGTTGTCGAACGCTTTAAGTCTCAAGACATCTGGATAGCACCACCTCAGTTTTATGAGTTATGTAGACTCTGCAATTTCTCATCACTTCATGAACTTCATAGGTTTGGCTCTGAACGAGCTTTAGAAGGATGTGAACGCTGGATGTCTATTGTTTTGGTTGCTTCAGATGGCCACATGCAACTTTTACCAGGTAGATCAAAATTGGGTTTGGAGGATTACTTAACTAGTAGTTTATTTACAGTGTTACAAAGCATTGCCACCTTCCATACGCCAGTGTATGTAATTTTGATAATGTTTTATCTATGATTTATATTTCCCAATTAATCATGTTTATTCTTAATTGCCTAGTATAAACTACTTTTATATTTATTAATTACATTTATATTCCACCTTTTTTCTAAGAAGCCCAGAAATTAGTGACTGGCCTGAACTAACTCAGTAGCCAAGCAGGGAATAGAACCCAGAGTCCCACTTCAAAACTCTAAGCACTACACCATATTGGCTTTCTGTAGCCCCTATCCATTTGTGAATTAAATTATACTTCCGTCAAATACTTGCTGGATAAATCGGCAGTTGTTTCTTTTTGAAAGGCATTACAAATATTTTAGTGGCAATCTTAGGTATTTTATCTCAGAAGTTCTATTGTGTTTAGAAAGAGGAAGTGTGTATAGCCTTACAGTATAGGGTTTGCTATTCTGAAACCACTCAGCTTCTTTCACTGGGTGGCATCATTGTACTCGATAGACCATTTCTCATTAAAGACATAGTGCTCATCTGCAATTTTTCATTTCTTTGAAAGAGCATCTTCTTTTGCAGACTTCTTACATAATTTTAGCAGAGCAGCAGTTGCAGAGTTTCAATATTATCCTTGAATAAATAAAAATATAAGAAGTATAGTTTTAGGGGTCTGATTCTTCCCTTTCCCATTAAATCCACCCCACTCTGGCTGCTGTTAGCTGGAGATTTTCATTTTGACTATGGCACAGAAGAGAAGAGATCCCTGCCTCTACAGTTCTCAGGAATACTGGGCCATATGCACAGGCTAGGAAGAATTTTTTTAATGGATTATGAATCTGACCTACCAGATGGCAGAGTTGCAGTCCTAAGTACATTGAATACTGTGAGATTGATTTCTTAATAAACACACTGCCTTGAGGTTTAAATCTACACGTAGCAATACTTTAAACATTGGGGGTCCTCCAAAAACGGGCAGGTAGAGAGAAAGCGTGGATGGAAGGGCAACCTCCTACCTGGAGCAGAGGCTATACCAATAAGTTGGCTCCAGTTATATGCAGGGTGCACATACTGTACAAGTCACTGCCTGCCAGCCAAACCTCAATCATGAGAAGCAAAATGACAGCCAAGGGCAAAGGAACTTGGCTGGAGGAAGATGTGGGAAGGGGAATGCCATACGCTTCCTTGCTAAGTGCATACTTCCCTCTCAACCCAAAGGGCCACTCAGTGGCTCCTGCAGTCACAGATGCCTGAGAAGACTCCTAGCTGGAGTGGCTGGGGCAGGAGAGGCAAAGGCAAGCAAGGCAAAAAAGAGCGGCCAGCTCTTGCTGAGGAAAGAAGGATGCTTTTGGAAAGAAGGAAGCAGCAACCTCACCAGTAAACTTGGAAGCCACTTGGAGGAGCCTTATGGATGGAGCCTCTAGAAATGTTCAGTGTCCAAAACAATTTGTCTCCTTTTTGCACAAGTACCAGGGCTTTTACTTACATTTCCCTGTCTTTAAAAAGAACAGGCCAGAAATGTCCTGTACAGATGTTTTATCTTCCTTACACATATATACAGCCTTCAACATGGTGATGCATGGAGGGGCGGGGGGAGTGAACAAGCTGGATGGTACAGGTACCTGAACTCTGCTGGCTAGCAAAGCAGCCAGAATAGCCAAAATGCTGGTATGGAGGAATAAAGGCTAAGAGGGGGGCTGACAGAAGGAGCCATGGAGACCAGAAGAAACAAGGTTGCCATTGTGTTTTTTGTAAGAGAGGGACAGGAAAAAAGCGGCAGATGGTGCCCTGAAGTAGGAAGAAGGGTTGGTCTGAGGGAAAATGCTTTGAGAGTGATAGTAAACAAGTGGGTTGGAGGGTTGCACAGAAAGAGCTTGGGGGCCACAAGTAGGGAACCCCTGCTTTAAAACATGTATTCTTGTATGCCAGAAGGAACCTCTATGAAAAATGCTTTCACAAAACTATTTTTGAATCTCCATAAGCTCTCAACCACAATTTTGTTTCAAAATTGCTAGAAATTTCTATTACATTTAACTGAAGAACAGTACTTTTTGTTTAAGGTGATGAACTATATCCAGAAGATCCTGACTTTACAGGAGAAAGAAAACCAATGTTGACAACAGATAAAAAGATTGATGAGCTAATGAAAGGAGCCAGCAGTCTTCACCGGATAGTGACACAAGACCTTCATAAAGTTACTGTTCATGTGAATATTCAACCCAAATATAAACACATCAATCCATTAATGATGGACTCTAAAATGGGAAATAATGCAGATTGCAATAGCAGATTATAATATTCTTTTTGATACTGACATTTCTAAAATAGTTTATATATTTTTATATAAACCAGCCTGTATTATAGTTCCTACAGTTCTGGAAAGTTCAAACCCTGGTAAAGAACATGTATTTCAAGAGCAGCAAGGATTAATATGTTCCTGTGCCATTTTGTCTGCATACCCCAAATGATGCAAATGATGTAAGCTTCAGTCTGTGTATCTCTGTAATCTCTCTTAAAATTTTGTGCAAATGTGCCAAAAGTGGAATGGACATCTGTCTGCTAAGAACTTGACCTTAATCTACACATCTATGGATTTAGGTCACCTAAGAGCCAGTGGGACAGTATTTGGCCATGGTCAGCCTAGGTCATTTGTCCATATTGGGAGGAGCTGAAGTCCTTGAATATCAATATATTTCAATACCATGAATGATCCCATGTTTAAAATGACAATCTAGAAACCGGTAGCATGTTTATTCAGAAGCATATCCTCACTGTATTCAGGACAATAACAATTGAGTGAAATTATATGCCTACAGTTACCATCAGTTCATTAACACTACTTATGATAATACTCAGAAGTTCTGTTTTTTCAAGACACTTTTCTTGTTAGTGTAACTTAATTACAGCTGAATAAATTCCATTGTGTGCTTGGATTTCATATATGATGGCAGCTAATATGCATTTAAAGGTACAATCCTATGCATGTTCAGGCTGAAGAAAGTTCTATACTTTGCTGAGAATTGTATAGCTTCTTTCTTTCTAAACATGCATAGCATTGTGCCCTAAGTTAGCTTTGTTGACAGAATCTATTTCTTACTTCAGTTTCTACTTCAGTTCTTACTAATAAAGATTTATTTCCATCAACATTGCTTGAATTGGTTGCTTTCATCACTGGTAAAATATATTGAGTGAAATTAAGAATAGTTTCCTAGTAATGGTTTATGGCAATGCCTTGTTGGGGTTTTATTTTTAAAACATCAATATGTTAAAGGAGTAATCTAACCCTTTTTATATTTTTGAGTGGCTTATGAATTGTGTGTGGCTTTTAAGTAGTTCAAGAAAATGAGAAAAATGGAGAGAGTAATCCTAAACTATCTGAATGAGTATTCCAGGGACTGTAGATTAGTTCAGAACCCACCTACCCTATGCTAGAAATAGTGTTTTAACCTCAGAAGGGGGAGTAAGAGATTTGCCCCCAGAAAGAACTATGGCAGCTGTCTCTCTGGGGTTCAAACACTGACCTCAGAGGGGGGAAGAGGGGCACAGGTGGGAAAGGAAAGATCAATAGAGGCCAGGATAGAATTTATACTGAGCTTCAGCCTCCTTCCCTCCTCCTCTGAAGTGCCTTCACAACCTATCTAGCAAAAAATTAGAGGGCAGAGAAATATAGATTGCTTCTGCTGCTCCTTCCACCCAGCTGGCTTTAGCCTAACAGGGCACAGGACTCTCAGAAGCCCCTGAGTTTGGGGGTTTCTGAGAAGCAAGAGCACAATCCTTTTAATCACCTTCTAAAATAATTCTTCTGTTGTGCAAGTGAGATTGGACTTTACACCATCAGGCTGACAAATGGGCAAAGATACTGGGGAAAGGTGAGATGTTAGGGAAGGAAATAGTGTAAACAATGTGAAATCCACCCTCTAAAATAGATTTCCCTAGTTCTACATCTTGAGGATTGCAAGAAGAAAAGCATAATGTAGCTGTGTGATAAGCAGAAAAATACAGTATTGGGAACAGTTTGGCAAATTGCCTTGTTAAAGGTTCTAAAAAGTACAAAGAAGATTATCGAGCTGAGATTCCAAGGCCATGTTGGGGTCCAAAACCCCTTTTCAGAGGAAAATTATTTGCTAACTATAACACCTATTCACTAGGTACAACTGCCCAAGAATTAATCAGTCTACTCTGACACCTAAAAGTATCTCTTAGGTTACTATTGTATACTTAGATATTTGCTGTAAAATGATCAGCTATTGTCAAGACCAATAAATTGTAACAATATGGAGGGCAATTATTCTACCATTCAGGAAAACATGGCCATTGTCATGCTAACCAGTATCCCTACTAGTTATTCTCAAAACAGGATATATAATGGGTATATATAAAATTAAGCAAGTCGCTTCCTGATTTAGACAACACAAGACTCCTCAAAAACAGATTGCTGAGTGTTACTATTCTGCTGTGCAGGCTTGATTTCTTAACATAAATTATATCCACTAGTATGGCAAAAGTCTAATTTTTATTCATTACATATGGATTTCCCTCAGAATTAATGATTTTCAACCCAAAGTCTAAAATGTTTTTAAATAAAATCAGTGGGAACTAGCAAGCTGTGTATTGGTGAGCATTGTCTTTCCTTGTTTATCCATATACTTCCACCACCTCCCCATGTCATATTTAGATTATTTCTTACTCTGTAATGCACCATTCACACAGAGTGCAATCCTATCCAGGTTTAGACAATGTGGCTGGCTATCAAATGCAAGAACTTGTAGAACTCTCTTTCTAAACATACATAGCATTGCATCCTAGGTCTAAAACTAGGTGCTTGCTAGCAGGGTATATCCCTTGCTGAATTTGTCATTGTCTCTGTTTATCTATGTATGGAAACAGTTCTACTGAATTAATGTGGTGCTTGTTTAGTCACAAAGTCATGCCAGACCCATCACAACCCCATGGAAAATACCCCTCCAGGCTCTCCTGTCCTCCACCATCCCTTGGAGTCCACCCAAGCCCACACCCACTGCCCCAGTGACTCCATCCAGCCACCTCATCCTCTGCTGTCCCCTTCTCCTTTTGACGTCGATCGTGTGTGTTTACTCTCATTCTATATAACTGTGCCTAGGACTGCAGCTTCAGGATTGGGTGGGTGGGTGGCAGGGGATAAGTTACCTGTATAAACAACTGAAAATTCATCACTTGAATTCAGCTTGTCACATTAAAAAGCACACCAGGGAAGTCCTATCAGGACTTAAGCACCCTTAAGTTGCCCACAAGCAAAAGGGGATGGGATCTGTCCTGTTGATCAGTATAATTCAGTGATTAAATGAGGATTAAAACTAAACAGAAACATCTTGATTCCAAAAGGATAGCTGTTTATTTTGCTGCTGAGTAGGCTTCCCATAGGTTGGAACAGCCCTTAGTTCGATAGAGCTTTCTATCATATTTATGCAGCTGTCAGAGTTGGCACATCATGGCTGCCCAGTACAAGTACATCCTATCCATGTGCATAGGCATGATCCCCACCAAGCTACAACCCAAGGCAGAGGTTTGTCTATCATCATGGGAAAGGAGACAGACCTGCAACTATGAGACTGCAAGATTATGTGCTGGCTGGGGAACTCTGTCACTAGTGGCAGAAGATACTACTACAAGAGACATCTAATTTAACTGTAATTGATTAATGGGTTTAAAAGAACAATTCTGAGATTCATTTCCCCCTAAAATCCCTTAAGTATGCCTGCCAAGTTTCAGGTGCCTAGCGTTCACAACCTTGGCACTATGAAGCTGATGGACAGACGTGCCTTCCCAGAGTCAACTGTAGCCCTAACATGGTTCAGTATAACAAGGCCTTGTAGTAAAGCAGCATTAACCATTTTCATTCCAGAGCAGAGCAAAAACCCTGAGCAGCATTACAGGGTGCAAATCTATGGGTTGTGCCCTTGTGGGACAGCAGCATCCCTATTTGGAGGCTTCTGAGTATCCGATGCATTGCCAGGCTGCGAGCAGCCAGGCAGGAGGAGTGGTGGAGGAAATCTTTGCCTCCCTGTCCTCCAATTTCCTTTATTTTGGCTAGAGGGGCATTTTTGTTGGCCCAGCAATCATAGTTTGGGTTTGGAGGAAGGAGGCTGGAAGAGTCTCAGGACAATCCTCCCCATTATATCCTCCCCATTCTTCGTGCTTTCCCAATCTCAGAGAGCAACTGACATGGTTCTTTTTATGCCAACTGGAAAAGGACATGGGAGAGGTGGACGCTGAAGGAATTCCTTACTACCCCATGGCTCCCTAAACAAGGTCTGGGCCAATAGGATTTACAGGGAGCCAGCCTTGCCATTCTGGGGCCCTCAAGATGACTTGGTCTTCAGCTCCCACCATCTCCCATCCAGAGGTTATGGGAGTTGTAGTCCAAGACATCTGGAACACCTCCAAATTGGACAAGGCTGGAACATACCAATACAATACTTACCCATTATAATTCGTCTAAATATTGAAATCAATAGGTTAAATAAATCATAACTAACTGCACTGGTCGGCTCCAGCCCTGACAGATCAGATGCCTTAGACTACCACTCCCATAAGCCCATGAAATCAACAGGTTTATTCTCTAGTCCCTTCAGATGCCTTGGATTACCACTCCCATCGTCCCATCAAATCAATGAGTTTACACTGTGGACCAGATGCTTGGGCTGCAGTGGGTTTACCCTCAAATCGTTCTAGACGCCTTGGACTACAACGCCCATCCTCCCATAAAATAAACGGCGTACAAGTTAGATTCCGAGCTAGGTCGCATTCAGACGACTCCACGCTCCCGTCACGTAAGAAGGCTTAAACGGTTCGACTGCGCAGGCGCGGACCGTTCCCTCCCACACATACGCGGGAGTCCTGGCGGCCGTTGGCTGCGGTTGGTACTGGAGCGGAACGGGCGGCGGCGCGGCGCTGAGCATGCGCAGGGAGGCCTCAGCAGGTGGCGCGGGAGGCGAGGCTGCGGGAGCGGCCGTTGGGGCGGCGCGCCCGCTGTGACTCGCGGCGAGAGGGGGCGCCGGGGGCACCTTGTCGGGCGCGCGCGCGCGCCTTCCTCGCAGGTGCAGAGACTCAGCCACTGGACGCAGGAAACGCCACCTTTCCAACGCCAGGACAGTGCATCGTTTCACCCCATTTCACCCCGTTTCGTTGGTATCTTAATTTTCCCCCATCCTTTTATCTTGCATAGGCAGAAACAAAGGAGAGCACCGACGGGCTCCTGCAACAGGCGCGTTTGGGGTCGGGGAAAGGGCTTCATCACGTAGGGTAGGGAGAAAAGCTGCCGCTGTTGGAGCAGCTCTTGGCACTGGACACGCGGGGAAGACGCGCTGCCAGCAGGGCGGCCTGTTCCTCCCGTCTGGGCCAGCGCTTCCTTTTTGCACGTGGTGTCCTTCCCGTCCCAGTGAGCAGCTGGCTACCCAGTGCATACCATGGTGGCTGCTTGGAGATGTTAACATTGGTTTCCATGTGCTTTTTATTTAGTGTTACCATTCCAGTGATAGTGCCTGCTCAAACTGGCAGTGGCTGTCCAGCAGGGTAGTTTCTCATAAGTAATTTCTCATTGCCAGGGATTAAACCTGAGACCCTTATGTGCAATGCATGTGCTTTGCCACTGAGCTGTGGTGCTCCCCCTAAGTATCCCCTTTTTCACGGTATCTGAAAATTACCTTTAGCTCCTTTCTTAAAAGATCTAATGTAATGCCATGGGGGCCACCCACAAACGATCAGGATGTGGCCTGCTCATATAGCCCTGCTTCACCATGCTCTGCTCTCAGAGCGGCGTCTGATTTTTTTTCAGAAGGGGGAACTTTAGAACCGAATAAATACTTCTCTTGGTTGTGAAGAACAACACCAAAATGACAGGCTAGTCAAAAGAAGCTTTGGATTTGTACATGAAAGGAAGAGGAAAATGCACAGGACTGAAACACAGGCCTGTCCATTCTCATGATGGCTTGGAATTGTACCTGAATACCTAAGTCTGTATTAGGGCAGTGGCTTTCAACCACTGGGCTGTGGACCAGCATCAGTCTCTTGGGGGGCTGCATCCTGCTCACTGCAGACCAGCACAGGGGTGACTGTGCTCCACTCCCTCTTCCTTGGTTGGCATTATGTTTGTGGGGGTTCACTGGTGCTACCGGGGGGGGGGGGGGGGGGGGGGGGGCAGGGAGGGGAGACATGGCTGGGAGCCATGCTGTGCTGATTTTGGTGTTGTGTTCTTTCGTTGGGAGTTTTTGTTGCTCGATTTCTGGTTGTTTTGGAAAATTTTCATTTTTTTGGGAACTGATACACCGAATACTGTGTTATGGATATGGTGCTTTTTGTTTCTGCCTCAGCAGTCCCTGAGGTTGATTTCATGTTTTCTCTGGTCCCCAGCTGTGGTTGAAACAACTTTGTCCAGAAGCAAGCAGATGCTTCTCTTTCAAAGCTGTAATTCTATTCTCCCCAACTTGGTAGTATATCCTGATGAGCTTTTCATGTCTTTTAACATAACATGCAGTGTAAGCAGTAAACAGATGAAAGGGGTAGTTATAAAAGCTGTGCCAGTTATACATTTTTCTCTGAGATGTTCTTTAGGGACACTTTTCTAACATACAGGCAACATCCTAGTTTAACTGTTTATAAAGAATCTAGCTCTATTCCCACATTTGGCCATTTTTACGTCCTTTCATTGTTTTAGGATGGAAAAAGGTAACTCATATTTATTTGTTTATTAGATTTGTATCCTGCTTATTTCTTACAATGAACTCAAAGAAGCTTACAACATTCTTTTCCTCCTGCTCTCAATCTTATCCCCACAACAACAACCCTGTAAACTAGATGGCTTCATGGTGGAGCAGGAATTAGAACCCTGATTGCCCGAGTTCCAATTTCATGCTCTTAACCACTACATGAAACTGGCTCTCACATCTGTTGCATCTACTACCTGGCCCCCAAAGTATCATTTTCTCAAGCTGGAAGCAGCAGTTGGTTTAGGAAGCAGCTTGCATCAGTCTGGGAATGATTGCTTTTGCTCCTCTTGCAAACCAAATTTATAATGTAGTTTTATCTATGTTTACTCACAAGTAACTCCCACTTTGCTCAATGGTGCTCACTTCCTGTAAAATATAAGCCTCTCCTTCCTTCAGGTACTTTGCTTAATTGCTGATAATAAATTTACTTCTTCATTTTTTCATTCATTCTGACCTGAAGATCCCATTATTATTTCAAGAAAATAAATTGTAAGTGATGAACACTCGATAAGGACTGGAAAATTTCTATGGCTGAGTTCTCTTGTAAATTTGTTCAGTTACACTGAAAACCTATTCCTTAAATATATAAAGACTCCTGAATTGTGCCCTGGTTGTTTCAAGTTTAGAAATTTATAAGGGACTGTTTTTGTGAAAGCAGCTTATAGACTTTTTGATTTGTTGTCTTTTCAGAGGTAATACTTGTGAAAGTTGTCATTCTCTTTGGAATAAATGAAAAAGTCATTGAAGGGAAAAGATGATTCAAGTCTTTATCTTGAAGGTATTGTGAAGCTCTTGTGCATTTACAGGACACATTTTAAGCATGTACTCTTAACTTTTAAGGGCCGTGCAATCTTTTAATATGATTTAAACTGTGGTTTGCTTATTGATTAGATTGAAAATCCAGACTGCTTCTGGGTCTGCATAAAAGGAGGTGGAAAGTTTGTGGACAATGAGATGGATTATCAAAAACTTCAGTCTGAAATGAATCAGTTCTATAACAAATCTTTCAGATGCATGGATGAAATCAAGCCATCTGCATTAGAGGAGGGTCAGGTAATTTTGTATGTTCAATCTGTTGTTATTGTAGATATGGAGCTAGGAGGGGGAAACCAAGGGTAAGTGTTGTGATACGATATTTTTTTTTCAAGCAGATTAAAATATACCACATAGTGGATTAGGGTTATTGATTTTCAATATTCAGTATCAAATGCTTTTGCAAGACCTGTTCACCTCTGCATTTTGGTCTAAATTTAAAATTCCTCCAAAGTGCTAGGTATTTGGAAAATGTAAAAATACCAATAAGTCTTTTCAAGAGCTGGATTTAACTGCCTTTCCTCTGCAGTCTTATATAGGCATTATTATGCTGTGGCATTAGAAAATTGACTATGCCCTTATAATAATATAAAAATTGAAACTATGGAGCGTGTCCTTTTTGTATGCATTTTTACAGGGATAAATGCATGAGATCCCTTAACCCTGTAATGAGGGTTTTCCTGGTTAGGATTTCTGATTGGTATTTAAATTTAATTCTGTGTTGGACTAGCAAGTCCAACACAGAATTAGTGGCCAAGTTCTTTATATCAGCACATAGGGATGCACAAGATGATTCTTGCTTTTGGTAATATTTATTTTTAAGTCATGTTCATGTAATTTATTTACCGGTTTTAATCCTTTTTGAAATGTTTTATGAGTTTTATCATGTCTGTAACTGCTCAGTAAAGATGATTGGTTTAGGGCCTATGGCCCCTGTGGAAAATACACACACGCACCATGTTACTTCTTAGGTTTAACAGAAAGCGAGTGGAAAATCATAATAAATACTCATCTTCGGGCAATATTTTCAATAAATCAGTGTTGGCACAGCATGCAATATGAAGTTCCTGTATGGATTTTTTTCTCTTTAAGCTTTTCTTGCATTTCACTAGTTACCTGTTTATCATGACTCAAAATAGATTGTGGAAAATTAAAAATTTAAAAGTCATATGTTTCCTTTTCAGGCTTGTACTGTTTATTGCCAGGAACTGAAATCCTGGTGCAGAGCTGTTGTTAAATCCATCATATCATGCACAGACTATTATGTTGCCGACTGTTTCCTTGTGGACTATGCCAAGAGTCTTCCCGTGAAAACAGATAGGTATGTAACTGCACCAAGTGAAAAAGAGTGGACAAAGATTGTGTGCAACCTGACTACTGAAGGCATTATCAGTAAAGCTACACTTGTGTCCTCCCACGTGTCCACTTACTCAGCAGCCAGATTCATACACAACCACCCCCTAAGGTTCCCTGGTGTTGTGTGAGTGAGCCAGCATCCTGGTCACTGTTACTTATGTGCTCATGTTTGGCTCATTCTGCCAGCGGTAGCAGCTGAACAAGCCAAGAGTGCCTGAATCTGGCATTCAGACTTGCCTCACTCGTCAAGCCAGAGGTGAGGCTTATAAAACCCTGGGCTTTTATTGTGTGCAAAGTGAGTGGTGTGATCGGCTGGTGGAGCAATATAAGTGCAGTTAGAAAGTCTGGGATTCAGACTTCAGCTCAGCCTGATGGGCAAGTCACTGTTTTAAAGTGCTTTCATATTTAAGAAATGGGAATGATAATAGGAATGGTCTTTAGCATAGGGCTGTTAAGGGCAAGCATGTGAGATCATGTTCATATTTAGGATTTACATTTTTCCTATGAAATACTAACTGCAAAAGTCTTTGGAACTTACTAATTCTGTGTTCTGAAACCTGTGTTTGTTTTCAGGATTTGTGTTGCCTTAGAATCATTTATGAGATTGCCTTACAGAGCAAAGAAGTTTAGGTTATACTGTACAAAGCCGGTAACACTGCGTGTGGACTATTGCAGTGACAGTGCAGAGATAGTGTAAGTATGATTGTAAGAGATTATTCCACAGTATATTTGTTTCTGTAAAACAAATCTTAAAATGTGTACTTAGATATTTTCCCCCTAGCCAAATGGAGGATCTTTTTTGGTATAATAGTGTCCAGTCTGTGGTGTTGTGTATTTGCCAAACATCATAACAATTGCATAAATGTCAGTGAGTAGGCTGGCTTATCTTTCCTGTACATCTTATACTCTATAAGACATTCTGAAGTTAAGAAATACTTCATGAATCTATAGTAAAAGAGGATGTGCATCTGTGAAATCTAGACACCAGAAACATAACAGCATGTACCTTGGGATACAGTGGTACCTCAGTTCATGAACGCCTCAGTTCACGACCAAATCGGTTCACAAACAAAAATTTCAGAAAAATTTTGCCTCCATTCACGAATTCTGCATCGGGTGACGACCACGATCGTGGCCATATTCGCGCACGATCCTGATCCCGCCCATCTTCCCCGCTCGTGGTTGCAGATAGACCTGTGGTCACTTGCTATGAAGCTTTTTCGTGTGCTTTTAGCACATACAGTACTGTAAAGTATTATTCAATAATAATATTGAATAACGGTTCCAAAGAAAGCGCAGAGCAAGCACGGTGGTAAAAAGAACATGCAGAGCAGTAATGAAGGTGAGAAGAACGTGCAGATTTTTCGCCAAAATTGACCCTGCAGCTAAGAGACAAAGAAGAGAGGAAACCCCTGAAGGAGATCTCCCCGATGTCCTTATGGAGGGGGGCTCTCCCTCCAAACAGTAACCTCCCCGGCACCTAGGTTAGTGTTCTCTACTGTACTGTACTTTGTTACTTCGTTGTTCTTTGTTACTTTGTGTCAAATTTGTGATTTTAAAAAATATTTACAGAACAGATTAACCTTATTTACATTGAACCTTATGGGGGAATTTGACTTGGTCTGTGACCAAAATTGGTTTGTGACCACATTCATTGGGGTCAGAACAGATTAACATTATTTACATTGAACCTTATGGGGGAATTTGACTTGGTTTGCGACCAGTTCGAGTCGCAACCAGAATCGTGGAACGAATTAAGTTCGTGAACCGAGGTACCACTCTATTGTGTTTTACAAATCGATTAATACGACCGTGTGTTTGAAACCCATAAGACCATCTTTGGCCACGAGGGGAGGTGTCCCTATCAAGCAGGTAGATACAGTTGAAGTTGCGGGACATTAGTAGGATGAGGGGCCATGTGTGTCTGCCTGCTGCCCCTTGTTGTGGGGTTGCATCCTCAGTGGAGGAAGTGGACGGACTCCTCCTCCAAAGGGCAATCAGTGGACACAGTGGCAGGGCCCATGTCTGGCTGCCAGTGGGTGTGCCTTCACTTCGGCACAGTAGACATCCTGCGTCCAGCTCTGGCAACTGCCTAAGTTTGAGGCCTCACTATATAAAACTTAGGAAGAGCATTGATAGTGTTGAATATTGGGGTGCTGCTCCAGTGAAGTAATCATGTGGGGCATTTTTTGTTTTGTTTTTGTTTCTGTAGACCTGCTAACTGTTGGGATATTTCAGCTATTCAGTACTTCCAAAACCTCCTGAATGGTAAGAAAATGCAGAGTAGTATACGCTGCAGTCTGCGGTATACGGACAAGTGTAAGAAAAAAATCAATCTGGGAGTTTAGATTAAACTTGGATAACGGTCAGAAGTAAAGCATATTAGTGAAGTTAAAGTTTTAATTTTAGCATTAATTGGAGTACAAGATAAGATATAGTAATTCATTAAATTTATATCTTCCATTTTTTCTTTTATGAGGAACCTAAAGTAAATTTGAGATTTTGTTTAGATTTAAAAAAATTACTGCCAAGTTTAAAGTTCACTGGTGGTGAATATTGCCATCGGTGAATGGCAGATCTGTTTGGATGTGACAGTGAATCTGCACAGTTAAAACCCCTTAGCTGCCATTTTTCCTCTGTAGAGAATGGGCCTGTGTCTTGCTCATTACAGACTGTTGACATAGGTTCATGTTAGAAGTAGGTAGAGGAGTCAGGGGGTGCTAAAGACTTTGAAGGTTCGTGGTTACCTAGTGAAGCTTCTCAGGTAGAGTGTGAGAATTGGCTTGCTTTGGAAGGAGCAGAAGCGTTTTCAGAAGGGGAGAGGGGAACATATACAGGCAATGGGAGAAACAAGCTGCTCAGTCAGAGGGTCTCCTTCATGTCCACCATTTTGTGCACAAGCAGCAAGAGCTGTGAAGTCAGTAGCTTTACTGAAAGTGAAAGGAAGGGACAAAGGGGAAGTTTCCAGTTTGGATTCTTTACATGGGCAAATGCTTTCCCCACAACTGTAGAAGGCTGTATAGAGTTCATACTGCTCTGCAATATGTTAAATTTAAATAAAATAATTGCAGTTCAAAGGATTGTCTTGAGTTTGATAACCAGAAGGAAAGAGGGAAGGGACCAGCTTATGGCATCTTCCCTCAGAGTGGGCAGCTCAGAGCCAGGTAGCTGATTATGACGGGGAGAGCTAGAATCTGAAATTTGTTTGTAATCCAATCAATTGTAATTGCCCAGACACTGAATTTTCCAGTGATACCTAGTTGGCATAGATAGGTAAAAGGTTCAATGCTATTCAGTGAAGAGAGATACTGTCTCTGTTGATGCATGTGATAGTTATATGCAGCCTATATGCAGAGTAGGCAGAAAACAGACTGTCCTGTGAGTATTCTTGCAATATACTTGTGTGCTTTCATATCCATGACAATTAGCAGTCTATATATGTGCAAGATGAAATGTATCTATTTCTAACATAACTAGAGAAACAACTGATCTAGTGTACTGGGTTGCACTTCTAATGATTTTAGGAAGGGACTAAGGTATACATGTTTGTAGTGTGCATAAGCTAATGGAAACATTTACACCCATTGATTCCCGAGACCCAGTGTAGGAATTCAGCTTACAGTTTCCATACTTATTTCATTTATTTGCCTTAATTAAGAAAGAACCAATGAAACATCATTCAAGTGTAAACAAGATAGCTAATGTGCTACTTTTGTTTCTGTTACTTATAGCAACAACTCAAGTGGAAGCCAAGTTATGTGCCATTGAAAATGATTTGTTTGATGTTTACCTTTATGTCACAATAAAGGGTGAAAAGGTAAACCAGTTGATATTTACAAACATGCTTGCAGTATTTTAAAGCAGATGTGCAATTTGCTGAGGTGAATGGCGACATCTTTTTCTCTCAGTGAGGAATAAAGCAGTGCTACTGCATTGTTTGTGGTACTTCAAGTCTACAGATGGTCATGAGCAGAAGAATATATTTCAGGGAATGTTTCTTGTGGGCCAACTTATACATGATTCAGGGTACTTGATATTTGGCTTGCATATCTGCCCCATTTGCTTCTAAAATAGAGGGTTTTTTTCCTGTAACAAAAGTACATAGGTAAGCTAAGTCTTCACCTGTCTTACCTATCCATGATCCAATACTTCGAACAGTGCTATCAGTAGTTCAGCTTACTTTTGATGTAGGGATTGGACTAGAAACCTGGCGTCTAACTACCTGCAGCAACAAGAGAGGGGGAGGTCAGTTCCTCTTGTACACATGCTCAATTTGTGATTTCAAAAAGCAGGGGAGAAGAGGAAAAAGAATTGTTGAAGTAGAAATAGATAAGAACATGCAGAGATCTTTTATTGAAACAGACAGACGGAGGCTCAGTCAAGCAGAGACTAAAATCCTGTAATTTTTGCATGGTCTAGACCAGAAAGTTTGTGATAGAGTTGATGCCCTCATAAAGAGAAATTAATAGAGAACAATATAGTTTCTGACTGACCATATGGATATCCTAGGAAATAATGCATATTCTGTATAGAATGTGTTGCTTTCTATTTAAAAGCAGATTACTTCCTGCTCTTAGGCATGGAGTGGACTTTGAAGGGAATTGCTGTACCAAAGTGGCAACTGTCTGTGTAAACGAAATGATTTGAAATGTTGGTATGCTGTTACAGCATGAAGTGAAAAGTTTTATCATCATCTCCTAAATGTTGGAGAGAATGGAATGAAAATGGTACCTATTTTCAAATGTGGCACTTTTCCCTCTTGGTTATCCCATTCTGGAGTGATGTCTTCAAAGATGCCAAAATACTTAGTCCAAAAAAATGACTTTTTACCTTATTTAGTTCTGTAATGTATTTTGGAAGGAAAAAATAAAAACATTGCCAATAAAGAACTTTAGTTTATAATAAGGAAAACTTTAGTTTGGGTAACTGCCGGAATGATAATATCTTCATAGGAAAGGAGAACGATTGGCATCCCTTACTGTACGGAGAAATAAGCTCTGGTCTGTTGCTTTGATAAAAATGGTGACAAAACAGATCAAACAGTATTGATCTGACCCAGATGTTGATCACTTATGTGAAATCTAGGACAAATTTATTAACCTTGCTGAAAGTGATAAAGATTTCACTTCCATTGATCCATGGAATATGATGGAGAGACTTGTTAGGATAAGACTTTGAAAAAGATGTTAGAAAACATTTTCCTCAAACTTTCTCTATATATCTGCTATGTCCCCTAATCATTTTGGATTGCTGTTGATTGCCTGTGTCCAATGTATCTTCTGAATAATTATTGTGTCGTATTTCGTGTGGTTGGATTTTACATTCTTTTGTAATTTAAGTAAAATTAATGAAATATTTAAAAGAGAAAATTATAGGGTTGCATTTTTATGCACCATTATTTCATCACCTAATGTTGAAAATGCACTTGGACATACCATTGTCTTAAGAAAAAGCCTTTGAAATAGTTTGAGGTTACACCTAAGGGTTTATTAGAAAATCCACATGGGAACCATTTTAGAATAGTTTAGCTGATAGAGTTGCTGCTTGTAGTAGCTGCTAACAGAGTGTCTCCCATTTAGTGGAATGGAGTGGAATGGTGTGGTGCGCTTTCATGCCACTGCCAGGAGGAGAGATTCTTCATGATCATGGCAGGCCGTTTTAAATGTTCCATCTGCTTCATGAGGTTAGGTAGTTTCTGCATTATCTTGGTAATACTTAGCCCTGCTATTAGTAATGATGCATATTTTCATTGCCCTCCTTTATACTGAATCTTAACATGCGAGAAACCTGCTTCATCACAGGTGTGTGTGAACGATGACCTTGTTGCAAAGAACTTTGCTTATTATGAGATGAACAATAAAATGTGTAGTACTGCGGAGGACCAAAAGAAAACAACAGCGAATCTTGAGCCTCCTTCAAAGGAGATTAATCCTGCACTTGTTTTTTGGCCAATGTTGCTACAACCCAAAGAAGCCAGTTCTTTTGAAACATGTAAGTATGGCAAATGTATTTCTGAAGGGCAGGGACAAACTGGTGGCAAACAGCAGCACATGGGAGGGGTGCGTCTTCACCTGCTGCTTTTCCCCCAGACTGTCCACATACTGGCCTTATCATTTACGGCTGGCAGGCAACCCAAGGGAGGGCCTGGGGAGGCACCAGGCAATGCTCTGCAACCTCTAGGAGCTCCCTCATCTACTTTCCGTTCTTGACAAAGCCTACCAAGAGTAGATGTTTTCGGGTCCTGGTTTGTAAGCAAGCATCAGTAATGGTGTGGGTCCTTGGAAATTAAGGGAACCTGCTAAACTGGGAAAAGAAAAGGGTGCCAGAAGAGAGGAGAGGCAGAGTACAAGCCCAGTGATCCCTGGAAGCCGTTACCATAGGCCAAGCTATGTACTGTATATGAATATGAACCTATGCTTATACCAATATACAGCAGATTATGCTTATAAAGGCATCCCTGTATATTCCTATTACGTTTATAGACAGTATAAGATGTGAGCTAGATGTATTAATGCCTTATATTGAAATTGCCGTGCATTTGGTGGTTGATGGAACATACCAAGTTAATTAAGTAGATTCAGTAGAAATTGGTTTTGGGAAAGCAGGTGAGAGAAGAATGAACAAATTAGAAATACTGTTTTTTTAAGTCTTCTGGTATTAAGGACCTTGCCACACCGGACTTGTTCCATACTCTTGATGAAGCTTGGGATATATTTTTGAACAACAGCTCTCCTACCATGCTCAGCAAACTGCTTTGAGCTTATTCTCAGTTTGCAAAGTAGTTTAAAATGCACACAGTTTGAAACAAAAATGTCAGGTACACATATGAACACCTAAAAGAATTTTCTGGTTCCTTTCTTACATGGTTCATGAATTATTTTCAATTACTGAATTGCAATTGGCCACAGAAATTAATGTGGAACCTTTAACATACTTGTATCCAGTTCTGGAACACATTCTTCATGAGGGTATGGTATTTTCAGGTCTCTGACTTGTGTTAAGTTGATTAGGAGATGTATTACCTAACATTTTAGAGGAAAACGTCTACGTTCATTTATGTGCTTTCTAGCTGCTGCTTCTAAAGACTTTAAGAAAATGGAATGCAAGGACTTCAGGGAAGCAGTTTCATGGAATGGAGTGAGTGAGTCTGTAAGTATACTTTTCATACAATATTAACATTGTACATTTATAAAACCCTTAAGATATCCAGAACCTGTACTATACTCAGGTTGACAGAAGTATGCTTAAAGTGGCAGAAAAAAATTATTTAGTTGTATTATTATGCTCTTCATTGCCACTGAGGGTATCATTTAAATTTTCTGTCCTGGGCACCAGGCTGCCACTGAGCAGATATTTTGGTGTGTGTGGACAACTTACCTCATTTCTGGCTATAACAGAAATGAATTCTTGGACTACATGAGCCCCTGCTCATAGCTCTCATTTTCAAAAAGTTTTTTAAACAAAAAAGTCCACAGCTACACAAAACACCAAAAGCGATCCATTTTAGCGTACAAAAAGGCAAACATAATCATTTTTGCATTCTGTAGTACTATGGAGCAATTTGCCATTGAATTTCAGCAGCAAATAACAGATGTTTTGTTTTGTTTTGTTTTGTGTGGCATTTCAGAGTGCATGAATAGATTCTGCTGCATGAGAGATGTATATTGGCTGCTATGTTGCTCTTAAAAGCGACAAGATGTGAGACAGTCGATCCCCACATGACAGGGCTCGCTTTTTATTGAATCACCTCTTTTCTAATTAATGTTTTCTTCTTTAGTACATAATATTGATTATTGCAGAATTGACAATTCACCTGTTGGTAGTTAAAGCAATCAAGACTATATTATTTTGTTCTTGAAAATTAAAATGAAGTTTCCGTACAATCATTCATGTTTTTCTTAAGACAGCTTTAAATGTACTTCACAGCTTTCCTAGTTGAGCTGCATAGCCTTGGAAGTTATAGGCGGTGCCATAACAGAAGACCAAGTGGCAACTAATTACAATCTCGGGGGGGGGGGGGGGTTGTTGGTGGGGAGGTAAAACAGTGTCACTATTCTCTTTTGCTATCTATCTATCTATCGATCTAGCGATCTATCGCATTTGTATGCCACCCCATAGCCAGAGGCTCTCTGGGCAGCTCACAGCACAATCATAAAAATACAGATAAAAATGGCAATAATAACAAAAACCACAAAAGAGAACAGAACATAATAGAATAAATAATAAGAAATAATAGAATAAGTAATAGAATAATTCTTGAGTTATGTTTCTAACCAGCACAAAGTTCTTTACTTTCCATTTTGGTACTGTGGGGAAATGGTTTTAGCCAGAAGTATAGAAGTGCAACACTATATATCATGAGGAAGAAAATTGAGGGATATCTTTGTTTGCTCATTTAGGATGTAATGGTGCCTATTCCAACTTTGAAACAAGGTGTAACAGTTTCAGTACAGGTAGATGGGCAAACAGAGAGGTATGTGTTCACTTTTTAACCTTTTTTTTCCTTACAAAGACAAAATACTGGGCCAGTTTCATTATGCTAGAAATTGTTGATTGGCTCAATAGACCAAAATCAATATTTCAATTTAACTTGACTCATCTGTTACTCCCACCCCCAGAAATCTACTGAAGCAATTGATTTAATTTAATTGTAAATTCAGTGATGTTCTTATTCAAGTTTACTTTGTTTTTGTCAAGAAGGAACGACTACATTCCTGCATTATCATATGCATTATAAAGCTGGTTGAGTTGGTTCACTTTTGATATATCTTTGCTTTATACTTGAGATGTTTTCCATTTTCACGCAGTGGCTGAAATTTAAACAGGCCACTGTATGAAATTGCTATGAATCCCCTTGCCCTACAGGTGTTTTCCAGTCCTGGCCCCATCATTGCTTTACGGACTGCTTTTCAGGGGCTCAAGGGCTGCGGCACTAAGGAGCCTGCCAGAATTCCCTGGCCCATACTCACAGTATTCTGTAGGTGGCCATTTAGATCACAACCACTATATTTATGAACATGGCTAAGGTTTTCTCATTCCATTGCCTTTTTTTCTAGTACCTTAGGTAAGACAACTACTAAAATACAGGAAGTGGAGAAAGATCTTTGTGAGAAAAACAGTGACTTGAAGTAAGTTTTATCTGTGTCTTGAAGATACGCAAATGCTATGTGAATCTCTTAGGCAACAAAAAGCAACCCGTTTTCCTTCCATGCTTAAAATTTCAAAGCTGACCAATACTTCAACTCTGGATAATTCAAGTAATCACAAGTAATAGATGTTTTAAAATGATTGCATTTCAAGTTGACATTCAAAATAGTTCATGTAAATTTCAAGAAATGTTAATGCATTGCATTCCAATTCATGCTGAACCTGTGTCTGACTCAATACTGGGGGGCAATTTTTTCTAGCCTTAGTAGATTATCCCAATTTGTGGTTGCCAAAAACTTCAGCCCTCCATTAGTAGCAAAGTTTTGGGTTCTTCTCAACAACAGGTTCTGTGCAGGTGTAGAGGCTGTATATGTGAATGCACAGATGACCAATAAATCAGTTACGGGTAAGCAACTTTATATTGTCGAAGGAGCGTGTAGATATATGTTGGGATCTTAATAAAGGAGTTAGGGTTGTAGTGAATGGGTAGTGCCAAACATACCTAGTATCTGATTATGGTTTTTGCTAGATAATCCATCAGAGTGTTTGATAAGAAACTTTATTTTGAACTGAGAAAAATAAACAAATATTTGCATGTGAATCAAATATTAAACCACTAGACAAAGCCCAGGTTTAAATCCCTGTTCAGGCATAGTTCATAGTCACCATCTCTTATCCTAACACACCTTGCACTATTGTTCTGAGGATAAACAATGAGAACAAAAATTGTAAAGTATTAATAAAGTCTGGTGACAAACTTCATATATTTTCAGGCTTCTGCAGTTCCTAAATCCTGATCCTTTGAAAGTTGCTGATGCACAAGAAGAGATGAAGGTATTGCAAGAAATTAACTACTTCATGTTTGTTCACAAAAACTTTACTTTCTTGTTCCTTTGACTGTTTTAAAGTCTTAACTAAAACAGTGTCAGTGTGGTGTAGTGGTTAGAGCATGGGTCTGGGACTCAGGTGATCTGGGTTCTAGTCCCTGCTCAGGCATGTAACCAGTTGGGTGATTTTGGGTCAGTCACAGATTCTCAGTCCATCCTTCTTTGTGGGGTTGTTGTGGGGATAAGAATGAGAGCAGCAGGAGGAGAAGTAGATACTGCCTTGAGTTTGTTGTTAGAAAAAAGGTGGAGTAGAAATGTAATAAACTAGAGGAGTTAAAATGTTCAGCAATATTTGTTTTGTCTGAATAGCTTCAGAAATTACAGCTCCCATTTACAGTTTCCTCAGTGATCATAAAAAGTTATTTTCTGGTGAAAAGGACAGCCTTTCATAGTAAATTGGATTTGCACTAGAATTGGATAACTCAGCTATGAATCATCATTTCCCCTATAATCTCAACTTCCAGAGTTCTAAGCTGTAGCATTGGGATTCCATGATTTTTTTCTTAGCATGATCTTAAATCTGCATAGAATTGCTTTGTGCATATTTCTTAAAGGAAAATAAAATGTAGAAAATATTTTCATTGGATAGGAAGTGTGTATTGTCTGTTACATTATTCTCTTACATTTACTTAACAGGCACATTCACTGAATATTAGTGCACACCTCCCTGTTGTTCTGAGTAATAAAATTGAACCATGCTCATCTCTTGAAACAGCACCGTTGTTTCTAGCTCTGAAAAAGGTAATACTCACTGTGCCACGTGTAGAAGGGAGGCGAATATCCTGGATCAAATTTGTTCAATATTGTCAGCTTGTGTGTAGCTAATGCACATTGAAAATGGGGCAGCACATGCAGAAAATCCACCAATCTTTTGGTGACAGGCAGATCTTATGTGAAACCCCAGTCTCCTGTTTCTGATGCCAGCTGCAGTCATGTGCATTTATTTTTGTGGAGTTCATACGTGTGTTAACTTGATAGAAGTTTGCAGTTAATCCAGTAACAGTCATTTGTAACACCTACTAGCACTTTGTCCTAATGATTGTGATATTACTTTGGCCTCTTAATCCATGTCACTGGTTTCTTATGTACAGAACATTGAATAATCCACATTGTCTGAACCTGTATGTTCATGTAAACCTGTATATATAGCAGAATTCTGTACATGAATGGTGATTTCCATTGAGTTTCCACCAAAGCCACTGTACTTGCTGAAAAAGAAGCATTAAGTAAATGCTGAAATATCTAATCCAATAATGTTTGTCCCTTTTCTGGTAGGAGCTGCTGAGGAATCATTTCCTAGGTCCTAGTCACGTGCAGTCTTATTCCTGGCCAGCGATAGCCCGTGGGTGTGATTCCGTTATCATCTGTCCTGAAAATGACCCACTTTTGTATCTTCTACCAATTATTACATTTTTGCAGTCAAGAAGTTGCTACATATCTTTGCCTGTTCGAAATGGCGTAAGTAGAATATTCACTTCATGCTCAAACACCTCAATTTCTATGATTTTTCTTCGTTTTTATCTTGGTTCAGTATTTACAGATTGTGCAATGTGGCATTGATCGGAAATTTTTCAAGGATAGCACTAGTAGTGGCTGTAGCCAAATGAGGCGAGCAAGGACCTTGGCTTCCACCTAAGAGGTCCCTTAATAACAGCTTGCAGTTCTGTGTAATTAATAACTGATGGCAGTATGGCTGCCTCTGACACAAAGGGACACAGTAGTCAATTGCCAGCCAGTTGATTGCAGATACTCAACAGTAGACTATTTCATAGTACCAGCTCTTCTGAAGCTAGCTGCAGTAATACAACATTATTACATACCAAGGAAGGGGGAGAACCCGAATCAATCCATAGAAATGTATCTTTCCTTTTGTAGAAAGGCTTAATCTCTGAACTTTGGGTCATGGGGCTTTTGCTTTTGGAACTGAACATTATTTTCCTATCCTCCCTATGAAAGCCCCCTGCACCTCACAGAATCTGTTCTAGATGCTCTCCAAACTTCCATCAGTAAGTATGGGGAGGCAGAATCCATTCTGTTGACACTTGGACACCATTGGATACAACGTGAAATATATACAAGCGGGTCACTGGGGAAATGGGGGATGGTGACCCAGGAGCAAAACGTTAAGGTGTGGAATAGAAGTTTCATAGATAACAAGGATGCTCAAATTCTGAATCATTTTGTTTTTGTTTTTTGTGCATACTTTAAACATCTTAAATGATTTGTGTTGATCTGCTTTCTGTCTCTCCTTTTTAAAAAGATTGATAAAAAGATCATTTCAGTTTGATATATGTTCTGTGTTTGTTTTAGCCAATAGCATTAATTGTATGTCCTGGACAGAAGAAAGCAGAACTAGTGTTTGAACTTCTGGAAACTTACATCCGATGTTCCAGGCCTCTTTACCCAATGTTGCTCTTGTTGGGAATGAATAAGGAAGAAATCAAGAGTGTAAGAATTCCAAGAGGATGTAAGTTTCCAGAAGTTCAAACACTAGTTCTGCTTTCTGTCTCTCCTTTTTAAAAAGATTGATAAAAAGATCATTTCAGTTTGATATATGTTCTGTGTTTGTTTTAGCCAATAGCATTAATTGTATGTCCTGGACAGAAGAAAGCAGAACTAGTGTTTGAACTTCTGGAAACTTACATCCGATGTTCCAGGCCTCTTTACCCAATGTTGCTCTTGTTGGGAATGAATAAGGAAGAAATCAAGAGTGTAAGAATTCCAAGAGGATGTAAGGATAACTTGATAATTAAAATACGAATGAATGAACCTGTCTGGACCATAGGATCGTAACAAAACGCAGATATATAAAATCATACAGTAATGTTTGCTCATTTAAACTTTCTTCCACTAGAATGACCATATAATTTGATAGTTTCACAGTATTATCTAGTCCAGCATTCCAGTCACAGTCACCAACCAGATTCCTGTGGGGATTCATGTTTTTCAAACAATGTTTAGGTCTTGGACTTCCTTTAAGAGTAGAATCCCCTTATGGAAAACTGACCAGCAGGACATGAGCACAATTTTAGTACCCTCCTTTTATTCCTTAACAACTGCTATTGAGAGGTATACTGTCTCTGATACTAGTGCTAATATACAACCATGATAGTAGCCATTGGCAGCCTTAAAAAGTAAAAGTAAAGGTTCCCCTTGACGTTAAGTCCAGTCATGCCTGACTCTAGGGGGCGGTGCTCATCTCCGTTTCCTGGCCGAGGGAGCCAGCGTTTGTCCGCAGACAGTCTCCGTGCTCATGGGGCCGGCATGACTAAACACCAAAGTCCATGGAACGCTGTTACCGGCCCACCAAAGTGGTACCTTTTTATCTACTTGCATTTGCATGCTTTCGAACTGCAAGGTTGGCAGGAGCCGGGACGGAGCAACGGGAACTCACCCTGTTGTGCAGACTTGAACAGGTGACCTTTTGATCAACCAGCTCAGCAGTTTAAACCACTGCTCCACCTGCATCCCTCATTGACAGCCTTATCCTCCATGAATTTGTCTTCCATTTCTTTCAGTACTATCTACATTAATGGACAAATTGTCCAGGCTTTTACTTTGGGTTCTTTTCCAGGTCTACATTGAGATGCCAAGGATTGAAGCTGTAACCTATGCTGTACCTCTAAACTATGGCCCTTGGGACCTTGTCTAGGTGACAGGGTAGAGAAGTGTTCATAATCAAGGAATTGGGTTCATTCCATTTGGATTTTCTTTGAGTTTTCTATTTCTAGTAAGCATGGGTGCATTTGGATAGATTAATAGCATTTACTACTGGTTCACGTAGGTGAAGTTTAAATGAAAAATATGGTAAACTTTTAATTTTATAGGTGAAATCATGGTAACAACCCCACAAAGTCTTCTGCGACTACTTGAATGCCACAGCTTACTGTTTCTAAGGCTCTGCCATCTTGTGTTTGATGAAGTTGATGTACTCTTCTCTGAGGCCAGTGAACAGGTAACTGTGCACTTTGATCTTACAATTTAAAAAGTACTTAAATGTTAAATGTAGTTTCTTTTGTCCCAAGATACCATTCCTCCAAAAATCAACCATATTTGATGCCACTCATTTCAAATATATGACTGGCAGGAAGAGAAAAAAGAGCTGGTATGAAGCCAAGAAATGCTTGTGCTACTACACAAACTCAAGGCTCTCGATTGGAATACTCACAGTTACTGTCTTCTGTCTTTCTTCCAGCACTTTACTGATAGAGTTACTATTTTGACAGCAAAAGATTACAAATTAACTCCTCTTTCTATAGATATTTAATATTTTAGAATATTACAAAAAAAATCTGAATGTTGGAGAAAAGGAATCTGCACCTCAGCAGATTGTTGCTGTTGGAAGCCAGTGGACCAAAAATGCAGAATACTTAACTAAAGAGTTCATGAATGATCCATATATTGTAATCACGGCTATGGAAGAAGGTGCTATATATGGGAAAGTACAACAGGTAAAAGATTGGGTTTTTTAATAGCTCTTAAATATTTTATAGTGTGTTTTTGATCTGTAGCTGTATTAAACTTGTAGCTGTTAAGACACTAGAATCATTTTGCATGGGTATAATGTAGGTATTTCTGGTTAGAAATTCATAACATTTCCTTGGACTCAAGATATAATATGTATAGTTGCTTTTGGATTGAGTTCCTCCAAACTTTAATTAAACTTCCGTGAGAGCAGTTGTAAGCATCAATATTTATGAAATACAACTTAAATTTTTTAAGAATTGTCTTGGAAGCTAGGATTGTTATATAGATAATAGCACTGATTAGTCCTATTAGTCAAAATTTGCTTGGAAAGTTTCTGTTAGGTTAGTTACAGGTAAAAAATAGAATCTTTTTATAAGGAGCATTTTAATAGGAGATGCTCATTTTTCTGAATACCTCTGAAACTCATAACTGTTCTCTTCCAGAGCAGTTGGCCTAGCAAGTATAACCTGAAGTGTTTTGGAATTCTATCATTTAAAATGATTTTTAAATACAGTAGTTTCCTAATATAATTTAAAGCAAAAGCAGAAATGAACTAGTAGTTTTCTATTTAAATTATGAAAGATTTAATCCAGTGTTTGGAAATTTTTAATTGCATATAACTTTAGGTGGTACAACTCTGCCTTGAGCATAATAAAATGTCTACATTACTTCAGACACTGGATTTTACTCCTACTGATACTCAGAAGACTCTGATTTTCACCAGTTCTGTGGAAGAAACAGAGATTGTTTACAAGGTATTCTCCTACCCTCACTCAAGATTCAGACTTTCTGAAAAGTTTTGCTGTCACACATGTGCTAGATTCCTCTAAATTATCATTGGCTGAGAAATCCAGATTCTTCAGAAATTACATATGCTTGCTTTCTAGCAACCTGCACTTCCCAGGACAGTTAATAGATAGCTGCGTAGGGAGTATGAGGGCATTCTAGAAGGTAATACTTTTATCTCTTTCTTGATCTTGTGCTGGAAGCTTAATCATCAGCCTATCCAAGCAGTAAATGGGTGATCTATTGGGTGGTGTGTTAGTCAGACTGATCCGTTTTGTACCAAGGGCCATAGAAATGAGATGCCAACATCCTAGTGGAAGGGATAAACAAATATAAATACCATGGTGCTTTTAGGACGTTCTGAGCCAGACTATAGGACCTGGGACAAAAGAGATTGAACAGGCGAAGGAAGGGAACGCTTCTCACGTACCTCAGCTTGCTGCTTCCCCTATATATTCCTTTTTACTGTCCCCATCACTTCTAAAGTGCCTGCCTGATCCTGCTGCCACACCCCAATCTCCTGGATAATCCTTATCCCCACTGCTCTTCCCTGCAACCGTTGCCTCCTGTGGCAGCTCTCCTTTCAAGGCATCATTATGGCAAGGGCAGGGATGCATCCCAAAAAGACCAAGGGAGAAGCAGTCTGATTCGGCCCTTTGAAAAGCTTCTTCCGTTTTTGCTCAGGCCTCAGTTATTGTGATACAGGACCTACTCAAATCAGAATGGCTTCCACTGAAGGAGAAAGGAACAGTACCCATATGGTGAAGGTTTCCTTAGTTCCTACAGAATATTCTGTTCCACCAAGGTTTATTTCTGATACTGGTTACAGCCTTACTGAGCATTCAGCCTAAAATAATTTAAGTCTAGAAGATTTATTTTTTTCTTGTCACTACCTCTGCTTTCCCAGTATTATATTCCTGAGGCTTTTTGACCAACAGCTTAATTTTGTCTGTGTTTCTTCTGTACTATATTCTGAAATTAGGGGTGGGAATGGAAATAACAGGAAATACAAAAGACTACAGGGACTTACAGGGCCTTGCCTGTGGAGCAAGTATGGGAAGTGTTTTTTTATCAAGATACCCTCAATCCACGAGCATGTGAAATATCCGCTATAATACCTGTTATCTTTTCTCTTCCTAGTTCACTTCAGCTAGCTATTGTTTCAAAGCCAGAAGGTACATGGCTGCATCCAAAGATCCCTGTAGTTGAGTGGAAGGCACGGCACCTCTGCCTCAGCTACTGCATCCTGCAAAATGCCTTTAGAGGTTCAGGGGATCTTCCAAAGTGGCACGCAGTGCAGTCTTTTTTAAAGAAAGGTGGGAGAGTTAACCACTCCCAGACACACAGCACATGATTGAATGTATAGTCTGCTCATCTGTTCAGAGTTTATCCACAGCTGTCATACCTTCAGCATAAGTTTAAAGGATCAGACAGGCTACTGGAATGGCACCATGGAGATGGGGCAGCACCAGCTAGTAACCTGAGCACTGCAGCACGTTTTACGGATTTTTGCTACCTTTGATAGATGCCAGTTGTTTGTGGACTGATTTTGCTATCCATTCTAAATGAAGCCATTTGTTTCTCTTACATAAGGAAAGGTCATGTATTGGTTTCTGATAATGTACATATTTCGGACTTTTCAATTAAAAGGTTTATTTATTTATTTGGAATTTTTGTGTGCTGTCCCATTCGCCTAAGCCTTGGGACGGCTTCCAACATATAAATAAATATCTATACAAATACATATAAAATCTGGAAACATCCTGGCAATAATTTAAAACCAATAAATAAAATCAGCACTTATTAAAATATCATTTAAATAAAAAGGTCTTGGCCTGGCGCCGAAAAACAAATAACGACGGCACCAGGCGGACCTCTCTGGGGAGTGCATTCCATAAGTGGGGCCCCACCGCAGAGAAAGCCCTCCTCTGGGTACTCACCCTCCTAATATCCTTCACGGAGGGTTCCCAGGGAAGGGCCTCTGCTGCCAATCTCAAGGGGCGGGAGGGCAAATACGGACGCAGGCGTTCCTTCAAGTATCCAGGTCCCAAGCCGTTAAGGGCTTTATAGGTGATAACCAGCACCTTGAATTGAGCCTGGACTTCGATGGGGAGCCAGTGAAGCTGATAGAGAACTGGGGTTATATGAGAACAACGCCGAGTCCCCGTCAGCAATCTGGCAGCTCTATTTATTAAACTGAACCCTTTTAGAACTTGGAAAATACAAAGCATCTCATGAGCAGACTTTTAATCCAGAATGTGGTACTATTCTAGTGCAATTGGGCTTTTGAAGAACAACTAGTCTATTAGAGCATTCTTCAGCAATTGTAATTCTTCTGTAGTCATGCTGTTTGAAATTCTTCTTATTTTTGTAATCAGGCAGTAATGAGCAGCTCAATATTTTGTCTGAAAATGAGTCCAGAAATTGGATTTCATTCTGATTATGTTATAGAGCAATGGAACAAATGTTCTGGCACATATATTGTATTGGGTAAGTATTTTCTTTTCTTGAGTGGGTGTAGTTTAGATTCCTTGTCAAAATCCTAGTGATCCTCAATCTCCCTGATGACAATTTAATTGTCTAATTTACAGAGCATTGTCTATTTTCAGACTAAGACCAATAGAGTGTCAAGCAGATTATTTAAAAAAATATGTCCTTGTCTCTCATTAAAAACCAGAGTAACAATCAGTTAACAGAAAAAGAGAAAGGAAATGTGTAACAGAATACTTAGTTGATTAACCTTGCTGTTGCTATCCTAATTTTTGGGCTTCTAATGACTGATTTCTGTATTCCTGATTTACTGCTCAGAAAGTCCTGGCTGAGACTGTTGGATGTTGTTTTGTCAGTCAATCAATCAAATGTGATTATGTGAAGGATGCAGTTTGCCATATTGGCACTTTCCTCGCAAGGAAGCTTAGCAGTGTTGTCCTTTTCAGTGAGAGAATAATTTGTAGGAACACTCCCGTAATTTAAAAACCAGAAGATGAGAAAGATGCTACATTTGTCAGAACTGAGGTAGCAGAATGTTACCCATTGGTATTAACTGAAATTGTGTTTTATTTTCAGTGGTTTTAACACTCAAAGGACATGTTGGTTGATTTTGCTTGATAAATTTTCTGATTTTCTTTCCAGTTGTAACTGATGACTCCTTACCAGCCTTAGGAATTACAGATGCAACAGGTGTAATTCATTTCAGTTTCCCCTCCTCTCCAAGAATCTTTGGGGCACGATTGTACAGCATGTCTGCCAATTTTCAAAACCCAGTAGAAAAGGTCTGCACAAATCCTAGCAAACTTTTTATTGTGAGATAACATCCTGAATATTTCAGACAGAAAAGCCTTTATTCCTGTGTTCCCAAGAGCTATTGAAACCTAAGTATTTGATCATTTACTTACCATAATTCTAAGCTACTTTGGTGCAGCTGAAAGAGGCCTGGCATAATGTGTTCCAATAGACCAACCCTGTTAACAGCTGCATTGCCTTATTTCGTATCAGTTGATGTTTCCAGACTGTTTCCAAAGGCAGTCCCACATAGAGCACATTACAGTACCTCTGGATCACCTTTCCCAGAGGTTTCATTTAGGTGCGAAGTAGCATAGCAGGTATTGGAATTACTGGAATTATCCCAATAAAATATTTGAATTATTCAGGTGCTGTGCTTCATTTCATGCGACTCTGTTTTTACTGTAAGGCTATCCTGAGACTTTAGTAGTTGGACAGTATATAAAAACTGGAAGGAAGGAAGGAAGGAAGGGAAGGAATAGTTCTAGAAACATTGATTAAAACAATAAATGCAGATTTTCTATTTCCTTCTCCTAAAGGTCTCATCCCTGGAAAAAGAACAAGCAAAGACAAGATCCATCTTACTGTTGACAGAAAAGAGTGCGTGCCATGCTGTTGGAGTACTACGTTATTTAAAACGCACAGGAGCCAACATTCCACCTGAATTATGTGATTTTACATCTGGAGTGTTGGAGGCCAAAGAAGATTGTAAAAGGGGGAGGCCTCTTTGTCACTACCTTAAAGCCTATGGAATTTGCAAGTAAGAAAATTCAAGATTTCTAGTAATTTTAGCGGCTGTTTACCTTGTTTTAATGCTGCCCCAGTGGCAACCAAAGACAAATCTGTGCAGTACACTTCTGGACAGCACCTTGTTTGTGGTAATTTTTTCTGTCTACTCCCTGCAGCCACCCTCGAATATGGCAGCAGGCCTGATTCACTCAAGAATAATAAAATAGGAGGTCAGAAGGGACGTGCAAGGGTTGAACAGGCTGGAAAAATGACAACTTCTGAAGCACCCTAATCCAGGTTGAAAGAAAAAGAGACGGGAAGGGAAGTAACAGGACAGAAAAAAAAGTTTGCTTAGGCATACAGAAGAAAGAGTCTGCTTGAGAACTTGTACAGAGAGGTTTTTCTTTCCAATACTGTGCTGTAAAGCCAGTGGGAATAAGTGAAGAAGGGGCTCATTGGGCCTTTAATCATCGCAGACAGATTGTACCCAAATGAGGAGTTTAGTGAGAGTCCAAATAATATTTTTTCTCTGAAGAAATAGAATTAGTTATTTTTTAAAAGGGAAGATTTAATTTTGGGTTTTGCAGGTGTTTCTTTAGGATGTTCCTTAATATATAATGTTTGGGAAATTTTGTTTTTAAATCATCCTACTTCTGTGTGAGTAATGTAACTATAACAAAAAATAACTGTTCTGTGCAATGGCTACAGTATCATTTCCCACGGTATCTACTTTCCATGATCAAGTGTTGAGGTTAAATTGGTGCTTAATATAGATTTTGATGTCTCCCAGGTGGTCCGTGTTACTGTTAAATTGCCAGTTGTTAAACATGAGCTCCTTTCCTTGCAATTATTTTGTTGAAGCCAGCCTGAAGCCATACTAATTTTTTTTTAGGCTTGAGTAGTAGAAGTCAGTAGATTGACTAACTAGGAGCAGTCAACTTCATTACTGCAGGTTTGTTAAGCATTTGACATGAAACTGGTGCAGAGTGCTTAGAAACTTAAGGAAGTTTAGAGAGCTTGCTGCCAGAGTGCTGCTGAGGCCTGGCTGCAGGGAGCATGCAGCTCTCTCTGCTGAAGCAGCTTCACTGGCTACTAGTCTGCTTCCAAGCACGATTCAAAGCACTGCATGACTCAGAGAGCTACCCCAGCCTGTGTTTATATATAAGACATTGTGCTGAGGATGCCTCTTGGCTGGAGCCGTGGTGGATCACTGCAGGATGGTCTGGATGCAGGCAACACAGGGACTCTGGACTATTCAACCCTAGCGGGATGGATTTGGAAGGAACAGAAACATTAGAACTGCCTTACAGGAGTTGGATCACTGGTTCATCTAACGCGGCATTTGCTGCACTGATTGGCAATCTCTCTCCAGGGCTTCCATTGGAAGCCTCTACCACAGATCTCCAACCTGTTCCCCAGGGAGCCATGCAGAAATTCAGAGGGCAGCCTCCTGTGTGGATATGTGCTCTGTAGGATATTCGAATTAATTCAGTTAATCATGGCATACTGATGCACAGCTTGGTAAATGCTGTTGCTTTGACTCCTGTGTTTCTTTTTTGCTTTCCATGGTGGTTGTATGGATGGTTGTCACCCAACTGATCCCACACTTAGTTCTTTCCAGCCAAACATTGTTGGAAATGTTTCTTTCCAGCTTGTTCTTTCCAGCTAAACATTGTTGCTTTCCTCAACAGCACACTACTTTAAAATGCTTCGTTCTCATTGTTTAATTCAGTCACTTTATGAACATACAGGAATAAAGAGCGCTGTCCAGATCGACATCGAGTTAGTTTACAAACAGATTTGCCTAGAAAGCTGACTGATGAAACACTGCCAACAGCTGGAACTGTAACAGTGAGTTAGTAATGCTAATGTAAATGTGTTGTACTACATTCTGACTAAAGAGCCATCAGCATAGCATGAAGGAATTAGAGTTTCAAAAAGGCTACTAGTGCCGCCTTTCTGTAGCTACTGTACCTGCCTTTCAAACAGTGTATCTTCTGGTACAAGTGAAACTATGGCTGCTGAAATCGAGATCGATACAGAAGTTTCACTATGATAAAAAGAGTTTGTTCATCGGACCATGAAAATAGACACCTGTAATACGGCTAGGGGATCCTACATGTGCATATCCTAGGGTTATTGTACTTTAATAAATTGATGTATGACCATTTGTCTGAAGCCTGCAGTACCATATTCAGACTTCCCTAGCCAGCTGTTGTGAGTTACGACTCACAGTATAAACAGCCCACATGTTCGCAAGCAATAGAACTAAAGTCTTTTATTGCTACTTATCTACAAGATTTACAACACTACAGATAAGCTCTACTGCAATGGTCTTTACAAGGCAGTTGCTAACTCCCTAGTAACTTCCTCAGGGAGCCAGCCCACCACGTGGGACTAGCTTTCTTGGCCCCACCTTTCCCCCCTGAGGAACGTTACTAGGGAGTTAGCAACTGCCTTGTAAAGACCATTGCAGTAGAGCTTATCTGTAGTGTTGTAAATCTTGTAGATAAGTAGCAATAAAAGACTTTAGTTTTATTGCTTGCGAACATGTGGGTTGTTTATACTGTGAGCTTCCTTTTGTTCCATTCTGGGTAAATCCCGTGGGATAAATCTGCCCCGCCTCCTGTGTCATGCCTAGGAGGTTCAACATCAGGAGGAAGGGGGGCAGTCTGCCCAGGCTCTCCATGAGCAGAACTTGTAGTGTCTTCTCCCTCGAGGCCCCCTTGGTCTGACATAGGCTCGGTGTTTGCTCAGTGGGTAAAGGGTCAGGATGAGGTATGGCTACCTGTTCAGCCATTCCCGGGCCAGGTTGTGGAAGGGGCATTTGGTCACAGGGTCTCAAGTATAAATCCTCCTCGTGAGGTGCTGCTTCTGTCGGGGCGTCAGGCACGACACCAGCACATAACTGCAAGCAGGATGGAACAGTCCAAGATGGAGTTATATTGTTGCTCCCTACTTACACCTTGCTGTGGGGCAGCCCTTCCTTAGGCAGTGTTCTCAGGGGGTGCGCCATGGCAGGGAATGTGCCTAAAGTTTCCAGTGCCTGTGGCTCCATTCATATAGGTCAGCCACCATGTGTCCAATTCTGAAAGCTTCCTAACTTTGCTTCAGGGTTTTACTGTGCCAAAACTAAGGACTATTCCAACCTGTGTGAAGCTGGACCCATTCACTAAATTGTATTGCTAATCACAGAGCGTCCACCTTGCCCCTGTCTTTATGCAGATATTCCAATGCTCTCTCAACAAATTTTATATCTGAAGTTTTGGGTAGAAAATAATAATGTGCTAAACTTGCATGATTTCAGTTATCAAGAGAATAAAATACCTCCCTTGTTCATTTAATATTTTGCTGATACGCATCTGCAAAAGCAGCACTGCGTATACAATCCAGATAGGGTCGATATTTTACATTGCAATGGGCATGAGGTTGTTGATGTTAATTTGCATTGGCTCTGATAGAACAGTAATGAAGAATGCACTTTTACCCTTGAAACTAAACTGGGTTGCATTTTATGGCACACAGTGCTGGTAAGCTGGAGAAGTACAATAATTTTATTGACTATTTACCTTCGAGATACTATTTCTAGAGTGCAATAATATGCAAAGGTTGTGCGTGAATCAGAAGACGCACAGGCCCTGCCTGCAGGCCTCCAGTGCAAAGTACCAGCCATGCATGGAGGTGGCAGTTCTCCATCATGGCCGCTGCATCACACATCGCGGGCGCTGTGCCTGCGCAGTGCCTGTCGCCAGGAAGCTAAACCGCTGCAACGGCCTTCGCCAGGACCTCCGCACCTCGTCCCCATAGTATAAATCCCATGTGTTCAGGCTTAAAAGACTAGACCTTCGTGGGAAAGAGTAGAGAGAAATTTGTTCTAGAATATTACAAGCAGCTTTTTAGCAATGTTTTAATTGACTGACTGGTGGAAGTCCTTTTTTCCTGGATCTGTGTATTCTTCTGACCTAATTTCCACTCTTTCAGATACTGCCTCTTTTTGTTGTGGATGCTACGCACTACTTTGGCCGCATAGTAGCTAAACAGGAAGATCAGTATACAGCTCTTGCAAAAGAGATGAATCAGTATTATAAGGAAACTAGGAATTGTGTTTCTGTTGACACAGTGGAGAATCTGAAAATGTATGCATTACATAAAGAAAGCTCTTTCCACAGGTAGACTATTTAGTTTGTTCTGCATGAATATTTTAGTACGATATTATAGTATAATAAAATACAGTGCATTTTTGCTAATAGAAACTGCTCAACCCAAAGCAAGGAGGTGTACATCTAATAGTGCAGTGGTGCATCTACATGTATCATGAAGCCAAAAATTATGGCTTAATAAGTCAAGCTGTGCATAAGCACCATATGAATGCATATAGCTGGTTCTTTCACATGTTCAAACCTGGTTTAAAACTGGCTTATGAATCCTAGACTTTTGGAAGGACTTCCTGGTTCACACATGATGGGAAAGTACATTTAGGTGCTTTGCCATTTGTGCAAAGGGAAGACAAAGTGACAGAATATCAAGCTAGTATTTTATGTTTTGCATGACGTGTGAACCATAATAAAATTTATTAATATTAAATCTTCTGATCTGACTAGTATGTAAATCGTGATCATGTCCCTCAAACTTTCTTTCAAAATTGGAAGTTTTTAAAATTAAAGCATTGAAAAATATTTGAAAATAGATTTGCAGTAGATGCTAGGGGTGAAGACCTGTGTGTGAACTTTTTGCCTTCTCTTTACAGGCATTCATTAATACATGTTTATGACAGTCATACAGCTATGTAATACACAAACTCGATAGACCTGGCTGCATAACTATGTTCCTGCCATAACCTGAGAAACATGCAGCTTACCAGTACTACTGAGTTGTTCTAGGACAGTGGTGGCGAGCCTATGGCACGCATGCCACAGTGGGCACGCAGAGCTCTCTCTGTCGGCATGCAGGCTAAGAAACCCCAGCAGCCGAGCATCAGATAACAGCGCACACAGGGGCCATGCGCATGCTTGGAAAGGAGCTGTGGCACCAGGCGATGACATCATGAGCCACGACTCATTAGCCAAGTCTCAACTGAGCTTTTGCATGGCCAGTCAGTGCGCTGCAAAGGAGATATATATATTTGCTTGGACTGGCTGTGAGTTGTTTTTTCTAAACTAAAACCTCAGTTTTCAGGTTTTATTGCAGTGCTGGCACTTTGCGATAAATAAGTGGGTTTTGGGTTGCAGTTTGGGCACTCAGTCTCTAAAAGGTTCACCATCACTGGTCTAGGATAATTAAGATCTTAGAGGAAAGATTACAATTGTGGCATCACCTTTTAAAAATGACGTATACATTCACCTACAATGTTGTTTATTCATTTAATTTATTTGAGCTGGCGGTGTTTCCAATTTGCTTTTCCTCCATTCTCTTAAAGGGTTCAAGTGTTAGAAGTGGAACGAAAAGAAGACTCTGTGTTTTGTATTCATATTAAATATATAGATGAAGGTAGAACTGCTAATGTTCAAAATTATCACTTGCTGAACTTACCAGAAGAGTTTCAAGATTTGCCCCCTCAGGCTGTAGAATTCATTGTTTGCAGGGTTAAACCTATTGATAATGAAGTGGAATGGAATCCAAAAGTAAGTTTTCTTTTCATTTGTAATCCTTGTATTAATAATAATAATAATAATAATAATAATAATAATAATAATAGCATAGCTAACCATTTTCCCGAAGTTGTGGTGAAATATCTTTTTGTAAAGAGAGTGGCCAGTGCCTAATTCTGCATCAAGAATGATGAGTTGTTATCTTTTTTTCTGGTTGCACATTTGTCTGTTTGCACATCATATATACATCATAATTTACTGCCAAAATAAACTGAGTTACACCTGAATTCTTTTCAAGTACTATTTTTTTTTCTTACTTAATAGGCCTCAGTTTCAAACTATTTTACGTTTCTAGCTAATATTTTCCTTTTGGGGAAGAAAATTCCAGTGGAGTAAGCCAAACTGATGATAGTAATGGAAGATGTAACATTTAATAACAAAATATCAATTTTAACAATGTAAAAGTACAGCCTCATCCATGGAGTTATCTTGTATTAGTTATGTTTATAAAGTGACCATAAGAATTTTCATCAGTTGCTATCAGATTTCCTTAGTCTGCCCTTCCAGAAATACAGCCTGTTATGCTTATTTCAAGTACAGGAGCACTTACTTTTTCTTCCTTCAGCTATAAACTGCCCCTGTTTGGAATTGGAAAAAGAGGGCGTTCTGTAATTTCCATCAAGATAAAAATGGATTCCACGGACATTGTAAGATTCACACTTGTTACCTAAGGGTTATTTTTGTTTTATTAGGTTACTAGATTCATTAATCACAAGATTAAAGGAGAAGTCCATGAAGCAAAAATAGTACTTGCCCTGGGGAACACAGTTTGGGTGGATCCAGTGGTATGTAATACAGCATTAAACTTTTATCTACTTTTCTTATAAATCTCCAAGAGGCTTTCCCATTTATTCTTTAAAAAATAGTACAAAAGTACCTGATGACACTGAGGACTTTGTTGATGCTTTTGAAGGTAATATAGAATATTTGGGCAGCCGGTTTCTTTGTATAATCACTTGAACTACAGATCATCTTTGTTGCCATCTCTGAACCCTTTCCAGCTTGTCTGCATCTTTCTTCGAAGTGTGGTGCCCAGAACTGGACACAGGACTCATGACGGGGCCTAACTAGTGCTCAGTAGAGGGGAATCAGTACCTCAAGTGATTTAGAAGTGATATTTCTATTAATGCAGCTCAGAATAGCATTTGCTTTCTTTACAGCCACATCACCCTATTGACTCATTTTCAACTTGTGGTCTACAACAATTCCAAGAACCTTCTTGTTGTAGTATTGTTGAGCGTAGTATCTGTAACTGTGCATTCAGTTCCCTTTTCCTGGGTGCAGAACTTGGCATGTGTCCCTACTGCATTTTATTCTGTTGCTTTCAGCCCAGTGCTCCAGTCTGTCAAAGTCATTTTGAATTTTGGTTCATTCCTCCAGGATATTAGCTATCCCACCCAATTTTGTGTCATCTGCAAATCTCATCAGCATTCCTTGCCCCTCTTCATCCAAGTTGAAGAGGGAAAACTAGCTGTGGGAAAACTAGCAGTATGGACTAGCAGATAGTAGGAGTTATAAATGGCATCAAAGCAAATGCTACTTCTTTTAAATTCTAGGTGAGGATCACCAAACTTCAAAATCTGAAAACTTCTATAAATGAGTACAATATTCGCTCTGAGATCCTGTCTACTGGATTAGGAGTTGACAACCCTGGACACATACAGGAACTCCAGAGTTTATTTAAAGATGCTGAAATAGCCCAAGAGCCTGACTTGTAAGAGAATAACTTTGATTTTTTTTTATTTGATTTTAGTTCCAGAAACAAACTTTCTGGCTAAGTAGGATTTATGTGCATTAGGAAACATACTGTAGCTTAAAGAACTTCGGTAGCCAGGGTTCCATTCACCCTTTTTGGCATGAAGAATGAATACTATTTGTGTATCAGCTGAGGTAGCCTTCAATGGAAGGATGTTTCAGGGCATCTTAAGTAACTTTATCTAGGATTGATATCTTACAAATGAGTTTAATATAATTAGATACCTTGTTTGGACTTCCCCATGCTGGTGGCCTGTTGTTGTGGGGGGTTTTTTTTTTTTTTAGAAAGCTTTCACTTTCACTTTGTTTGGACCACTGAAAGAAAAAGTAGTGAGAATTTACTTACAATTTGGACACATCATAAGAAAACAAGACTCCCTGGAGAAGACAGTCATGCTAGGGAAAGTAGAAAGCAGAAGAAGAAAAGGAAGATGAAATAAGAGATGGATTGACTCCATAATGGAAGCCACAGCCTTGAGATTAGAACAACTAAGTGGAAATACCATGGATTGAACATTTGGGGGGGACTTTCATTCTTAGGGTTGCCATTAGTTGGAGACTAGATGGCATATGACGACAAATGTATGCTTGAAAATGTTCCTTCTTGTTTAATAGGTGATTTCAAATGTCTTGCACATAGAATGACTTGAGTGTGGTATGTGGTTGTTTTCTATCATGTTGGATTTTCAGTTCAATTTTTGGACAAATTGACTAGAGAAAGAGATGGGCTTCCCTCTTTGATGAGTCCATGACCAGCTTTTTTTCTTAAGTGTCTCAACAAGCATTCTTTTACGACACATGTGTTTTTCATGCAGACATAGCCTTTCCTAGGCTTCTGGCATCAAAAAATGGGATGAAAGAATTCCACAGAATGTATTTGAGCCAAAATCTGACTTTAGTTGGTGGTGACTAAGAAAAATCAATTGTTTAAACTGCTGCCCATCCGTCAAGCAAAAGCAGAGATCTAAGTTCTCTTTCATGGCCTCTATGCATCATGGGGGTACAGTCTGTCCCTGCATGAAGCCGCCTCTGGGAAACTGCAATAGCTGAGACATTACGGTGAGAACTGTCCTCCATCATTTCAGCATGCGTAGCCCTAGCAGGTTCCTCCCGAGACCTTCAGCTCCTGTTTGGCCGCCATTTAATGCGCATGAATAATGTTCAGGATAGTTACGTGTATGGATGTAAAAGCATTTTTTCTAATTTGTATTTATGTGCTTGCTTACTATAGAAGGTTCCCAAAGAAGGTTCTGCACGGATGCAGAACCCACATGTGTGACTGTATAGATGGCCACTTGAAGAACTACAGGCACAGATAACCAACTTGTCTTTCTTGCTTCTAATGGAAGTGCGCAATAATGACCCCCACATCTTTCAGAATTCATCCTCAGAAGTGCGGAACAAGGGAACAGACAACACATGATTCTCAGAGCATCTTGGATCAGGCTACTTGCAAATCACAGACTACTGAGCAGATCCTTCCCAGTGTACAGAATGCACAAGAAAGTGATGCCATAATGAGCGACGGTCCCTCTCACGTAATTTCACGAGATAATTGTAGTAAGTATACATATGATTATGAAAGCCAAGATTATAGGTAAGGGTTAAGGTTTAACAAGTGTAAGGCCATAACTGATCAATGCCGAAGGTGCATGTATCTGCGAAAGTGGATGTCGTCATTACTGCCAAAACGCACAGTGCTCAATATTTCTATTTTGTATATACTATGTTACTCATTTGCTTATAATAAATGAACAGAGATGCATATAAAATGTTGAATATAGGCTTCTTTTGCCTTCTTTACCCTTTCACCTGGGAACTTAAATAAGCTTAGAAGCCAAGGATATGTGTGTGAAAGGGGATGGGGAGGGGAGAGATGTTGGCTGATTCACATATTGAATGTTCACCTCTTAATTACTTCAGAATCTATGCATCAAAACCAGCATAATTTAAAACACACGGGGGATTGCATGCACTGGTATTAACTGGTCCTAAATCTTGCCTTACAAAAGTCCTTTTCAACTTCTCTACATTTTGTTGTGTTAAACCTGGAATGAAAATGGATTTGATTGGGATTGTAACCATGTGACATAAAATAAGATCCTCAATACTACGAAGATGCAAAATACTTCATTGTGGCACAAATGTTAATAAAAGCAAACTGGCACTGTTGCTTTTCAGCCTATTTGGTCCCCCGAGTCAGCTTAGTAGAAGCACCTTTGGCAACTATTATAGCTGTGAGGTTTTTTTGGATAAGTTCATCAGCTTTGCACATCTGGATTCTGCAGTGTATGCCCGTTATTCCTGGCAAAACTGCTTCAGCTGTGTCAGGCTGGATGGGAACTGGGTTCCATCTCCCAGCATATGCCCATCCATCAGCTGGGATTTCCCCCCACTCAATACTGTGCTGTCTTCCCTGCCTAGTTCCATAAGGTGCCAATTGCATCTTGGTCTAATACCAAGCATGAAGTGATCTGTGCCCTGGAAAAGGAGTTCTAATCAACAAGATGACATTAAAACATCAAATATGCAATTTACTAATTTTATTAATTATTAGTAAATTGCATTAATGTATTACTTTATTAACCCATTGCTACAATGTATTAATAATGGTAGATTTGTGAATGTATTACTACACTGTGTGCTGTGTAAAATTAATTTGTTTTATTCCTTAGTTGAAATTGCTGAAAGGAAAAAAGATGAAGCTCAACAACCTCCTCAGGAATGGTAACAGAATTTTATTTAGTTGGACTTACAGAACTGCCCGGTCGCACAGCTCAGGGAGGGCATTGTTCTTACCTTGGCCTTCCCTATCCCTTTCCACCTAACACCAGTTTTGCATTGCCTCTGGAAGAGAAACCCTTGTGTTTTATCAAGTCTTAAGAGAAAAGCTATTTAATGTATCTCCCTCTCCCCACACACGCATGCACACACACACACCCTGTTCAGGTGGAAAGCCTCCCAAAACAGTTTATAGATAAATAAAAACCAGGCTTCTGTGTTTCCTCTGCCCTTCCTCAATGGTCCCAAGAAGCTCGCATGTAGAGCATGATGGAGAAAGCCGTTCCAGGTTTGCCTCATCATCTGATAGTATGCTGCTTCTGAACTGAAGGTTCTGTTTGGGCCATTGTTTTGTTACCACAATGCTTTTTACAGTATTGCAGTGTCACAATACAACCTACCTAGTCCCTGAGGTTAGTTTGGAGGTGCTTTTCTTTTGTGCCCCTTCTGAAAGAAGTTCAGTGTGGCAGTTCAGGAAAAGCTCCACATTTAAGAAATGCTTTTCTCAAGGAAGCTCGCTAGTACAGACACTGTCATCATCCTGGTGGCACAGTTGTGCTTACTTTCCTAGGACTTCAAATGTTGATTATGGCCCACCTGTTGTGGGCTACGTATTATTTATTTATTTATTTATTAAAACATTTTTATGCCGCCCCATTCGCCGAAGCCTCGAGGCGGCTTACAACAATAAATTAAATAATGATGATCATAAATTAAAATGAAAACATTAGAATAAAATATGAACATACAATATAAAATAAGCCGCCCTGGCCAGATGTGAGTGCTCATTCTAGATTGGGGTGATGGGGCATTTGTTGATTGTGGATTAAGCATTTCTGTGCTGCCATGTGTGGTGGTGGTGTTGTGTTTAGATGGTTTTATTTTTATGTGCTGATTGTGGTTTATACTGTATGGGGGTGTTTTTCTTATTAATTATGAATGTCTTTATTTGTACATAGGCTCCTTCAAGATGGCTTTTTGCAGTGTAAAGTGATGCATAAATTCAATAAAAATAACAAATAGCATCTGTTGCTCATTAACTGAATAGTTACTTCCATGCCCATGTAATCCTTTTTTTAATTTCAGCTTTCATCCAACAATGAAATGGTTTGAAAAGCAGGATGTTGTTGTTGTTAAGATAAAATTACAAAATATTTCTTGTTATACCTGCAATTTTTTTACACAGAGAATCATTTTCAGGTGAGTAGAACATGTTTTATCAATATAAGATCCAAATTCATATTTGTTCCCTTATGACAAACTCATATATCAAAAATTATTCAGCGCTTCTGCAGAAGGCAAGTTTTATTTAGCTGATCTGGAACTGCACAAAAGTATCCTCAAAGAAAAATCAGTCTGCATACTTAAGAATGATGAGCCTGTGATTATCCTTGCAAAAGAGAAGGAAGAATCTTGGAGTAACTTGCTGAAGTACAAAGTGAGTGGTGAATTCAAACTGGCTTACAGTTCTTAAGTCATTGGTATAGTATACTGAATAGTTAAAATATTTATTCACAGAATCCTCATGTGTCTTTTGATTTTGATTACTTGGAAGATGTTGAAGAAAGAAGTCCCTTTCCTGTTGGTAAGTCCCTACCTGCATTGTTAATATATATTCACATTCTTTTTCGTAATGAAGGTTGTCCAGAAGCAGGCTCCTCTCCCAGTTGCTTCAGAGGCAAGGCTGAATTAATTCATGTAGGAGGAGCCACTGCCAGTTCTTCTTTGTGGTGTCTGCGCATCACACACAGGGGCTCTGTGCCTATGCAGAGCCTAGTTTTTGGGAAGCTGCTGTAGCTAAGCACTCGTTTTTGGGACAGAAGCCCCCCCCATCTACTCCCACCCCTCCCCTCAGTTCCTTTTCGGCTACCATTGTACCGAGATCACGAACAGCTTTGCTCTCTACCTTAGGTACTTTGTGCTCCTTGTCTTGTGTTCTCTAACTCCCTTGCTCATTTTCTTGCAGCAATCCAACCCTCCCTTTGTTCCTTCTCTCCAAAAATTCATTTTTTCACTCCTTTTCGCTAAAATAAAAAACCTACAAAAATACGTATTTTCCACTCATTCACTGTATCCACTGCTCCTCAAACCCGCTTGAGCTGTCCATGATTTTTCTCCCGCTCCTGTTCTCCCTCTCCTTTTTCCTCCCTGACTGCAGCCCATCTGTACAACGGTGCCAGCCTCCCGTGCTTCCGGCAGCATCAGATTGTCACCATCCCGGCACCACTGTCTTTGCCTCCTCTGCTTGAGTGAGCGTGTGCGGGGGAGCTGTGCGCACTGCATGTGTGCAGTTATGAGGTGATCGTGGCCCATTGTTAACTCTGAGAAAGCATGGGGGCCAAGGCTGTTTACCTGCCAAGGGAACTCGAGAGGTGTCCTGCCTTCTCCACCCTGAGGCCTCCAGGTTGGCAAAGCATCAGAGGGCAGTGGCCAGGCCTCACGTCAGCTGTGGTATGCCTGCTGTTCGCCAGTATGCCTGCTTCCACTCTGTAGGACTCCCCCAAGAGACGTGCTCACAGATCGAGGGCCTGCCTTCCTTTTGATAGGGCACAAAAGGAAAGCCAGGCAAGCCACCGCCAGAAGGAATAGGCTCCACCAGCAGCAGGTCAGGCAGCTTAAGTAGCTTGCGGCCTCATTTGCCCACCAACAGAGGTGCTCCGATGCAGGCCATCCCCACAGGTCCCAGACGGCCTCCCAGTACAGGAGGCAAGACAGCCCGAGCAGCACCGTCCTACTCATCTCGCCCTCTGTTCAGAATCGCCCATATCAGTGGACCCTCCCATAGAACCTCACAAGAGGTTTCAGCTTCCTCCCACAGAGCCAACGGTCATCGTCCCCACAGATGCCTCCGAAACAGCCTGGGGGTGCACTGAGGCGAGCTGCAGGCCCAGGCATCCTGGAACCACAGAGACCTTCGGTACATTCACACAACCTGGCTCCACTTGTGATCATCCTTTCCATTCCTCTAACTTGTTTTTCTGAAATAAGGGGCCAGACCGGGATGGGGACGTCTCACTTTCCCTTTGGTCCAGAGACCCCTGGGAACTGAGGGGATGGGCAGGAGCTCTTCCCTGAACTTCCTGCGGACAAGAAAGAGAGGGGCTTCACCCCACAAATGAGCACTTACCTATAGAAGCTTCCTGTACAGGCACAGAGCCCGTGTGTGTGCATGCGCAGGTGACCACTTGAAAAATGACAGTGCCAGGTAAGCAACCTGCCCTTCTCATTCTCCCTTCTTCAGTACGCAGCATTTTCACATAGCTCTAGTGCTGAATTTCTTTTGTCATGCCAGAAGCCCAATTTCCAAATTTATTTTGCCAGATCAACTTTCTGACCCCAGTGAGGGGACCATTCATTTTGTATTTGCCCCCTGCCTGTTGCAAAGACCAACAGTGCTCCTGAAATACTTCTGATGGAGGCACGATCAACCAAGGCAGGCAGGATCCGCCTTTTGGTTGGCAACAGCATCATTGCCAGCTGCCCTGCTGTCAGTATCTGTCAGTCTAACAATTCCTCTTACGGAAGGAGGTGCTGTTGAAGGGATGCGTATTGTCCACGTGCCTGTGCACTCTTGCCTTCCGCCAGTCACTTACCTGACAGCAAAGCAATACAGTTACGGACACTGCTGGGTGGTGACACTGGATTACAAGAAGGCGGCCAGCCTCCAGCATTGTGGGGCCCGTGGACGTGCTTAGCAGTTTGAAAAACGGTCCTTGGCATCACTCCAAATAAGCACACTACTGATGAAAGCAGCAGCCTGTTCATTTCCTAAGGGTGTCTCAGAGCCTTACGTGTGGCTCAAAGGCATTCATGGGAAAAGAGGAAGAACAGCGAAAGCCCTGGAAGAAACTTTCCAGTCTCCCAAAATGAAATATTGTGGAGAGGGAGAAGGGAGGACTAGGGTTCCTCTGCAGGTTGCATGAAAGGTCTCATCTCACTAGTGGTTTACTGAAGGGGGAAGTGCCATTTATACATTTGTGTATAAAAATGGGCTTTTACAAATTTATGTATAATATGCTACTTTCTTAATCAGGCTCGGGTCCTAAGAAAGTATACCAGGTTGCTACTGTGATGTGTGAGGAAGAGGAGGAATCATCGAGTGACAGTGATACAGACAGCGATTTTTCCAGCTATTAATTCTGGTTTGGAATGGAAGACTAGGCCTCAGTCTTTCGCATAAAAGCATGCATGTCTATCTTGCAGAACATCTTGCAAGCTCAAGCGGTGTTTTCATCTCCATAGTAGAAGAACGGCATGTCTGACCAGTGTATGGGAATGTAAACCCACATTTATACATACATTTTCTGAAAAGAGAAACTGCTCTGGGTTGCCTCCTCTGAGTAAAGATATGCAAAGCTCTTTCAGATTCTGACCAGCATAACTCATCAGATTTCATGTATCGCACTTGGGCCATTGGTGCATAATCCTAAAATAGGTCTGAGACCTTGGACCAAATTGGATGTTGTACAGCCAACTCTCTACAGCTGCATTCAATTTCTCACTCAGGAGCTGAACTCAGTGGGACTTACTTCCAAGTGTATGTATGTATACTATACATCTTGTATAGGACTGCTCTGAAGGTGTCTCCCAGTTAGCAAGTGTGGGGGGCTATTGAAAGGAATGCTGTGAATTTAAGCAGGCAAATGGCAGTGAGAAGGGACTGCTTCCCCACCTTCCCTCTGTTTATTCTTAATTCATTATGTCAAGTCTCGTTTTCTACGTGCCAAAAAAGCAACGCTGGGTTTGGTAGGATAAGTAATTTGAATGAAGAAACTACAGTAAAAGGAGGAAAGCGTCGATCAGCCCTGCCTATCTCATATGCAGCCTCCTGGTTTTCATTGTAAAGATGAACGTTTTAGAAGATGTGTGCCTGCATCTGCTTTGTAATCTGACTTGGCTATTAGCACAGTAAGTTATATAAGTATAAAGTTATGTTTATACATACAGCTAGGCTTAAGTTACAGGAAGATATTAATGCTGCAGTGTTGTGTTTGGGAAAGAATAGGAGAAGGGGGACAAGCTTCCATGTCGCTCTCTGCCAGAGGTTTATATCTGCACTTATATATGTGAGGGTAATATAAGATATTGCATCCCATGAGATCTCTGCCAGTTGTGTCAGTAGCCCCGACTTTTACCTCTTTGGCTCTAGTTTACCCCAATAAGTGGGAGTACTTCTGACGGCAGCTTCTGTGTTGAAACAACATCTGACTGGAGTGGTGGTGGGGGTGACTAACTTCCAATTGAAACTAACCTGTGGTGGGGGAGAACACGTCCACAAATTTCCAGTCTGACTTCTCCTTTAATTTTGTTAAATGTCAACAGTAAAAAACTACAACAAAGAGACTGGTGGCATCCTAAAGAATAACAGATTTATTATGCTACAAACTTAAAGATGACATAAAAATGGGTTAAAACGTCAAAGGTGCACAAGCATTTTAATTGGCTTTCCTTTTAATTAGAGGAAAATATCTTGATAATTAGGCTTTTAGGTACCTATGAACCAATTTGCATGCATTTCTCAGAATACTCACTTGTACAGAATACCAAACTAAACACACTTTTGCAGCAAGCCTCTAGCTAAAGGTTTTGAGAATGCAGACACAACCTTGCAAGTGAGTAGCCTTCTGGAATTGCTGACAAAGAATGACTTTCGTCCTTATGGTGAACGGCTGATACTGTCCCTACTCTTATACCCAGTCATCAACCCTGTGAAGACCTTCCAGAATGCTGACACAAACTCTCACTACCATCTGTTTCATGTTTCCTTGAAGTAACACATACAGGGAAGCTTAGCTTGTAAACATGTACTCTCACTGTGAAACTTTTTCCTGACTTAACTCCTAAAGGACTGGAGCTGCAGCTATCCCTTGATCACATTTCTTTCTCGGGCTCATCTGCCATTTCTTTTCAGTTTCTGACTTTGCATATCTATAAAACATGTTTAAAACATGAAGTTTTATCTTTATACTTCCATGTATGTTTGCTGGTAAGATGGCACTGTGATACTGTTCTGTTCACGTGCCAAACAAAAAGTAATTCTCAATTCTTAAATGTAATTGCTTCCATCCTGAGGTCCACAAATCCTCAGGTTGGACTTTCCCCCCATCCACATGTCGTCTTAGAATGTTACAAATCTTTGAATTCTAAGTGCTGCAGAAATAAAAGTCTGTAACAGCATAACAACAGATGGTACGGTGGCATGCGATTAAAGGGTGTTTCGTAAGTGTGCCCCTGGAGCACTTACAGCTGTATGCATGGAAGTTGAATGACACAACATGTGTGCCGAGCTGTTTCTAGGCTTTTGCTTCTGTGTGGGTGGAGTGTTTGGAACTTACTCAGTTTCTTCTTCTGGTGGAACAACTTCCAGAAGCATCTGAAGGTGCATGGTGACGGGCCCTGAAATGCAAAAGTTGTCATGTTTTAGTCACTTTTAAAAATTGGTTTGGCAACGTTGCTTACACATTTCCACTTTTACAAATAGCTATTCATAACAGTGTTGACTGCATGAGCCAGATTACTGTCCTGTGGCCAAATTAGGAGAAATGGATTTGCCCAGAAACTCTTCTTTCTCAATAGCTCAATTTCTGCGCTATGTTGACTCACTTTTTTAGTTACCAGATAGTATATTTAATGCTGAGAACTCCAAGTTATCTTGAAGTCAATCCTAATTGCCTTTTTCAAGGTTCCAACACATAGTTCCAGAAATTGCAAAATGCCTATTCAAACTAATCACCAGGTCATAAAAAGGGCAGAGTAACACACTGTTCCACTGAAACTGTAGTTCCATTTTGTTCTATTCATGCATTATTTTTAATTTGTCAAGTGAAGTGGTGATTTGATAGCAACCAGTTTGTTATTTGTTGACACGATGATGGGTATAATGAGGGACGATGCCCATAATTCAGACATTTTCTGACAATTAATTATTTGCAGTCTTTGCTACATGTTCAAACGCATTGAGAAACCACTTAGAACCTTCAAAGGACCAGTTCTCTATCAAACTACCTACAAATTCCAGATTTACTGAGAAGTCTGAAGTTCTTTTAAAAATGGGGGAAGGAAGGCTTACAGGTTCAGCTACCTGATGGAAGTAGGATAGGCCAAGCAGAATTTTCTGTAATTGGAAGATCCAGTAAAACAAAACAAAACAGCAGGGGGATCAATTATTAATGTAACTATGTACACGGATCTGGTTCATATATCTGCGGCTCACTGTGAGTTACGCAAGACATGCTGGATTGTAGCGTCTGCAGGTACCAGCTTGCCAATTCCTGGTATAGCTGCTTGTTTTGGCCAAACCTGGGTTCTTGTTGGGGGTGGTTGCCAGACCACATCACAACCCCACAATAAGCAATGGGCTTTTGGTGGCTGGTTAGCTATCCCAATGTACCATATCCTTGGCAGGTTCAGATGTTGCAATAATCAGCAGCAGGCACAAGTGACTGGGGAAATGAGCCAACAAGCACAGAAGTGGGTAATAGACCATTGTAGCTTATTAATCACACTCTTGAGCAAACTGTGCTCTTTTTCTTGGAATGGTGTCTATCCAATTTTTAGTTGGTATGTGACTTTGAAAAGCAGAGGAGAAGCTTCAGAAGAAAAAGTGGTACACATAGATACATTTCAGAACACAACTTCCTAGAGCTTATGGGAATGGGATGGTATATAAGTATTCAGATAAATTTAAAAATAAGCAAATTACATTTTATATTGTTGCTTCCTAATATCTCTCCCATGCAATTTGCAATAAAGAACTATAAGCACAAATGATTTGAAGAGACAATATTCCTGTCTCTAAAACTGAGCAAGCTCTGTTTTAGGTTTAAGTAATTCCACTCAGGTTCATTCATATAATTACCTCTAACTTACACATCCCACCTGCTCTTATACCCTGCTTGCTTCCTTTTGGAATAAGACTCCTCTGGGTTAAGTGACCAGGCCCAGACTCTTTTATCACAAACCCAGCTTAGAGGGAAATCATCCAGAAAAAATACTCACTTGAGATTTTTTGAGCCCAACTGAATTTGTAGTGAACGAAAAGTATATAAAAGACAAATCCACTAAGAATAAATAGCACACAGTACAGATATGCCCACTCAGGTGCACTGATAATGGGTGCCAGGACAAGCAGGATGGACACGAGGGTCACAATGATGGGGATGATAATAGGTATCTGCAAGACAGAAGGGTAAAGGCAACACTGAGAAATTTGAAGTTCCCTGAATTATTGCACTGGTAGAGTTTCATTCTTGTTGGAGAGGACAGACCGTCCTCAGGCACTGTAATGACTATTACAGCCGCCCATGAAAACTGTTCAAAGCTGGAATTCTATCACAGCAAAATTGGAAGCAGATTTAGGCTTGCTGGAAAGTAGGTCTTACAGGATTAAGAGAATTTGTTTTCTGATCAGCACGGCATCTTCTAATTCACTTTCTGCCTTTGACAAATCTGCCACCTTACTTGATTCCATGACAGAATATCGAGGCTGATGCAAACGCTGAACAAGCTGCAAGGATCAAGGATGGTATAACAGAAACAAGTGAAATATCTACACCCAGGTAGCTGAAGAAATGAGTGGGGGGACAGTGTAAGGGAGGTGTACTGAGGCCAGTTTTTAATTCACACAAGTTTCTGAAAGGATCAGCTTTTCTGAAAGAATTAGCTCCTGTTAAGCCCATATCAAAGTAGAAAATATATATTATGACCAGCACTTGAATAGAAAAAATGTATTTACTGGACTATCGACTAAGGTGTGGTTTAAGGGCATGGAGCTTATGTGAATGGTGGCATATAAAATCAAGATTGACAGTTGCGAATCACAGGCAAACAGCCAGAGCACAAAGAAAACAGCTGCTAGAACATCTGGAAGCACAATGGAAGAACTTGTTACCATGCATCTCGCCAGCAGCACTCTGCACCTCTAAGTGCAGCTCCCACCACCTGCAGAACCTCGGCAAGCCAGTAGCATCTGCCCAGTGAGGAAATCAGTCCTAGGAATATCTTCTGGTGAGATACTTACAGTGATAGGCCTTTCCAGACCTTTTCTTGTAAAGCGCATCACAATGAGCCCCAGTACAGTTAAGCCATAGAATATCCAGACCGCAAAGCTGAAGTAGTTGATGAGCGTGTTGATATCTCCTGGGATGATATAAATAACAGCTACTGCACCCTGAAAGCAAAAGAGACGAGAAGGATAAAAACAGAAAATGCTGATTTCACAGTGTTGGAGAGCTACTAATGCAATGGCTAATAGCAGTTGTGCATATAACAATGCTGATGGCATCTTTGAAATATTGGCTTTAATTAACATGCAGCTTACTCAAGATTCGTCTCTCGTTGATTTGAAATTTGCAGTCTTAATGTTTGGTCCCCTCTTTATAAAAGACACTTTTGCATATAAACTAAAAGCACATAATCCAAGGCTTTCTGATAAATTAGATTGCAGAAATAGATTTTGAAGTGTTTTTCTCTCTTCGTATGTATGCATTTTAAGCAGAAAGATCTTTTTTCAAAACTTCAGAACTCATACTTACATAAAATATTATAGCAGGTGCTGGAGTTAATCGCTTAATGCTGATGTAAGACATCACCTTTAACATATGCCCTTCACGACCAGCTACATAAACAAGCCTAGAAAGGCGAATTATTTTGGTTAGAGAAGTTGCTCCAACAGGATGGCCAAATGGAAATGCGGGCCCAGTTCCTGTGTCTGTAAGCGTTTTGAAGAGTCGGCAATGTTGGCAGGTGCAAGCTATTCTGGGATGTGTAAGAAAAGCTGCTCATACTGAAATTCCCACCCATACACAATTTTTAAAGGTTACAGAGGTGCCAATCTTTGCATTCAGTTCTGCATTTGGAAACAAGAGTGTTCCTGTTTCATTGCAGAATGCGTCTTTGTTAGGTCTTGCAATCACATTGCTGAGGCTGAGAATGAGTGCGTCTGTGGAACAGCCCGTCAGGAGTCCTGCATGAACGCAAAGGGACCCTCCCATGTATGTTCCCAGCCGCTGGTATCACCGAACAACGTGGGCTGCTCCTTTGCATCATCTGTGCCACTGCCCAGGTGCTTTGGAAGCACAGGTTTTGTGACCTCATATTGTGGCTGAAGTCTTACCAGTCTCAGGAACACAGAAGAGCGGAGCCACCCTGCGCTCTGAATACTGAGGGGTGGGATAAACAGGCAACTTTAATCTGAGCCATAGAATTCCAGCCCAGATAAGTCGGTTTTACCTGCCAGCAGTGAAGCAAGTCCCATTGGCTGCTCCAATGGTAGAAAATGCCACGAAGAGCGGAACGATCCAAGAAGCAGGGTACAGAACCCTGTCCCCAAAGGTCTGCAATGGAAAAAAATACAATAATACAGTGCCTTGCAGAAGTATTCGCACCCTTTGATTTTTCCACATTTTGTTCAGTTACAACCTGGAGTTAAAATTGATTTAATTGGCACTGCCACCACTTGGCATAGCCAAGATACTCAACACTGTGAAGACCGCATTTGGACAAAGAAGACAACCTGGAGTATGGGTGGAATACTGGTTGCTGTTGAATCATGGATTCAACATGGTTTATCTATGGCTTGTTGCCCAGCCTCAGCCCCACCCCCTCCACCCAGCAGATGCTCTGGAGAACCTTGCCAGCTGCTTCCCCAGCATGGCATTCTCTGCAGCAAGAAGGGAGGTGGCGGAGGTGGCTGGGGCAGGACTCCAGGGCTCCCAGTGCTTCGCCAACACCTCATGCCAACTGCTCGGCCCTCTGTGCTGCAGCCAGCCCCAGCCCAGGAAGGCTGCCAGGCTTCCCATACGGCCGTGCAAGGGCACTCTGGCCAGGGGGAGTGGTGACCGCAAGGAGCGGGAGAGAGAAGCTTGTGCCGCAGAGGCCTAGGTAGGAAGAGAAGAAGCATGGACGTGGCACAAAATCTTCTGCTTTGGGTGGGAAGAGCCTAGTTTGCAGGAGGGAATTCTGAGGGTGACCACAGGTGGGGCAAAGGGTTACAGAGGCCTCCCCCATGCCATGGTTCCAATCTGGGTTGTCCCTGAGCCCAGGCTATCTATTTTTACAAACCCCGGGTGACAAACATCAGGTCCAGAACGGCTCTGGCCCGAAGGGCCACCTCTGAGCAAACAAGCTGCAGATTCCACAGCGTACGCACAGAGAGCATCCCCTCAAAACTATGCCAGAGCGCTGTGCTTTTAATAGCTGCCCACTCCTGAAGCCAAAATGTTTCCCCGCCTGTAGAAAGTCCCATCCGGGCTTACCACAGCGACAGCTTGCGATTGCAGGAGTTCGGTTGCCGTCATAACCGTGAAATAAGAAACATTGATCAGGACATAACAGACAGTGACCAGTGGGATTCCAATAATGATAGACAGTGGGAGATTTCTAAATATAAATACACAGTGCTATCAGTATACGTGAAGGTTTACACATGATTCATGAAATCTTAGTTGATTTGTCACATGACAGTAGACATTTTTCATCACTCTGGTTATTGATTCCGCCTCCCACCAAGTCCTCACTGCTTTTTAAAGTCTCACATTATGCATTCATTTATGACAGCTATTTGTGGGAATGGAGGCACTTTAAATAAACATTTATTTGGTTATTTGCTATATTCTAACTTTCTGCCAAGGATCTCATGGGGTGCCCGTGAGCTTCGTCCTGCCCTGTATTTTATCCTCACAACAACCCTGTGAGGTAGGTTGGGCTTCGTGTCAGTGATGGGTCCAAGTTATCCGGTGAGTTCAATGGCCAAATAGGGACTAGAACCCAGATCTCCCAAATCCCTGCCTGGCACTCTAAGCATAACAACCTGCTGGTTTCTCAGTAGCCTCTGGGGGGTTAAATCTGCATAACCTTCCATCGGAGCAAGCAGTTGTTCTAAAAAAAATAAATAGGCACACGCTGTGTGCTGTTACAGCTTGTAGCCTCTTCAAAGAGGCCTTCCTTCTTGGGATCAGAAGTGGAAAAGGACAAAGGACACATGGTCCATCCCACTGGCCCACAGCTGCACCATCCTCAGCAGGTCACCATGTAGCTACTGCCGGAAAACCTCCTAGGATAATAAAGGGAATGCCACTTCAAAGCTGGCACCTCCCTTCCCAGGTTTTTGTAAGCACTTACACTACAAATAATTCTTTTTAAAAATAAATCTGCTGCCCCATTAGTCTGGAACACCTTTTTAATTGAGTGGAAAGCTTGACTTATAATAGTTGAAATTATTAATTGACTGAACATTCATCCCTTGTTCATCAGCTTCTGTTGTCTAGGGAGCTAAATCACTAGGATGTCACAAGCAATATGTTTTCTTGCCCGTTTACTGAAAATGAGGCTCAAAATATTTTTGAGCATTAGTTTTTTTGTGATGAATGTGTTTCCTTGGTAGGCTCCGTGGCTGGTTTAATTGTTGTAATTTGCCTTGAGGCTTTTCTCCCCAAAGAGGAACATAAACAGTCTCCAGAAATGCCTGATTAGTACATGGAGTTATTATGTGTCCCCACTCCACTGAGAAGGGAAAACTTCCCAGGACAGCTTGCCATAGTCGGCTCATTTTGCTCCAGCTGAAAGAGAGCTTTGGAGTCTTACGGAATCTTGGTCATGTTTGCTTATTTCCCAAATTACCAGCAGAGCAAAAGAGTGGAGGCAAACAGAGGTAATCCTGCAAGGAAGCAGACCCTCTGTCCAACAACAGGTTTCCAAGGAGACAACAGGTACTTCAAGGCGCCTTCGGACTACCCTGCATTCAGAATCACAGATCTGGGTTAACCAACCCACAATGTGAAGAGAATGGTGGGAGAGCTTCCTCTCGCATGCCATCTGAATCAACACCTATAATCAGCCAGGCCATACCTGTTGACGGTGGCATGCAAACCCAAGCACTGGTTTGTTTAGCGGCTAAATAATGCAGCAGTTACCCAGCAACAAACCACAGGTTCCTTGTGATCTGTGTGCATCATATATATGGGTGTGGAGCCTCTTTGTGTGAATGCAGGGATGGCCACTGGGGGCTTGGGAAGGGGGAGGTGGCCACTGGCAAGCCACCTGTCTTTAATTTCTGGGTTGTTCAGCCCTTAAACAACCCAGTGCTCAGGTTTGGACATCAAGCTGCTGCAGATTGCTGATTTCAGGCAGAAGTGGCTGGCACACGGCAGCTCTTTGCTCACTCTTTCCTGCTCATCAGTCAACCCACAATATGAGGAATTGGTGTTTCATTGGTGCATGTCACATTTTCCATACCTAAAAGGATTTCTGAGCTCCTCTGTGATATAATTGAGTTGATTCCTGGAGGAAGAGGAAGAGGAAGAGGAAGAGAGCATTACTTTTCAAGGCTGCAATTCCATCCATGCTAAGTTGGGACCAAAGCCCCGGAGAATGCAGTGGGATATATTTCCAAGTACACTTCCCAACAAGTGCATTTATTATCAAAAGAGCTTTTACAGCAACAGAAGGGAAACAGGGTACTCTGCAGATGAAGCCAGCCATGGGGACTCCCTGCCCCATGACACAATTACTAAAACTCAGACAGGGATCCAGAACATCTCACCCCATGTGCTTGCCTGGCTTGCTGCTCAGGCACTATCTGCTGACAGCCAAGTCATGGCTCCTGCTCTCCTTTCTTATTAGGGCTCGTCCTCTTTAAGCTGGGCTACTGGACACATGGTAACCCCAAGAACATTCTATCTAGGGCAGCCACTTTTGGATCTCCAAGAACAAAAGGAACTCAGCACCCCAGGTGACGACAAAGAAGAGGAGGGTTTGCCTGAAATCTTGCACATGACCATTCACAGGTACACGTACCCATTTGGATATAACGGCTGTTCTTTCGTTTGAAGACAAATATCATGCATTTCACCGACAAGGAAGACTGAGCAGATGGCCTGCATCCTGCCTCAGCCTGCTGTCTGGGGGCAACTTCAAAGCCACTTTTCTCTGCTCTTGTAGTTTTTATCTGGACTTGCACAGAACAGGCCATCAAGCACAGCGTGCATTAAAGAGGACTGAACTCTGTCGGGTGGTACCCCTTGTGCCTTTCATACGCTCCCCCTTCACCTGCACTCTGGAGCCCTGTGCCCTAGTCACAAACTTTCTGCCCCCATGCGACCTGCACCCTTAATGAAGTCCAAGCTCTGCTTGAATTTCTGGAAATTAAAGCATGTTAATGTTTTAGCCGTCAGTTACACAAGCTGTGCCATTGTGTCAGGAATATGAAGATGACAACAGAAAATGGAACAGAATAATTCTGTGTTAAGAGCTACCCTCTGACTCACACCGGTCAGGCTTCCAAGTCATAGATGGCCTTCTGTGCCGTCCTCAGTACTACGCCAGCAAGTGCATGCCAGGGTCTGTTCTCCATGCCTGAAATCAGGCTAGATGGGCAGGTACTTTGCACATGCAAGCCGGTGTCTCACATATGAAGCACCTGGCTGTGCTCCCGGTGCCCAGATGGAAGCTCTGCGTGAAGGAGCTGAAAGGCTCTGAGGAAAATAAACCTCGTGGAGATAATGGCGACCCTCTCAATTTGGCTGACTTAGTAACAGTCATACCTGGTACTAGCGGTTGTATCCAGGTAGTACTCAAAAGATGCCTGAAAGCAACAAATACCAAGCCGAGAAGCTTCCTAAGAATCTCTCCATTACATGGCACTTACACCATTATTTGTGCTTAAGTGTTATTTATATAATTTGTACAAATAGTATTATGTACAGTAGTCCCCCGAAATTCGCAGGGGTTGCATTCCTAGAGTACCCGCAAATTGTGAAAAACTGTGAATTTTGAATGTGGTAAAAATGCCTATTTGTATAGTTTAAACCCTAAATATGTCGCTGCCTCATTATTCTTTCTGTAGCGTACGGTGCTCTTATTGATGCCATAATGGCTCGCAACTGCAGCATAACTTTTAAGTTCCCGGAGCAAATCCAGCAGTTCAACTTTCTCCTGGAGTGTTTAAACGTCTTCTGGCGCTTAGGTTCATTGCCAGAAGCCTTAGAAGGTGTGGAGCGTTTGGGCGGCATCCTAGGGCTTCAAGAAGAACAAAACGGAGAACACTCAGCGAACACCGGAGATGCGTCACAGGGCAGCAGCCAATCAGTGGTTTCCGCGAAATTGCGGGGGTTTCCGTGAACGGTATTAGTTCGGTCCCAGGGAAAATTCCACCAAAGACTGAGGCCGCGAAAGCTGAACCGCGACTTCATAGGGGTATATTGTATATAAACCTGGCAGACCCCAGAACAAGAAAAAGTATTTCATTTGAGAAGTTTCTGGCGGCTGGAAAGCAAGTGAAATCTAATGCAAGCAGGACCAGAGAGCGTTGGCAATTAGAAGCCAAGGAGCTGAGAATGGTGCAGTGGTGGAGAGCAGACATCCGTGGACGTCCGCTGAGGCCCTGCCCCTGCAGTGGCCCCACTGCCGGCCAGCAGGCTGCAGTAACAGGGATGGTCTTCTAGCCCAGCATTGTTGACACGGGCTGGCCATGACACTCTGAGGTTTCTCCTGGCCCTACTGGAGAAGCCAGGAACTGAACTGGGGACCTTCTCGATGCAAAGTAGCTATCCTGACACTAGAGCTATCAGCCCTCCCACTCTGCCTCTTTCCTGTCACTTCCTGTTCACCTGCCCTCTCCAAGCTTCACCTGGACAAGAGTGTGGAGATGGAGGAGCAGCTTCTCAATACCTGGCCCTCTCCTTGAGGCAATGGCAGGGTTAGATCCAGACAGGCAGGGCGAACAGATGACCCAGCTGCAACCAAGAAGATGTGAAGGAGGTGGAGGAGTACCTCATAGAACAGAATCACAGAACAGGAGAGTTGGAAGGGGCCATGAAGGCATCTTGTGAAAAGCAAGCAAGCCCTGAGTTTGACACCAACTGCAGTGGCTGAGAAGGATGCTTCATCTGGGGATTGTACAGAGGAAAAGATATGCCTTGAGGACAAATTGCTCCTCCACGTTCTGAGCATAACGGGCTTGTGTTCAGAAGAGCTAAACTAGCAACCATCACCTTGTGGTTGCGAATGCCAAAGGGAACAGTGCGCTCAGCCCTCCTCCACAGAAGTGAATGGGGCTTTGGCTTCCTTTCATCTCTGTTAGTCATGAAAGCTTCTTAGAGCAGTGTTTGTTGCTCTGGTTCTTGGAAATTAAAGTCAGATATAAACTGTTATACTTTAACTGCAAATGACAGTAATAAACATATGTTACCATCCATCATATGCCCAGAGTCCATTATAAAATGCCAGGCTGATGGCACCAACTGAAAGAGGGGGACCATCGAATGCATTTGTAAAGTTTTGTGTATGTCCTGCAAAAGCAAAATAAAAACCATATTAGCATCTGATGAACTGAGATCTAGTCCATGGAAACTTCACCACAACACACAGTTTTTAAGATGCCATACATCTCGTTGCGTTGATATTATTCCTAACCTTGTCTCCAAATGTGAGATGGATCGAATCCACAAGGGAAGCCACAGCCCTGGATTCAGAAGAGCTGAATAGGCTGTTACGGACAGCCCTCATTTTGGAGGACTTTCATTCATGGGCTGGCCATATGTCAGAGACAACAACTACCGTTGCCGGTTCACACTGGCTACAGTACATGTGGCAGGGCAGGGCAGGCCTGGGGGGCTAACCATGTGGTTCCTTGCATGCCAGCTACAAGGCAGACCTTCACCTCTCTCTTTGGAGGTCAGGGCATTGTCGGAGCCCGGAAGGGTTTCTCTGGGGTGCTCTCTCAAGAAGCACAGGATTACTGTCACTGATGCTGGACTTAGGGTCTCACATTCAACCAGCCCTAGCCAGCCTGAAGCACAGTCAGGGAGTCCAAAATATCCAGTAGTTCAAACTGCAGGCAGGGCCAGGTTGCAGAAGATGGCTTCAGATGGGAATGTGTTTTACTTCACTTATTTCAAAACGCAGCCAGCTGCTCTCACTGCATCGGGGATCTTGTCCATTCCACACTTTGACCACAACGCACTATCTTTACTTTCTGCACTTGGCTGGAAGGATCACCAGGGAGACTCCTCAGGCTTGGCACCCCAGAGACAGAAAATGTTCCTCAGAGATACTCGGCTTGAGTACCCTATTAAGTGTTAGCCACCCGGTAATGATAATATTTTTTTCACAGGCTTTGAATTAGATAGTGTGTTGTACTCAAGATGCTTATGCTTTGCCATTTTTATTCTTCCTGTTTCCACTTTTATTGCCACTTCACTCTTGAATAATGATTGGATAGTTTAATCTTTGTGGTCAACCACTGTGAACTTTAATTTACTTAAAAGTGAGATATACATTATTTAAATGCAACCTTCTTGTTGCTGATGGAATGTGATCTTTAATTATTCTAAGTTGGATTTTTAAACACATTGGAATAAAATGTGGCTTTTATGTAAGTGTGTTATGTCTCATATACGATATGAACTGCTCTTAATTTACTTAACAAGGAAGATGGGATTAAAATGTCAATAAGAATGGGTGTTTGCCAGAAAAGAAAAGAAAACAACCCACAAACCTCACCAAACGTAGATAAAATCCAGTCTTTACCAGAGCAGGTGCTATACTATATATATAGTATATATAGTATAGAGAGATATAGTGTGTGTGTGTGTGTAGAGAGAGAGAGAAGCTGTAACAATGACAGGACGTACCTTTGGCGAGGAGCACAATGCCGCTCACAATGATAATTGCAACGATCACCATCTTAGCAGCAGTGAAAAAATTCTGAACATAGCTTGCCAACTTCACACTCAGTGCATTCACAGTGGTTATGACCACTAAGAAAAGGGGACAGAGAGACATTAGAGCGAATGCACGAATGAGTTTTTTCTCTGGTCTCAACGCTAGTCTGAAAAAGGGGCAATTTCAGTGAGGCTTTTATTCTGTGGCTTCCCTGCCTCCTTCTTAGAATTTTACAAGAAGGTGCCCAGATGCTGTCAGTTTCCTTTGGCAAAGTTCCCATGTTTCCCACTGCTTCTTCCACCTTTCTTCCTTCCTAAAGAAAGCCAGACTTAACGTTCCCAAGTGAGGATGCTCAAAACCAGGATCAAAGCTGGTGCGTGTCCTGAGATGCGGACTCGGTGGACAGAAGCACCTCGTGGCTATTAGGGGATCATGCCTGGCTGCATGCCTGAACCGCGGCCGAACCACGCTTCAGCACGGGCCTGGGCCTGGGCCCGCAGGCTGCTTCGGAAGCACGGAGTGGGCCGTGTGGCCCACAGCACTTTTCTCCGGCGCCTCGCTGCTGTCTCACAGCATCTGCCCATGTGGCAACTGCCTTACTCTGTCTAAAGTTAGGACTGGGCTAGCTATAACTAATGTGCAGCCCCACAGGATGATCGCACGGTCAGCCTCAAGGTGCCTCCTAGGCATGCCTAGGAAGAAAACGCCTCTCAGCTCCCAGCATGCCGCAGCCAGCCAGGATGGCACCCGTAGCATTTTCCGTGCAACTGGGGAGGGGACGCAGCTCAGCGACTTCAACACAGCAGCGCCAACATCTGTCCTTAAAAAGACCGTGGAACAAGGAGGTGTGAAAGGGCTCTCCCAGGATCCTGAACGTTGTGGCCAGAATCTCTTCGCGAGAGACCCTCATTTCTTTTCCTGCAATCACAGCCTTCACATGTGCCCTTCCTGTGAGCCACAACAGACCAGCCTCCTTCGATGTGGCACCCTCCTTACAGTGTGTCTGACTGCAGCTTCAGTTATCCCCAGACCACACGGCCAATGAAGCAGACGATTCTGAGCTAGACAGCAAGTGCCTTGACCCGGTGTGGGATGCGCCGCTACATGGCTATCCTGGCAAGTCTTCAAGGCAGGCAAATGTTAAGGGAATGTCAAACCCCCCATCCTACCCACCCTGAGACACTGGTGCTTGTTAGTTGCTCAGAGAGGGATCCTGTGATCCCTGGGGAAGCACCCCGAGAACTTTAGGAAGGCTCAGAAAACCCCTTCAGAGCTCAGAAAGGGCACTTCAGCCTTGGAAGGTTCCCCCTCTGAGGTTGGAAAATTAAGCTCTGGGAGGGGAAAGTGGGTGTTCCATTGGACAGGGAGGGGAAGAAACTGGAGAGGCCATTCTGAGAGGCCATTTATTCTGAGCTGCCCCCGCCCCCGCAAATTCTTGTGGGAGATGCTAAAAACCCCTTCTAGTGAAAATAAAGGCACTCAGAGGACGGTGAGGCAAAGATAGTCTCTGCCACTCGTGTCCTGCTGGGCCCCGCCACGCCGGACAAAGGAACCTCAGTGGCTGCCAGGTTTGGGGCTCTGGAGCAGTGACGGCGGTGGGGGGTGATAGCACTTCACCTTAATTCATTTCTCCAGTAAACTTCTTCTCTTACCAAAAGCTGGATACTCACCAATGGCCGCTGTGGCAAGACACTTGATGACTACAATGGGAGGGTCACATCCTGGATAAAACGGAGCCGACACGTATTCGGCAAAGCTGAGGCAAATGATGGCAAAGGAACTGGGCTTGATGACGATCAGGCTGGACCAAGAGAACAGATATGCTGGGATAGGGCCAAAGGCTTCCATAAGATATGGATATTCGCCTCCTGATTTTGTTATCATCGTGCCAAGCTCTGCAAAGCATAGTGCTCCTGAGGAACAAAAAGAACTGGGTTATAGGGAGCACTCCCTGAGCCACCAGCGCCAGTCTTGGGTTCAGCGTGGCTCCTGTGTGGCGTTGCTTGTAACATGCACTGGATTCTGCAGGTCCCTGGCTTCTCATAAGGGCTCAAATTAAGTGCATCTTTTGTTGTGGACTGTGCAGCCAGCCAGCCCCTTCTCTCTCTCTCTCCCCACCCCCAGGGAATTAGTATTACCTGGCCTACCATTTTGGGTTGCTATGGAAATGCCCTAGTTTCTCCTCCACAAGGACATCTATCCCAAACCCCTTCTTCTACACAAGACACTTAATTGTGCATGTCTTGTTCCCTACTCACAGTTGCTTATGGGTTCTTCAGACAAGGCTGCGACCCTCCAGTTTTCCTTCTGTATCTAAGGAGCATGTCTGGCAAGTTTTAAAAGAGCTATTTGATACAAAGTGAGATATTTAATTGTGAAAGCTAAGAAAACACTTAAAAAGTCTGTGTGTATTTGCTCTATTCTCTTTTCCCACAGCGCTGCCTAGAGGTTACGTGGCAGAAATGCAGGAAAGCTTCCTGCAATGCTCGGATTTTATGTCTGCCACAAACCTGAAAGTAGATACAGCACCTTAGCAGCCAACTAATGTGCAGAAAAGCTTAAGGTCACCCTGAAGGCTAAATGACTGAGTGGGGATTTGAACCCAGGCCTTCCCCATCTGACAATTTAACTGCAGCATAAGATACACTGCTTGGTTCCCTTCTTTTGATGATTTGCAGAAAAGAAGAGGAAGCAAAGAGAGCAGAAGGCTGCCTTACAGCTTCAGAACAATGACTTAGTTGGTCATTTGTTCTGCTGAATTGAATATGCTAATTCTGAAGCACGGCTCAAATGCTTATCAGTCATAACTGGGATGCATGGAGGACGCTGAAAGAAGAAGGAGCTTAGTTTTCTGTAATACACAGAGCTGGACACTCTAGAGAGGGATTACCTAAAGTCGCAAGCACTCCACAGGCTGCCCAAATGATTAAGCAAGGGCCGATGGCTCCAACATTAGCCAGTACTGACTTGGGAGAAATAAAGATCCCCGAACCTATCACAGTCCCGACAATGACACAGATGCCGCTGATCAGACCAACCTTGGAAAAAAAACAAAGGTAAATGAATTCAGCATGAGCTTGGCTGTTTTAATACAGAGGCGGGGAGCCAGTAATCCTCCAGACACTGCTGGGTACCCACTCCTATCAGCCCTAGTTGGCATGGTTAATGGACAGTGGTGAGGAAAGTTGTAGTGCAAAACATCTGGAGGGACACTGGTTCCTCGTTCTAATAATTTTAATCTTCAATATAGTGTGTGTGTGTGTGTGTGTGTTGGTGGGGAGAATTAGACCCGAGATTCAGTTGGGGAGGGGGTCCTGCAGGTGGGTGGCCCATTTTATTGGGAAAAGGCATTGCACACAGCAGGTGTAATCTTTCTTAACAGGAACTCTTGTCCCCAAAGAACAAATGTATAGATCTTAGAAAATTGCCAGCTTCTTGTAAATGGAGAAGATGAATCGCAGGGGGCAGTGATACACTATGCAGCTAGGTTTTTGTACCCTTCGGAAGACTATTTGGTTAAGAACATACGAAATGTCTTGCAGTAGCCTTCACTCTATCAGACCAGCAACTCTCTGACCCACTGATCTGTTCACTGCTGCAGCCAACAATGGAGGTCTATTTCGATAGACCAGTTCGTCACCTTGAGTGCTCGTTACTGGGTGTACCTACTTCCTACAGGAATATGTCCTCCAAAAGCACTAATTTGATTGGCTACAACCTGGTGTACACATTGTTTTTTACTCCAGATTAAGTGTGCAGAGCCAACCAGGACAGGCGCGCTAGCCCAGAAAGTGGGGAGACTTTAATCCGTTTCTTCCACTGCAGCCCAGATTAAGGAGCAAGTTGGACTAGCCATTTTCGTGTTCAGCACTAAGGAAATGGCTGGCAGTAGTCATTTTAAGCCCGGCGAGTGGGGCTGCGGGGAACACAAAAAGGGCCTGTGCACTTAGCCTTTTATCACCATTAACAAGCAAAGTGATGCCAGTAACAAGCTGTGTTGCAATGCAACCATTAACCAAACATTCCATGGAGCAGAAGTTTCCCTGGGCTTCGTGATTATTTCCATGTTTAGCAACCAGTGCTCTGCTAATTAACTCAGGTGCTAACACAACACCCGAGTTAATTAGTGGCTGTTTGGAGCATTCAAACTGGGCCTGCTGGCTTGATAATGGGCCGTTTTTACAAACAGCATGTAGCAAGTGAGTTCGTGTCTTCCAGCAGAAGTGAGAGTATCTAAGAAAATAACTCTCAGCTGATCAATAAAGGAGCCTCCAAATTAGGGGGTGGAGGAAGAGGGACATAAGCTTGAAGTGCTCCCCCACTGGGCAAGTCCCCCTCCTCAGTCGTGTCCATGGCCCAAGAGCTTGCCTTTTGCTCTGAAGTGAATCCGCACAACCACCAAGCGGGAGAGGGCAAGAAAGTAGAGGACACTGATTCTCCTCCCTCCGGCCTGAGCTTGGAGACAGCAATGCAGTGAGTTAATTTTAGATCCTGGACCTGTTTTGCATGCTACTTCAGCTGTGAAGCACACAGCCCCTGTTTCTCCTCTTCTCCTCACCCCTTATTCCATGTTTGACCATTTCTATGCACTGATTTTAAATTGTGGTGCTGGAGAAGACTCCCGAGAGTTCCTTGGACTTCAAAGAAATCAAATCAGTCAATCTTAAAAGAAATCAACCTCGACTGTTCTTTGGAAGGTCAGATACTGAAGGTGAAGTTGAAATACTTTGGCCACCCAATGAGAAGGAAGGACTCCCTGGAGAAGACCCTGATGATGGGAATGCTTGAAGGCAAAAGGAGGAGGGGCGGCAGAGGCTGAGGTGGCTGGGTGACCGGGGTAGTGGGCTTGGGTGGACTCTGAGGGATGGTGCAGGACAGGAGAGCCTGGAGAAATGTTGACCATGGGTTGGGAAGGGTCAGACACAACTTTGCACCTAAACAAAAAAAGTGCACCTACCCTCATTTGGGAGACGTAATAGTTTGTTCCCAGTTTCCCCCTTCAGATTCGAGGCAGAGCACCATAATGACTACAAGAACCTGACATCCAGCTGCCCCAGTGCCCCAAGGACCTGCCATGTCCTGGTTGGTCACTTGGAGCCCGCAGACCTGCACAGTCCTTGGTTTGGCCCCAGGTCTTTGGCCCCAAGGCTAGGGTGCACAGGCAGCAACAGCAAGGAGGCGTCCAGAGGCTCTTGTGACTGGCAGCGGCTCCCTCGCACTGCGTTGGACCTCAGCGGCAGCCCGGAAAACCAACCCTGCGTGTGGCCAAATTGGGCAGCCAGGAGGATCCCTGGGCATTTTCGTGTCGCTGCGAGCAGCTTTGGTCAGCGGCTTTGAAGACTGGGAAGTGGTGCACGAGAAAGCGTGCTTAACCCTTTTCCCCACGTCTTTTTTTCCCACAGGTAGGTGCCCAAGAGACAACTGCACCAGGGCCTGCTGCGGACACAAACGAGCGGCAGTTCGGTGCCACATGAGGAGACAATGCAGGAGCATCACCAGGCGGAGGATCACAGCTCCAGGCCTGGCAATAGCGCTGCCCGTGCCATAGTGCAAGGCGCTCCTCCCACTCAAGCTCCCCTCTGGAGGTATGAGGGGGTGCGCATGACTGGACAGGTAGACACTGCACCTAGACAACCTGCACAGGGGTCTGAGGGGCAAGAGCCCCTGTGGTTTGGTCTTTTCCTTGGAAGGGACAGGTGACTCTGCACATGTGCAAAAACCAATCAAAAACAGGGAAGGAGATTCCTCTTACTGCTGTAAGGATTGTGCCAACATGGACCCAGGCATGAGAAATGTCATCACAAGAGGGGATGCCACTACGATCATGTTGCGGGACTCTGCCTGTATGGACCAAACTTAATGCAGTTTCAGGAGAAGTTTGTTTTGGAAAAGGAGCAGTACTATAAAATCTGCATGGCAGGAACTGGCACCATATGCCATGGGAGAAGCAAAAGCCTGCTGACCCAATTGCACCCGTGTCAGAAGGTGCTCCAGTGTAAATGAGACCAGGCACAGCCTTGGAGAGGGTGAGCTTTGAGCGCGAGAAAGCAAAGGGTGTTTCTCCTTGGGGATCCTTTGGGGGCCTTGGAATGCCTCCTCATACTAGTACTATGCTGATGGCCTCCCATCAGGGTTCAACTTGTATTTGTGAAAAGAAACCCAAATAATACAGAAACGTTAGGTCTGAAGTAAAAGTCTGCAGTGATCTCTTCTTTCAAATGGAAAAAAAACCCAAGAAAGTGCTGCCCCCAAACTTCTCACAAATTGGAGAACGGGCAAGCACACAACAATATTGTCTGCTAAACTGCTAAAACAGGAATTACGACTTGCAAAATAGTGATGGAGAAAAAATGTTTGTATGTAAACCATTCACTTATTTTAAGCCACAGTGTTAAAATTATCACAATATTGTAAAATATAATCTATTGCAAAAGTCTTGCCTCTCTCTGTAGATTCATAGATTTCGGTTTCTTGCCTTCCTTGCCAGACTGCACCTCCATTCCTTGGTCTGAACTTTGCTTTCTGTGTCTTACGCTTTCTTCAGCCATGTCCCTTAATGGATGCGGAGGAACCCACAGGTACTAACCAATTCTGCAAAGAGCACAAAGATCATCATGATTATATTGCAAGAACACCATGTACAATATTTTTTAACCCCATTTATGCTTTTGGATCCAATTTTTTAAAAAAAGAGCATGAGGACGCAAGGTGCTGTAACACAGGGCCGGCCCATCCATTAGACAGGGTGGAGCTGCCAGCTCAGGCAGCAGCTGCCGAGAGGCGAGGAGCAGCAGTAGATGCTGCGGAGCAAGACTGTGGGTGTCTCCATGTTTGCCTGCTACCCGCGGGCGCAGCGGGAGATGCCATCTCATTCCCAGCACTGGAGCAAGATTCAGCTGCCAGGCCGGTTGGATTAAGAACAGGACGCTGCTGGACCAGACCAACCAAGGAGCCATCTGGACCAGCATTCTCCTCACAGGCCAACTCGCTGCCCACAAGCATGTGTGCCAGCACACTTCTTGCTCATGTTCCTCGGCAATTTATTTATTTATTTTTCAATTTATATCCTGCCTCTTTCCAACAAAGGGCTCAAGGCCGCTTACATTATTCTCCTCCTCCATCTTATCCCCACAACAACAACCCTGTGAGGTAGGTTGGGCTGAGAGCCTGTGCCTGGCCCAAAGTCACCAGTGGGCTCCATGGCTGAGTGGGGACTCGAACCCGGATCGCCTGAGTCCCAGTCCCATGCTCTAACCACTACGCCACACTGGCTCTCAATTGGGGAACACCAGCTCTGACTTGCCGGGGCAAGCAGGACTCCTGCGCCCAGAGGAGTGGGAGGGGAGCCTTTTGCCCTTTGCCTCGGGCAGGAACGTGTCTTGGGCTAGTCCTGCCGCTGCGCAGCTGAAGCCGAGAAGAAAGGTGTTTGAGCGTGTTTCATAATCCCAGGCAAGCGCTTCTGAACTTTGCGCAGAGCAAGAATGAATACAAGATGGGGTGACTGCTGGATGCAGGGAGGGTTCATGCTAGGGAAAAAAAAAACCCTATGCAAAGTATCCCCCACCCCAATTTCAGCAGTAACTCGTGGGAGGCATGAAATGAGGTTAAGGCAAGAAAGGTTTACTTTCCTTTGAAAAAATTACAGTGTTCAAAGCAGACTGTTTTCCAGAATTCCCCAGCTAGGAGTAATGGAAAAGGACTCTGATTGTATTTTGTTGAACACACTCAGCCACAGTGAACAGGGAGGGCCAGGAGTGTTTATAATGTGCCGCTAGAGATGAAACTCTTGGACAGGCGCAAGACAAACCAGAATGAAAAGCTTTTGCCAAGAACCTTTTAATTAATCAAGAATGAAAATCAGAGGTTTGAAGATGATCAAATACCTTTGTAGTTCTGACCATAAATGATGCTGACTAGCAATCCAGCAGTGTTATTTCTGAGAAACCAAAGTCTTTGAGTTCGGCGGGGGGGGGGGGGTGGTATGGTTGAGAAGCTGAAACTGAATGGGATTGACAGAAGCACATCCCCAGGAGTGGAGCCTGCAGCCTGATTGACCAAACACGGAAAATCTCAGCTGGCCTGGACACAGAAAGGGCAGATAGATAGCTCTTTCTCGATTCTGTGGGTGGTGACGCATGGCTGTCCTTGGTGGAGCAATTTGTCCAATTAATTCAGCTACAAACGAGGCTGCCTAGTTATGTGACCCCCCATGCAGTCAGCATCCAACCTCTTAGAGGAACAAGTGGTGTTCAGCCACCTGAGATTGAGCGATAACACCTCTGTGACCTCCCCTCCCCCCCGGTGTCCGGGATTGCATGAGCAACTGGCTCAGCATGTGGCTATCCCACCCTGAGAGGCACAAGTAACCCACTGAACCCCATTTTTGACGGGGATTGCAATTGTTGCCCATGAAGGAGGAATTCCCGGTACATGTGGCCTGAAGCACTTTGACCAAGTCCCTGCCCTCAGTACACATTGCCCATTGCTAGATGGCTTATTGAGGTCCTCAGACTGCCCCACCAGGATCAGGCATGGCCCTGGAAGAGACCCAAGAAGATGGTCAAACTTTACTCTCTGGAGGAAGAAAAACGGTTAACAAGCTTTCCATAAGTGAATCTGTGGAAGGATCACTTTTCAATATCCAGTTAGCAAAATGGCTAAAACTGGGCTAGATGGGACAATGATCAGGTGGATCCACAGCTGGGTGGAGAATCGGACTGTAAGAGAGCACACCAAAGGCACCTCCTCAAACTGGGGAAAGGTAACCAGTGGGGTGCGGCAAGGTTCAGTCCAGGGTCCAGGGATCTTCAACATTTTTATCAATGATTTGGATAAGGAAGTGCAAGGAACGATGATCAGAACTGCAGATGACGCTAAACTGGGTGGGATAGCTAATACCCTGGAAGACAGAAAGAAGGTCCAAGATGATCTTGACAGGTTGGAGCGCTGGACTGAAAATAACACAGTGAAATTCAATGGGGACAAATGCCAAGTTCTGCCCCTAGGTAAAAGAAACCAGGTGCCTCGTTACAAGATGGGGAACACTTGGCTCAACAATACCGCAAGTGAGAAGGATCGTGGATTGTTGTATGTCATAAGCTGAATCTGAGTCGACAAAGTGATGTGGCTGTAAAAATGGCAGCTGCTATTGTAAACTGCATTACGAGCAGCGTTACTTCCAAGTCACGTAAAGTACTAGTTCTCCTCTGGGCACCACAGTTTAAGAAAGATGCAGACAAGCTGGAGAACAATCTGAGGAGGGCAACGAAGATGACCAGGAAACAGGAAGCAAAGCCCTATGAGGAGAGGTTGAAAGAACTGGGCACAGTTAGCTCAGGATGACAAGATATGATAGCACTCTTCAAGTACTTGAAGGGTTGCCACAAAGAGCAAGGACAAGATAATTTCTCTGTCATCCCAGAGCACAGAGCACAGTACACAGAACAACAGGATCAAGTAACAGGGAGCCAGATTCCGGCTAGAGAGCGTTTCCTGACTGTTGAAGCAATACAACAATGAAACCAAAGACCAAGGGAGGTTGTGGGTTCTCCCACACCGGAGGCATTCAAGATGTGAGAGGGAGGGTTTAATGTGGAGGCCTGTGCTGAGCAAGGGGTTGGACCTGATGGCCCTTTGGCCCCTCCCAACTCTTCTAGCCTATGATTCTAAGGTGGCGAAACACTGGCTGAGGCTGCAGACACCTGCTGGGGCCCAGCAACTTTCTGGGGAAATTCAGGCAGCAGCAGCTGCAGGCGTGGCCAGCATTTTGCTCTGCAGGGTGTCCAGCGTCCTGCTTAAAATGTTTCGGTTGGCGTCTGGGACCAGCATTCCTGGACCTGCTGTGGCTTCAGCCCTCACGCTATGAAAGAAGCATGGGATTTGGCCTGAGCCGGTTGTGCTTCTGGGGAGGAACCAGGAAGCAGTAACGGGCGATGCTTCTGGCCTGAGGAGGAGGAGGCCCCCGGATGGGAGAGCTCACAGAAAGCCATTGTTTAAGTGGAATGTGTCCGTAAGCCTCCAAACAAGGTGAGAGGAACGCAGAAGTGGCCTTCCCCTCCTGCCCCTCCTGCCCCACAGGCGATTTCAGCCATGGAGCTGTGATGCTTTGGCGGAGGCCAGAGCAGTGCCCGGGTGGCCCCTCTCCCGCTCTCCTCCCCTCTGGGCCCACAGAGCGCCCTCTCCATCCTGTGCTTGCAAAGGGGCCGCAGGGTGGTTCCAGCACAGATTCCCAGCTCTGAAGCCGGAGCCATTTTCTTCCCCCAGGCGAGGCATCCAAGCCATCATGCTGCCCTCCACATGCTTTTGAGGGGAAGCCAGGTTTATTTATAATTCATTAAAAGCTTTTGTATGCCATCCTATTATACAAGATCTCAAGTTGTGGAACGCAGTCCACTAACTTTGCCCAACCAGGCCGAGCGCTACGCTCTGCATCCAAACGTAACTGCTCTGTCGCTGGACTACAAACACAAATCGGAATGTTTATCTACCCAATTATGGTTCTGGAAAAAAGCTTGGCAAAGTCACCCTGAGGCCACTCAGCACCAGCTGGTCCGGAGGGCTGCACTAGGGAGAGCAGTCCTGCAGATCAGGCATAACCTCTCTGGTCAGGGAAAGCCCAAAGGACTGTGCCTGCATGCAGAAGAACACAAGCACACAAGCCAGAAATTTAAACATGGGTAACATCCATCCTGCAAGGGAGCATTTCAGTCTCACTGGACATTGTGTAATGGAGGGATGAGCTGCTCAACATCGGCAAAAAAGTTTCAAAGGCTCCAGTGTGAAGCTACTGAGATGAACGTCTTGTAGGGACTGCGTGTGGGTAGCTTGCAACAGAAATCAATGGTTCTCCTCCGAGGGGTTTGCGTATGCTATTCAGCCTTGTTTCACCAATGTCCTTCCAGCTAGAAAGGGTCATGTCTGCTCTGATTGGATGGTGCATTTTTTTGGAACAGATCACATTTATTTACATATGCTATATGTAGCAATGATGCATACCAATCTCCTGAACTGATGTGCTTGCTGGATTTTTGTTAATGATCTCTCTTCTTCCCTTCTGCCATTTCTACCTGTACTTATGTGTATGTGGAAGGACGGATATCCCAAAGGAGAACACTTCCCGAAGCTGCTGCACTTTCCTGTTCCACAAGCTTTTGCCTCCGCAAATCTGTTAGTCCTTTCAGGACGCCCACCAGACTTGCTGTTTTGCCTTGAAGGAGGGCTTTATTCCTCGGGTCGCCGTAAGACACAGCAAAAGAACCATGGTGATCGCTCCTCTGGAACTCACCCATGATTACATTCAGATGGCTTTAAACATGGCTATTTCTAGTTTATGACATTTTTTCATTATTTACCATTTTTCTTGTAAAACACCTTGACATTTTAAAAAATAAAATTTGAAGGGTAGTGCAGAAATCTTTTTAAATGAGGAAAAAAAGTTTTTCAGAATATGGAAGTCACTGGCCCTGAGGGTTGCTATCCTCCAGCAACCGGCTGAGACCCAGGGCCGAGACTGAGCACTGCCAACACCCTCTGCACAATCACATGCACCTCCTGGCAGCTGTCGGTTCTCACAACACAATGTCTCGGGCTGG